TATACACCCTCATTACCCCCAGATAGCTTACACTCTCTTCGTAGCCAACTCATGTTAACTATTGGACTGATAGTTCTTAGTGACAAGTGACTTCTCATACCTTGTGTTCTTCCCAACCAGTTCATACTATTCATATTGTTACTAGGAACCCTAACCCAGTTAGGCCCCAGTAGGATCTCTAACACATGAATTCCATGGCCTTTTGGTGCTGTCTACCTAATTTCTAAGTGTTTATCAGTCCTGCTCCGTTTCTCGATGCTGCCGCTGTGATAGGCGTTCGTTGCCCTAGCCACTGCCCCTCTGGGTGGTGTTGGTGGTGGTGTTGTCTTGTCAGCGTCAACCAGAAAAGCGTTCTTGATTCCTGACCTGCTGGACAGGCCTCTGTGCGTTGTTGCACGTGCACGCCGAACCCTGAAGTGCTGTGTTACAATATCTAGAATCCTGGTAAGCCTTCTGGAAAGCACTGGACTAGATGAGGTAGCGCTGCTCTTGGAACTACGAACGCCAATTTACGCACCCTTTGTTTACTTTGCCTGGAGTGCTTCCACCACCACAACTTATGTAAACATGGGGCGGCACACTAGGCAGAGCAAGCCAGTTAAGTTCTTCGGTGAACAAGAAGCATACTGAAGTGGGGTATTCGGGTTTTGACTGTAAGCCAACGTCTCTGCAGGGAGGTTCAATCGAGGAGGTCTCTGAAAACACCATTGTAACAGCAAGCCACCCCACTGTATCCGGGATACCTTTGCAGTACCAGCCATCCCAGCCATCGCAGTGCCAGCCACAGGAATATTGGTGATCGATGGGTATAAGGGGAACTCACAAAACCTTGAGATAGGAGAGACTTCGGTACATTGCCATTCCATACCCTACCTTGTGCGCTCGCAAGTCTCGTGATCCCTCTCTTTATTCCGACCGTGACAGGCTATACGCAGGATTCGTATCGATTGTTGTAAGGAGGCTCTTATTCTAGAGGGAAGAGTTAGTAGCCCAAGGGAGTAGGAAGGATGCTTTTATCCATTGTTGGAAGTAGGGAGTAGGATGTTCTTGGGGGTCGGTTAAAGGAAGGGGTAGTAAAGTGGTTGAGAGTCGAAAAGGCGTTAAAGACGAAATCGGTAGGTACGCCACTAATTTTGGATCGTCGCTGGCTCGCCCGGTAGAGCAGGCTCAGGATGAAGGTTGAAGGCGAGGGTGAACGAGGTGAATGCAAAGGTAAGAGAGTGCGTATGTACTTATAGTTATAAAGCAGCACGGCCTAGGTGAGTCGCACGTAAGCTCCGAGCAATTTTACTGAGCTTTCCATGCCAAGTACAGAAAAAGCGGCATAGCAATTAGCACAAAATTGGCCGAGCACCTACATAGAACACATTGCCTGGTACGTGATGAGATCACATGGCAACGCTAAATGCTTTTCAGTTTTACTGGTTGCAAAAAAGACCCACTTAATACGAGGTAGACACATGACACATCTCTGGCTACGTTGGGAAATCACCGAACCGTGTCGTCTTTCTTGCTTTGTCTTCTTCCCTCGAAACGGTCTACTCCACTTGGGCATCTAGTGCGTGCACTAGACTACTTATACAAGAAAAGGCATGAACTAATCTATTCGTGGCGGGGTGGTCATCACGTGACGGGATAATCCGGGGAGAGGCCAAGTCCCCAAGCTGCCCCGTCCCAAACACCAGACATCAATCCCCTCCTTCCACCCTCCAACGCCCTACTCAGCATACAATCCTGCAAATCGAGAGCCTATGTATTTCAATATGAGCTTCCACGTCGAGCGTCACACATCGCGATTTGAGAAAGCTCCTCGTGCAACTCGGGCCTGTGAGTTATGCCATGCGCGCAAGGTCAGATGTGACGTTAGTCCGACTAAGCCGCAGTGCTCGAACTGTCAGCGAGATGGCAAAGTGTGTGAGCAAAGGGCCCGGCAGCGGAGGACACACCTTCACAAAACGAAGGCATCGCCTTGGCAGGGCTCGGTGCAGAATAATGTCACTAAACCAACAGAGGAAGCGAACCAGGTTACCGGAAACGGTGAGGCTACCACGTGTCAGGCATCTCGTGCACATACTACCGGAGCAGACCAGCCTTTACAGGGGGAAGCACTTCAAGCGTTTCGGCAAGGAACGCAGAGTACCATGGAGGAATATACGGATCAACCATTAGGTCCCTCTCCATCAGCTGTTTCCGCCTCCAGTGTCTCTAGCATCTACGACAGTGGTTATATGGAACGTTCAGCGTATATTGCACCAGACAAGTTTCGCGGAGAGGATGGCTCTGAAATCAGCTACATCGTTCCCCTTCCCTCGGAGATCACCCAACAGATTGCCAAACTCCAGAATGCTTTCGAAATCCCACCTCGCGCTATCCGAGAGTCCTTGTTTGAGAATTTTTGGACACATTGTTATTCCTGGGATCCAATCGTCGATCGATCTCAAGTAATGAGCATGGATCCCGAGAAGATATCGCCTCTTTTACTTCAATCTATCTTCCTGGCGGGAAGCCGCATGCTATCACCCTCTCAACCTCACGTCTTTGCCTCGCCACAGGATTACTACACACGAGCAAAGACGCTCTTTTGGCTTGACTATGAGAAAGACCCGATGAATCTCTTGATTGCTACATCGCTCATGCATTGGTGGAATCCACACGGGCCGGAACGTGTGTCCACGAACACAAGCAGTTTTTGGTGTCGAATCACAGTAAGCCTAGCCCAGCAGATGGGCCTTCACAGCAACAAAAAGTCTGTGCCCAATGAATCTCTGCGCCGTCGGTTATGGTGGTCCATAGTTGTGAGTATTTCTTCCTTTTCGTCTCCATGGACCGATGAAGTCTGACGTTTATTAGGCTCGTGATCGCCTCATTAGCGTCGCCCATGGACGCCCGCAAGCTATCAGTCTTGAAGAATGTGACATTCCTCGGCCAACTCTGGAAGATTTTCCAAACGCCACTTCCACAGGATTATTCTTCATCGCCTATGTTGACCTATCGCTAATCATGGGACGATTCGCCCAGCACGAGATTCGAAAATCGTCCAGTAAAGACTACATCACTGGGATTGAAGATTCCTTGTATCGATGGACCAAGAACCTCCCTGAACAACTCCGACTATCCTCTTACAACGCTAATCGCCAGATCTACACATCTCAGTCTTTTAAACCTTATAGCCTCGAATGCCGCCAATTGAACGTCCTCTACCTTGCCACAATCATTCTCCTGTATCGCTCGAGGACTCTTGAAGGCCCATTCCCCACCGCTGCAGTAATCGCAGCATCCACACTAGCAGGAGTGTTTGAAGATTTTCTTGCCCGCGACGAGGTACGATTCCTCGGACCGTGCTTCACCTTCCACCTTCTTGCTGCTTCTATTGCCCTACTCTCGTGCTATAAATATCCCGAATCATGGGCGCTTGCTCAGGAAGATCTCAAAACGTTGGCACAGGCTCAAGAGGAAATGAAGAAAACCTGGCCTTCTGCATTGGGGAGCATTGGCAGTTTCGACCGGATGTACAAGCTCACCGTGGCTACCCAGAAGAGGGTGATGGGAACACCTGAGAGCACTCTTACACCATACCAGGCCGTCTTTTTCGAAGACTGTGACATGTCACTGTGTCGGATGTACACTGCCCTGGTGCGAAAGCCTGAACGCTACACTGGCCAAAATCAGAGAGAGTGGTATCTTGCGAATGGCAACGAGAGAAACCAACCGATGATTAACATGACTAGAGAATTGAGCGAGGTGGTGCCTATGCCGCCACCGCACTATACTAACCAGGAAGAGCCCACAGGCCCAAAGCCTTTCCTGGGGCAGCCACCAGATTCAGACGAGGCTATGGCGTTTGATCAAATGTTTCAAGGGGAGACTGGACAATTGAACGGTGCAATTGGAGACTGGTTATTCTGGGACCGGCTTGCATTTGACGCAAGTTGATATAGCTTTGAACAGCAAGTGTTCACAGCCGACATGCTGCTGATGATGTATCATTCAGATGTCTGCCTTACTGACATCGAGGCTCTTGTGGACCAGGGTCTCTGCTTGCTATTTGCATGACCGCCATCGCCCGCGTTAGCCACGTCAACAGCGTCAGCCATGCTTGTTCCTGTTGTATGCAATGCGTGCTACTCGCCCCAAGTTAAAATATCCGATCGTCAACGGAGCTCACGGTAGGATCGAAAATACAGATCTTCCAGGGTTAATAGTCCAATCAGCGAAGAACCAGGTTTAATTGCTAAAGGATGTGTGTGAAGAAGTCTAAACCTCCGGTGGTATGATGCTTAGTATCGAACCCGCTCCACCACTTCGATGATTCCCCAACGTTTAAGCAATGGGGTTCTGTGGGGGGCTCTGTCTAAGTAGTTGAAAGTTTGATAGACAGCAAATACCAAGCATCTCGGTGATGAGACTCTTTCCTATGCGTGAATGAGGGTTGTTGAAGGAAGAGGCCTAGTGCTCCTACTCCCTGCTATATCGAGTATGTTCGTATGTCTGTCTTTCTGCAACTCGCAATCGGATAATCGAAAGTTCCAATCACTTTACGAGAGTGTTCTTTTATTTTAGTAGTGTCCTAGAATTGCCCTTCCTTTGTTGGGGGTGGAGGTTGGCGTCGCATCAAAGGCCCCCGAAGCTCCCAAGGAATCTCAAGTTCTCATCCGACCATCGAGTCGGCTCCTCGCCCAACCACCGCGGCATCTCCCTTGCCAACCCATCTTCAAAATCCCACCCCTTCCCTTCTTCAACGTAGATGCTCTTCCCATTCAGGCCCTCCGCCAGCATTACAGACGCGATATGTTCCGCAACCGCCTCTGACGACTGGTAATGCGAAGGCAACTGTGCACTTGCTTCGGACTCCCTATGTTTGAACCAGTCAATGAGCCCAATCGCACTTGTCATAGGCGATTCCGTCATGCCTGGACACACGGCATTGATGCGGATGCCGTCGCGGCCGAAGATGGCTGTGCGCATTGCTCGCATCAGGCCCAAGATCGCCTGTTTCGAAGTCTGGTAGAGAAACATGCCTGGCGCGTCGCGGAAACCCGTCACACTGGAGAGGAAAGTCAGACTTCGATCGGAAGAACCAGTCGCAGTGGCGCGGTTGGGCAGTCTTGCTTCTCCTTCTTGACCCCGTCGCAAGAACGGTAATGCTATCCGAGCAAAAGCGCAGGTGGCGAAGAAGTTGACATCGAGCGTGCACGTGTCGCCGTGTTCCTTGCCGACACTGTTGATTGTTAAAGTGGCGTCGAAGTACGATGATGTTGGGCTGTCGATGATGCCGGCGCAGAAGACCGCATGGTCCACGCGACCATGTTTGTCGTGTGCGGTGCGGAAGAGCGCGTACATGTCACTGTATTCGCAGACGTCGCAGGGCAGAAATGTGAGTACGCCGCCGCTGCCATTGGCGCTGCTGGTGTCTGTGCTCTGGCTCTGGCTCTGGCTTTTAGGAAGGAGGGTCTTTACGAGCGCCTCGCCAGCAGCGCGGTTGATGTCGCCGAACACGATGTATGCGCCATGATGATGGAGGATCGTGACCAGAGCCGCCCCAATGCCACTTGCGCCACCGGTCACCACGACAACTTTGCCTTTGAGGTTGAGAAAGGTGTTGCGGTCGGGGAAATTTGGATATTGAGACATTGTGAACTAGTAAATTTGTTGTATATCTCTCGCAAATTCTTATCAAATGTACACGGGATGCAACCTTGCCAAAGAGTGAGGAGAAGCATCGAAACGACGATGTAATCAGAATAATATACCTTTGGCTGCTAGTCGCAACGTGGCCCACTTAAAGTTAACTCCGAGTTTAGAATTCCTCCATTCTGCTCCTCAACGCAAGCACGCAGATAGTAAGACCATTGGAAAAGAGAGCCCGTCAGGATAGCTTAGGTGCTCCCACCGGAAACAGCAGTAATAGACAAGTTACCACGATCCTATTAGCCTATGGAACTTGGGCAGTACGCGGCAAACAATGCTACGTAAACTTCTATCATGACACGTTTATATACAAAACAGACAAAACGAGTACCTTGTATCGCTTATCTCGAGTACTCATGGATGCTACAATCATCATGTTTATGCCAATAGACACCCTCCACTCGAGTGAATGACCGTGCCATCCACAAAGGTGTCCCGCATGCAGTACAGATATGTCTCGGCGATATCCTCTGGATTGCCAATTGTCCTCGTCATCGTCGAACTTTGGTACCTCTCCAGAAGAGGCAGAAGCACCTCGTCAGGGAACCCATTGAAGAGCTCCGTCCGCGTCGGACCGGGACAAATACAATTCACCCTGACTGGTCTCAAGTCGACGGCCAAGGCACGCGTGACCCCTTCGACCCCCGCGCCCCAGCCCGCCATGAGGACTCGTCCCGGTAGTGGCTTGATGTTGTTCACGCCGCTGGTGAAAGTGATTGATGACCGGGGACTGCTGTGCACATAGTCGGCTGCCAACTTCCCAACTATGATCGGCACATAGAATCGTAACACGCCATGTTCCGTGATAGTCTTCACATCGGTGTTCGCAAGCGGGATCGACCCCACCTTGTTCCCTGCCGTGTATACAATATGATCAAGTTTTTGCTTGCCTCCCTCCGTTGCGCTGTCGAATAATGCTTTCAGATTGCTTTCTAAGCGGTCCAGATCGTATAAGTCACAAGGATATCCTCGAACGCTGGCGGCAGTACTGCTGATGTTTGCGTTGGCATCAAACTTAACGTTTTCAATTTTCCAAATCGCTGCTTCGAGTTTGCTTTGGTTGGAACTCGATACAATGACTGCAGCACCAAATTCCCGAACGGCCTCCGCGACAGCCAGGCCTATACCGGAGGTCCCTCCCAGCACTAAAACACGCTTTCCAGTGAGTTTTGCTGCGTATGGAATTCGTTGACCCTGTGTCGTACTCATGATAATTGGAGTAATTCACAGCCAGGCGGGTAAAAGAGTGCCCTCAGGTTGTAGCTAGATTCCGACACTGTCGGCCACCCTCGTAAGGAACCTGGCTTGGTCTTGGACAGCTGCTGTAATAGTGAGATGGACGTCTTAGTATCACCAATGCATTGCCCGACGCCAAGTCGATGCCAGAACCATGGTTTGCCACATTTGAAGCAGCTCGGCAACTCCCAAATGTAGTACACAGACAGGGCAAGAAAGTCGTGGTATGCTGGCTACTGGGAAGAAACGACGCCATCGAGCGTCAATCACCCAATGTGAAAAGTGAAAGCCCTTCGATCTTCACGTGCTCCCACTGGCTCGGACTCACGCTCGATATTCCTGCAAACCAAAGAAAAACTGAATGCAGTAGGTGCCGAGCCGTTTCGGGGGGCCGGAATTGACCGCAGTTGGAAAATACCGCGAGGAGCTACAGTAGCGGATGGGAGAGTGGGTCTGAGTCAAAGATGATCTCGACCAATTGAAACGGATGCTGACGTGACTGAGTAATTGATTGGCTACAGAGTTGCAGGGGTTTTCCTCGCTGATATTGTTCAGAATTCTACGGCAGAATTGATGCAAGTATCAGCGCAGAGCAGAGGGCCGCGAGGCGACCGTAGCCGATACAGAACCAGTTCTATCAGAGAAACAGCCGGTGTTGTGGGATTGTTAGGGTCAAGGTCGCTGCATATCCATCAGGTTTGGGGCCGTCGTATTCTTCGCCATGTTGAATTCCCACCAAACATGCCTCCGCACTGTCAGTGGGAAGGGCGAGTAAATGGCCAAAGCGAGTCGGATATTTCTTGACGATCTGGTGGGTATAGTCATTTCCTTCGCGTATTCTCTCGTGTGTGTTCCGCATGTAGCTCAACAGCGAAATTGCAACGCTGGCATGATCATTGTGCTTGATGACCTCCTCCGCTGACCAATGCAACTGCGATGGAGACATGACCATGAAATGTGCGGCTCGTAGTTGGATCATCAGTTGTGATGCTACTTCGTCAGTGATCGCTGGGAAAAAATGACCCTAAACATCGAGATAGCCTTTCGGTATCGTGTTGATGCTTCAGTGATCCTAGAATTTTTTCTGAAGAGAAGATAATCGATAGTTCTCTTAAACGGTACGTGGCGAAACCCAAGAATTGGATTTGCTGACCTACCTGCTGCTAAGTCATATCAGAAAGGAGTCAACAAACCATCAAAATCCAGCACACGTCCGCTTCAGGGCCGAACGAATGGGGTAACGCTGTTGGGGCCATGGCAAATGATCACCATCTTGCTAGTACCGACCCGCCGCTGAACTTCGGTAGTTTCCAAGCTCTTCGCGAACCTCCGAGGTGGCCAGTCAAAATTCACATGCCGGTAAATGTTTGTGAGTCTACTGGCAACTATTTTCTGAAGACCAAAGCAAGCAGTGGCTACCCTCAACATGTCCAGCTACTTACGTATCCCCGGTTTTTGATATTGTGGAGTCCAGTGTCACACAAATACCTCGTGGTCCATCCAAATTGGCTTGCCCGTCTCAGCCTCATCTTCTGCGACGACTGATCGCAATGGCCGCAAAATTTGTCCGAGAGACCCTGCCAAAGCTCGCGGCTTCACAAGTCGCCGTTTCTCGCGGACTCCTGGCGGCCGGGCTGCTTTTTGGGCTGTGGTTGATTGGAAAGGTATGTCGAATTGAATCAAACTCTTTATCTCGAATAGGGGCCATGTCTGAGTAGCGGGCATTTTTCCTTTTTAGTGTTTCTACAATTGCTTTCTGCACCCTCTTCGAAAGGTTCCCGGACCATTTCTGGCCAAGTTTACTAGCAAATGGCTTGAATATAAGGATCACTCCGGCGTACGGACAGCCACCCTTCACGAAATGCACAAGAAATATGGGCCTGTCGTCCGAATTGCGCCAAATGAAGTACTTTTCTCCAACCCAGCAGTCATCAAGAAGATTTACGGATTCAACTCGTCCTACATGAAAACTGCCTTCTACAGCGGATTCGAGGAATCGGGCAGACCCGTCTTGTTCACCTTGAGAGACAAGACGATCCATCGAGATCGCAGGAAGTTGATGGCCCATGCTTTCACCCACTCCACGATCAGTGCGGCGGAGCCTCTGGTTGCGGAGCAAGTGAGAAATCTCATAGGCCGAGTAGCGCGTCAGAATGGCGCTGCAATGAATGTTTACGCTTGGTTCCGTTCGCTCACCTTGGATATCGTCTCTTCTCTGTTCATTGGGAAAGCAATTGGAGCCCTCGACCAGGACAAGCCTCACGAATACATGAACAATATCGATGCTTATTTCCAACTTGCTGGTCTAAAATGGCAGCTCCCTTGGCTTCTGCCGTTGACATGGTGGATTCCTCTACCTTCGTGGCAACACTTTCAGGGAGCGCAACATAGGGTCTACGATTATGGCCGTGCGGCTTTTAATGAATACATTGAACGGTACGGGCGAGATTCGGGTCGGAATGATCCCTTGAAGAAAATCATCCACGGAGACAAAGATCTCCCTCCACTATCCGATGAGCAGATTTGTTGTGAGGTTGGCAGCGTCCTGGTTGCCGGTACAGATACCACTGCCACAGTGCTGACATACACAACATGGGAGCTTGCTGTAAACTCTGACATACAATCCCAGTTGCGAGAAGAACTCAAGACTGCAAAGGTGAACCCGGGTCCTTCGGGTGTCCCTCGGTACTCGGAAATAGAGTCACTTCCTCTACTCGATGGCATTGTGCTCGAAGGGTTGCGACTGCATGGACCTGCAGTTGCAAGCCTGCCTCGTCAGGTTCCTGCCGGAGGTGATATGATCGACGCATATTTCATTCCTGGAGAAGTAAGATCCCCCCCACTTCTGCTCTCTGATATCTCTTGGCTGGCTGATGGAATTTAGACTGATGGATATTTAGACCACGGTGTCCATGCAGGCTTACACCGTACACCGCAACGAAAACATCTTCCCGGATGCGGATACGTTTAAACCCGAAAGGTGGGCGGACGGTGGGACGCAACAGATGAGAGAGGCAAGCCTGCAGTGGTCCAAAGGCACACGCATGTGCCCTGGACTGCATCTCGCCACAATGGAGCTCAAGATAGTACTTGCATCTTTGGTCCTTGGATGGACGATCAATCTGGGTGAAAGGATGGAAGAGGACACCATGGATATGGTGGATCATTTCGTCCTTATGCCAAAAGGCAATTTCTGCGATTTGGTCTTTGAACCACTCAAGTCGTGAGCTTTAGTCTGAACGATAGCAGGAGCAATGAGAGTGACAGCGATCTAGAGAAGAGAGCCCCGACAGACAGTACCGGCCATGCCTTGGGGGATGGAGAGGGCAAATTTTAGTACATAGTTTATTCGAAAGCTGTTGAACAAGTGAACTGTTTGTCTATGAGTATGTGTGAATGCTTTGTAGACAACGGTCTATTCGCGGCTTCTAGCACTTCTCTCTGAATTCCTTTACTATCCACAATGGCAAAGTTCCTGTGATTTCCAACTATTTCCTGTTCCCCCACCATTTTTCGCCGGTTGCTGTTCGGTCATTTTCTCCGGCGTTTCCCAAGAACCGAGCGCTCATCTCTCCCAGGATCCGGATCCACGCATTCTTGTGCTCCCATCCGTGATAGTTATCTGGCAGATTCGATTGAGAAAGCTTGACCTTGGTATGGTTCTCCTCATATGGCGATTTGTCGAGTTCAACACGGACAACCGTAGTTTGCTCATCCGTCCATTCTGGCGACATCCATGTATATTCAATCACATACGGGCATTTGGATTTATCGATATTGGTGAATTTGCCCCAGTGGCCCCAGCATCCGCCGCCACCGCCCATGTCGTAAAAGTCTTGATCGTACCACTCGAACTTGCCGCCGACCTGGGGGTCAATTGTACGGTCGCCGGTTCCCACCCATGGCCCACGACGGTCGTTGCCATCGAGCCAGACCTGGAATACTCGCTCCGGCGGGGCGGGGATGATATGTTCGACTTCTAGTGTGTATGAAGCCATGATGAGTTACTTAACGATGGGCTGCCTATAGGGGGAGATTATTCCTTTCAGTTCGGGCCTTTTTCTGTTTTGTCCAACGGTCTTTGCGCACCTAAGTGGAGCCGAATGGACCGAAGCGCCGACGTTCGTGCATTAACCGAGCATCGCCGATTAGCTACTGGCTTCCGAGGACGAGAGCACCGGGAACCGAGCACTCTGTCAGTTCAATTTCGCAGGAAGGTCCCAGAAGGCTTGACACTTTGCCCTAACCGCGGTACGAGAAGTGTTGTGCGAGTGGTAGGAGTGCTAGAGGACTCTAGGATGAACACTTGTCTTGCAGCAGCCCCGTTACGCCCTATCGCACGAGAATAACTTATTATTACAGGTCAGAGTCGATCATGGACGATTGTCCTTCAGCCAAAGTCCAGACATCGCCCAACTCAGCAAGATTATGGAGCCTCTCACTGAGACTCCACCCCGATATGCGTCCGACATTGTAGATCCCAACCCGCTGGCCCAGAGCCTCCAGTTCGTATTCTCTGGGCGGACGGCACCCAACCGTTTCATGAAGGCTGCTATGACAGAGCAGCTGGCGAGTTGGCATAAAGAAGACCGAGAGAAAAGAGGCATTCCCACCAAGAACCTCATCAGGGTGTATGAACGATGGGCGCGAGGAGGGATTGGACTAATTCTCACGGGGAATTTTAGTGCGTTGCCCTCGTCGTCGCACTTGGCGCATGGCAGCTTGGTGTGCAGCTTGCAATTAATTTGCTAATGAACAAGAGCAGTGATTTTCCTGGATCATCTCGAATCCGTAGGCGATCCGATCATCCCGCCAGAAGCGCCCTTTCATGGAAAACGATTCGAAGCATTCAAGGAGCTCGCAGCGGCTGGCAAAGCCCATGGATCCCTCATGGTACCTCAGGTATCGCACCCGGGCCGCTTGTGCAACAATTACTTCCAGCAGTTCCCTGTCGCTGCGTCTGCAATTCCAGTCGATATGACCGGTGAGAAGAAACCCTTGCACTTCAACCCGCCTCACGAGGCTTCTCAATCAGAGATCGACGCAATAGTCGATTCTTTCGCCCATGCTGCCGAGTATCTTGAGAAAGCCGGCTACGACGGCATAGAAATTCATGGAGCGCACGGCTTCTTCTTGTCCGGGTTCATCAGCTTGGCCACGAACGAACGCACCGATCGGTATGGTGGAAGCATTGAGAATCGGGTGCGCGTCATTCTCGAGGTCCGCGAAGCGATCCGCAAAAGGGTATCTCTATCTTTCATTGTGGGCATAAAGATCAACAGCACCGAGTTTCAGGCCAGGGACTTCCCCATTGATGATGCCCGCAAACTGTGCGCCGCGCTCGAAGATGCCGAATTCGACTTTGTGGAACTGAGTGGCGGTACGGCCGAGAACACAATCACAGAACACAAAGGCGAGGAGATCCGGGAATCCACGAAGAGACGAGAAGCATATTTCCAAGAATTTGCAGAGAAAATCATCCCTGGCCTGTCCAAAACGAAAGTCTATATCACAGGTGGACTGCGAACCGTCGGCGGCATGGTCAGAGCCCTGGACGTGGTGGATGGTGTGGGGCTCGGTCGACCACTTGTGCAGGAGTTTGATCTATGTAACAAGATTCTGGAGAGGAACGTGACGGGTAGTATTGTGCCCAAGATTGGAGCGGGAGAGTTCTGGCTCGCCCTGATGGCTGGCAACAGAATCATTCGAGAAGTCGGCCAGGGTAAAGAGCCGATGAAACTGTGGAAGGACGAGGTGGTTGCGGAGTTGAGGCGAAACTACGACTTGTGGCTCAACAATAAGAGTTCGGATCGAGAGTATATTTCTTACTACGGATTCCCGTCGACTGAAGCAATGGAAAAAGGTCTGCATCTTGCATTGAGGCATGCTCCAGCCCTGGGAAATAGACCTGAAGGGAATTTTGTGGCACTGCTATAGCACTGGCTTAGATGTTGAGTCTAGAGAAAGAAGATGGATGTGAAACGGAAGAGTGTGTTCACGTGATGGAATGAGAGCATGAGGTTGCTTGCTATCTGTCTATCCTTTCACCGGTTCCTCTCCTGTTTATATGGATATTTCGCCTGTATCAGGAAACAGGTTCCTGAATCTGCCTTGCAAGGCGAACACTGTTCCAGACGCTCTATCTATGACTCCGTGATCCTTCGTAAACGCCTTAGCTGGACACCTCACGGTTTTGCCCCAGCCACTACCCGTGACCACAGTGGCTAGACTTGGCCCCTTTAGCTAGCCTTGCGCTGACCTCTCAACAAGTGTCGTTGTGAAAAAGGGGATCCGGTATCCCTGGCCACGTAACCTCTCGGTCTCCCTCTCCCATTATTAGAATGACTACAAGTATATCCTTTTAATAGCATGTCACGGTGTACGGGTTTAGATATTGGTAAGGTCGGCGGATATGCAAAGCGGCATCCCTCAAAACCGAAAATCGAATCTTATCAACTCACCATCTTCTAAACTAGTGAGTTTCTGCGAAGTCACTGGACTGGATTCGATAGCCCGTTAAGCTTGGGCTCTTACGTTTTCAACCTACTGGCTAAACTACCGCGTTCGGCATTCGGGATCATGAGAGAGCAGGATCGATCCTTCCGCAACCTCAGCGGGGACCTCTTCTTGCCCGGTTGTCATCCAGAGTCCGTCTTGGAAAATAAATAAAAGAGAGCGTGGGTGATGAGTATTGAATGCTGGAGTGGTTCATTGCGTTTTACCATCTACTCTCTCTCTCGGGGTTGCATCATTAGATCTATCGCAATATCAGGAGTGTTCGCGTGGTTGTGGATCCGTTGGTAAGTGCGACGCTCTTTATTTTCGTGACAACAAGATCAAAGTCGGGCTCGTCTGTTTAAAAGTAGCTTACTGGCGATACAGAACTGCAAACGAAATGGATTCAAACCATAACAAGTGGATTATTTTCCTGGGTGAATACTGTGCTGCAAGAAATCCCAATTGCCTTTTAACTTCGAGATAGGTGCCGGTGGCGGTTCGGGCCACATTGCCGTTCAGTATACCCAACCCAATGGGCATTCGCGTGACTGGCTTCAACGGAGGCAATAACAAGGCGGACCTCGTCAAATCTCTCGGGGCTGATGCCTTCTTCGATTTCACCAAAGGAAAGGACATTCTGGCCCAAGTCATGGAGCTGACCACATACAGGGCGCACGCTGTGCTTTGCTTTGCGGCCACAAAACAGACCTATGCATCAGCGCCCGAATAGGTGTATGTTGGTGGAGCGGTGATTGTCGTTGGGCTGCTCAAGGATACCACCGCGATGGCCGGTGCGCCTCCCATCGTTTTCACGGCTAAGAGGTTGAAGAGAGTCAACCCCGAGGCGTATAACGACACCGAGGTCCATCTAACGGCTTTACGGGGTTGAAGGCAATGTCACGGGAAATCTCAAGGATGTCGAAGAAGCACCCGACTACACGGTTCGAGGACTGGGGCATTCCATAATGACTAAGGGCACCTTGGCCGATGAACGGCAAGAAGTACGACATCATCAATCCTGCCACCGAGAAATTGTCAGCGATCATCTACGCAGCAGATGCTGAAGATGTTGCCATTGCTGTCAAGGCCGCTAAACTTGCGTTTCCAGCCTGGACAGAGTCAGGAGCCCTGGCACGCGTGGGTTATCTTTTCAAGCTTGCCGACGCCTTGGACAAGCATGCCGACGAACTCGACTACCTGCACGTTATTTGCATGGGAAAGCCTATAGGCAACTGTATGTTCTGCTGTCTCTGTTCCCTTGATCAGCGAAGACCAGGGAGCTAACAGCTTCATCACAATCACAGTTGTTGGAACCCATTTTGCTGCCCGTCTCCTTACTATGATTAACAAAATTGAACCCGCCCTCGTGTCTGGCAACAGCCTCATCCTCAAAACGAGCAAAAGTGCCCCCCATAGACCATCTCTACCAGGAGATCAACTTACCCAAGGGCATGCTCAATATCCTCTCGAGAATCGGTCAACCATACTATGAGGCGCTCGCCAAATACATGGACATCCCAAAATTGTCCTTTACAGGGTCCCAACCCACTGGCTGCGCCATCAACAAGGCGGCCGCCGATTCCAATCTCAAGAAGGTCACCTTGGAGCTCGGCGGGAAATCACCTCTGATTATCTTTCCCGACGCCGACCTGGCTTAAGCGATCCCAGCCGCCGCAACGTCGATTCTGCTGCTTAGCGGACAAGCGTGTGTTGCTTCGTCTCGGCGGGTCTCGAATCAAAAAGATTGGTTTTGATGAAGAAGCAACAGATTCAATACTATCGTGATATCAAGGTTTATGTCCACGAAGCAATAGTCGACGAATTCGTCAAAGTCATGAAAGAAGAAATAACCAAGACCGGTCCATCTGGGGACACCCTGAATAAAGACACCATCCGCGGACCTCAAGCCGACAGGCTACAATTTGACCGAGTATTGGGCTTTTTAACCGAAGCTCACCAAGATAGACTCTTCATTATGTTGGGCGGTAACTGTGAGAACCAGCCCGGTTTCTATTTCAAACCCACAATTATCACGGATGCCCATGAAAACCATCAAGTCATGAGGGAAGAGCTTTTCGGCCCTGTGGTGGTCATCAACACGTTCACAGGTGAAGAAGAGGTTATGGAACTTGCAAATGGTATGTATATGCTCAACGGGTGGTTTGATGAGAGCAATTGCTAATTATCATAGACACTAAATATGGCACCTACGCCTCCGTGTTCACCAACGACATCCAATGCGCCATGAGGATTGCCAAACTCTTCAACGCTAGCATTGTGGGCGTCAACTGCAACCTCGCCTAGTATTTCACTCGATATGCCTTTCCGTGGATGGAATGGCAGTGGCGATGGTAGAGAATATTCGAGCTACGGCACAGACGCTTGGGCGGAATTGAAGGCAGTTCTGGTTGCACTGTAAATCAGTGTCTGTTGCCCGTAATATAATTAGCAGGTGGTCACTATTGCTTTTCTAGGCAGAGAGGACTGACAGGGTCCAGATGTCAAACAAGTCACCACCAGATCAAATGTAAAGTAATGTACACAAAGCCATTCGAAATAGGGCAGAACAATAGCGCTTGGATTGACTACGATATTTCAATCTTCTGCCAGCTGATTCGCAATTGTCATCGCCAATACAGGGACACAAGTCAGTCACCAGTCGCGGTGCTCCCGATCCCGCTCATCTCAAGGAATGATCTCTTGATCTCGCCCCTTCCAGAAGATAGACTTTTCTTTTCACATTGAAATCATTGGCAATACAGATAATGACAGTGGGGGGCTAGAGTGCTCCCCCGGTAAGTCCCCCTGGGCCACCACGCGGACTCTTCGGTGGTTCCTCATTTGGTGAATACCGAAACATCGGCGCCATGAGAGTTCGTGTCCTCCAATGGCGCTTCCGCCTGCGCTCATACCCACGCCTAAAACACATCCCTGGGAAACTTTTAGCCGAAGAGGATTGACAGCCTAGAGCCAGCAAGCGCGGGGACAAACGCGGAGAGCGATTCCACTTGCCCAGAGTACGTACGTCTTAGGGGAGATGGAGCAACGACTAGGAGGACGGAATATAGACACATATAGATAAAAGTGACTACTCTTAACGAGTGTCTCTGGAGCCCGGATCAGCAACGTGGAAATCTTTGTTCTTTCTTTACCACCCAGATCTCCATACTTCTGCTCTTGCGGCAGTATTTTCTTCTTGCTATCCATTCTTCGACTTCAACATGAAGTTCCGAACCCTTCGTGAGCTCGGCCACGACGAGCGCTCAGTGACTCTCGTTGGCAACCTGCATAGCCAGAGCGAGCACAATCCCCATCTTCGCGGGACCGACATTGTCCTTGTGCCCGCTCCTTCTAACGATGTCAATGACCCCCTTCGCTTCCATACTTGGAAGAAATGGACCATCTTCGCCAACACCATCTGCTTGACCTTCGTGTGCAACTTCTGGCTGGGCGGGTTGGTTCCAGCATTTTACCTCCTGACTCAGGAGTTCAACATCAGTGAGTCTCAGTCGACGGGACTCTTGACATGGCCACTGCTGGCTGCTGGACTCTGTGTAAGTTAACGAGCCCCCTGTCAAGAATCGGATAATACACTAACAGAAAGGCATGTAGAACTTCTTCTGGGTGCCCACCGCCGAATATCTGGGTAGACGGCCTGTGTTTGTGATCTGTTCCATCATGACTTTCGCGTGCTGCGTCTGGGCCTCGGTCGCCACATCGTATGCCAGTCTGCTGTCCTCCAGAACCATTGGTTCATTTTTTTCGTCTTGCCATGAAGCTCTTGGGCCGGTGATTGTCAATGTAAGTCTGCTCGTCAACAATCCACTTGTTGAACAAACATCAAAAAAAAACTAACGGAATGGAAAATGATCAGGATATCTTCTTTTTGCATGAAAGAGCCCAGAAAGTCGCGTTCTTCGTGCTAGGGATTTACGGCGGTAACTCTCTCGGAACCGTGGTTTCAGGTTTCATCGTCCAAGGTATGAAGTTCTCTGACTCTACTACAAACCTGAAGTGCAAGTAGATATGATTCCGTTATTTTCGAGCACAGTGAACTGATCCAGCCTCTTGTGTGCCTATAGGCGTTGGCTGGCGATGGACTTCGGGCGTCATCGCCATCGTTGCGGGCATCAACATGACCACCATCTTCCTCTGCTTCCCTGAGACAAGATACAATCGCTCGCTCGATTCCGTAGCCACCCGAGTAACAGCACCGACACATACCCATGCAGCAGAGGACAACAAAGTCACTGGAAAGAGCGAAACCACTGTCGAACGCATCAACACCATCACGGACGACTCAGCAATCGACCCTGTCCTCACCGGTACCAAGAAGACGTATTGGCAAGAGTTGAGTCTTTGGTCTGGCCGAGCGAACCACTCGTTTGTGAACCACCTGATTAGACCATTTCCTCTTTTGGCTTATCCGTCTGTGGCGTGGGGGACGTTGTCATGTGAGAACAGGTTCACTCACTCATTCCAAACCCTGGGCTTTCCATTTCCCTTTTTGTGTTTCTTCTCTCTCTCTCTCTTTTCACTTTACACTGACGCAGCTCTTTTCAAAACAGTCTCTTGCGCTTTGGCGTGGTTGATCGGTGCTGCCTCGCTCAGCTCCTTCATCTTCCAAGTTGAGCCGTATAATTTCGGACCGGGCGTCAACGGTCTCGTTCAACTCGCTGGACTAAGTAAGCACACTCCTGCCGTCCATCTACTTCCCTAAAAAACAAAGAAAAAAACAAGTATAGCATTAAGATAAGATGGACTAGAGTTGACCTATTCCGTTTTCTCTAGTTGGTAACCTGGTTGGGGCCTTCTTCGGTGGCCATCTCAGCGATGTCTACGTCCGCTACGTCGCCCGTCGCAATGGGGGTCAATTCTCTCCTGAAGCCCGTCTCGTCCTTCTCTGCTTCGGTGCTGTCGTCTGCCCCGTTGGCCTCTTAATGTTCGGCATCGGAGCCGAGAGACAATGGCACTGGGCCGTCTTGTATGTCGGATACGGCATGATGAGCGTGATGCCTAACCTCGCAGTCATCGCCATGACGTATTCGGTTGACTCGTACTTCGAAGTCGCTTCGGAAGCCTTGCTCGTCATCAATGGCGTGAAGGCCGTTGCTGCTTTCGGGTTCAGCTATGGCTTCATCCCCTGGACGGCTGAAGCGGGTTACTCAAGTGTGAGTCGAATGACTGCCCGAATGACCACCCTCTATATATGCCTACACTACAACCTCTTTTTTCCCCTCTGGTGTGTGCAGTCTGTCACATGCTTCTTTTGTGATTTATCTATGACTAGCTGGCTGACACATATGTGACTCAATAGGTCTTCGGTGCGATGGCGGGCATCTGGTGGTTTTCCTTGCTCCTCGCTATTCCCCTCTACATCTGGGGTCCACAGATCAGAAAATACAGCACGGACAATATGAAGGTCATCTTATTCTAAAAGGGGGGAAGGGAGGAATAGGTGGCTGATCGGATGATTTCCAAACTCGGTCTCGAATCTTGGATTTTGTTCTTCGTTCTTCGTTCGAGGCTACCTACCCACTGTACCTTGCCTGCCCACTCACACGCGACCAGACGGTAAGCCTGTGCCGGAGTCAGTAAGTAGCAGTTCTGGAACTCGGCAGAGAATCATACTGGGGCTGGCGGAAGAACCGATCTAGCAATTATCCGCGGACTTGCCCATACTCGTTCAGGCAAGGTCGGTACGGTGCATAAGAGCATGATTGAGTCTTTATGGTGGTGTCCAAACATCCAAATAAGCAGACAGAATTTTAGGTCGATTTAGGGGGCCCGGCTTCCCAGTTCGTCCTATGAGCCTCACCTATGCGTGACCTTTGCTCTCTGTCTTCATCCTCCAACCTCCTCAACTCGACTATTACTCCTCTCCTTTCCTCTCCCAGATTCGCGGCTCAAAAATCGGTAAAAGAGATCGGCTCCAGAGATCAATCCTGATCGTGAATAATTACAAGTATCCCAGCAGCAGAGTAAATACTTAGGTTCACTCTGCTGGACCGAAAGGGTACGAGGCTGGAGAACCCAGAGCAGATCCCAGCAGCCACGGCAACAACCAAGGGACTTAGGTTGCCCAGACCTCCATTTTTCAATACTCAATGAGGACTGACGACTTCCTACGCACTACTCCTCTTCCTCTTGCCGTTGCTTTTGCGGTGCTGCTATATGCATGTGAATTTATAGGAGCACTAGAGCAGGGGCAGCAGCCACAACAGCCCACTTCTCTCAATCCTAAAGATACTATGTGTTCTAGACCACAAAGCTAGCCATTGGAACAGCTCGTGAGGCTCAACTATGCCATCTTGACTCAACACTTTTAGCAGAAAAACCAAATCTCCTTTGTAGCTTGAATCAATCATTTATACTTTATTGGAAAAGGCCTAGATTTTATGGGCATTCCATCACAAAGCGACATACACCACTACCTACCTCCGTATCTAATAAAGGAGTTACAGATCACAGGGTGGTATTCTATACCGTAACGCCTATGACAAACTGCTGAGAACTTAGTAATCTTCTGGTCGTAGTTTGGCTTTGGCTTTGACTTCATCCTCACCGGTCCCTGCCGTGGCCATGTCCCTTGCTTTTGTGATATTACTGGTCTGTGTCTACAGATTCGTCGTCTCTACGATCAGCGGTCAAATGTGAGACATCTTCTTTCCAGGCATCTCGCTGGTTTGAGCACCATGGAATAATGTCTCGTAGGGGGTCTGATTGGTTCGAGCCAGTGCGCTAGCCTGCTCATACTCGGTCAAGCCATATACGGAAACGATGGCGTCGGCGTGGTTCGATGCCAGGTCTTCGATGGCTGTCGAAAAAGCATTTCGAAGATGACCGAGCTGAGGAGGCAACAGATGCAAGGCCTGCGCAAGACTGGAGTGATGTGGGTTGAACAGGACAGAGATTAGCAATGAGACATTGGTATCTGCCCTCCTGAGGTCCTGAGGACGCCTGCCAATCAACGGTCAGACTTAATACTTGTGTCAAAGACCTAATATGGGATGCAAATCCCGCTTTGATCTTTTCGATCGTCCGCACAGACTTCCACAGCCTTTTCCAGTAGATATAGTCGGAATGGGCCTTGTTGAGAGCGTGGCGTGTCTTTTCCACGATCATTGTGTTCGATATGCTGCTTGACGAGCTTGGCCAAACGAGACTCCAGTGCCCGCCTCTGTACGTCAGTCGACAACCATTCGGCGGGCGAGTAGATGTTAGGATTTCTAGTTCGCGTACTGGCTGAAGCAATTCCAAGTAAGCGAGGCTCGGGGGAACTAAAGTCGAATTTCGTCGGTGGTGCTTCAGGAATGCCCTCGTCACTTGCTGGCCGATGACATAGTTGTCACCCTCGTTGGTCACGACATTCACAGTGTGGGCATACTTTCGGCCGAATTCAGAGAGGGCGCTGTACCCATGACCACCACCACGGGCGATGTGGCAGGTCTTGACGCTGAGGCTGGCCAGGTTGGTCGAATAGACCTTTAGTCTTACGGTCTAGAGATTCAGCTCCTCAAGCTCGCTTGTATTGCCAGTCTTGAGCATCGTGACGGTGCATCCATCGTAAGCTTTTTGCATGGAGCGGTCCATGACTATCAATGCGGTTGTCTAGCGGTGAATTTTTCGTCAACGCTGCAATACCCGGGAAAATGGAAAGGGCCAGGAAGACGGGGAGCTCAGCCTACCGTCGCCAATAGTGGCAGAATCAGATATCTAACGCTGGCGTAGTCGAATACAGCAGTCTCACGGGTGTCTTAAGAGTCCTGTTTAGTTTTCTTGAATTGTTTCCGGAATTTGGTGTAATGATAGGCGACGACCACTGCCTTGAGGAGATCTCACCCTGTAATCTCAGCCACCAAAGCTCGAACCATCACCATCGAGGAGTACGCGTGCTTGATGTCATCGAACTGGACGTACCTCCCGTCTTGCAGCACTTGAGCACTTCTCATTAGTATCTACGACCGGGGTATCCGTGCATTGTGAAAATGAAGAGCCTCGTTTTCCGTGCCCAGCGTGCTTTGGAACACCTTTAGGCCTAGCTCATAGATTTCCACTCCTGGCTGAAGCCGATGTATGTCCAGATCTCATAATTGCGTCAGGAACGAATGCGTCCCATAATCACGGCCTCAGATGATGTGTCTGACAACGACAATGCCATGTGTGGCCCAAACCCCGGCAGCCCCAATCCAGTATTTGGTGCCGCTCAACGTTGGCGAGTAGATCGTGAAGCTTGTTGCAATCCCCGTAGAAAGAGGCCATGGGCTCGATTCCTCGTAGTTCGACCCGTGTCCCAGTTCCGTCTGGCAATAGTAGCCCAGGATTTGGAATCTCTCGGCCCTGGGCATATAAAAGCGATTCTGCTTGTCAAACTTCTGCCGCCAGAGATTGGACATGAAGATACTGCATCGGGGTGCATTAGAATCATCCAGTCGTCATATCAATGGCATCCATGGACTGCGCGCTTGACCATTGATGCAGGAGTTTCAAGGCCACTAGCTCCTTAGAATGAATTGCGATTTGCATCAACACGTTTATACTCCCCAGGGAATGGGGAACGATATTCCCTTTCGAAAATTGGGCATGTGTCGGGAGGATCCTGAGAGTGGTCTGTCGTCGATGGAGGTTTATTTCGCCGCCGCAGAGAAATAGTGCAAAATGGGTTTTTAATAACGGCATGTTGAGGAATACGGAGGCGTTTAGGACGTCTGTCTTTCCTTTATTCTACATAGGGAGTGACTGAGTGAGTGTGTAGGGAGCTTAATACTATGGTTATGTGTTTTGCTAAATGGCACCAGGCTTGGGGCGATGACATGAGGAACAAGACCAGTCTGTCCGAACGGGACAAGTCTAGATTTCACTTACCTAGACGTTGCCAGCCAAGCGTAGTATTCTGGTCCGAAAGGTTCATTGAGCAACTCAATGTTCAATTGTTCCCGCCAGACCTGAGGATCTCATTCTCAAAAGATTTGGCCAGAGTGACGACCAGGAAAATGACAAGTTACAAAAAGTGTTGGACTCTGGGGGATCAACTGTCGATCAAGTTTCAACGGCGTTACATTGGCGCTGCTCACCACTCGGAGTACTCGAGCTGTGCTTTACAACTGTTTCGCATTAGCCAAGGAGACTTCTCCTGACAGGGCAACACCACAACACCACCCCCAGAGAGGCAGCGGCTTGGGCAACGAGCACCTAGCACAGCGACGGCATTGAGAAGTAGGAAAGAGCCGAGGAAAGGGCCGATGAAAGACTCAGGAATAAGTAGACGACATCAAAAAACGTGGAATACTCTGTCAAAACTGTAAAGAATGGCACACTGCCAGCACTGTGAACTGTTCAGCACTCCCCCTTAGCCCTTTTTGGTTTGGCATGAGACTAGACAACCCTCCTTCCTGCTATCCCCCATACAATCCCAGCACAGCCACTTTGCCTTTACAAGATAAAAGAGAATCCTCTGTCACTGAGTGAAAAGAACCGAGCAGCAGATAGACAATCCAATCGAATGCCTTGCAAGCCAAAATCGTCCTGCTCCACAGGACTATAAAAAGTCGAAGAAAGGAATAAGAGAATGGTCTACTATTACCGATTGCCACCCCTTCTACTATTTTCATGCCCCATTTTCGTAGTGGCCATGATGCCCTCGTCTCATTTATTTAAAAATTGTTTAACAGCATCTCCCACCGCAGCCGGGTCTTCAATTACACTCCAGTGCCCCATACCCTTGATCACTTCTAGTCTTGCGTTGGGCAGCTTTTCAGAGAGGATCTGGCAGGCAACGACAGGGCTGACCTTATCCTCATCTCCCGTGACAATCAGCACTGGCATGGTCAGCTTCGACAAGTCAATGTCTAGATTCGACGCCCTTCCCAACGCCGTGCACGCTTTCGCGTATCCTTCAGGGTCCTGGCTCATTAGAATCGCTTTCACGGCGCTGTAAGCCGACAGATTTGTAGTTTTTGTTCTCTCGGATGTTCCATTCATGGCCACAGTTTCTGCACACGCTCTCATCCCACCCGCTCGCACTGCTGCTGCTCTCTTACTCTGCCCCCCTGCCGCGGCCGCAGGCACCGGGTACCGTGCTGGGCCCAAGAGAATCAGCTTCTGCACCAGCTCGGGATGCTGGGCAGCGAACGACAACGCAATCAAGGATCCCATCGAATGAGCCACAAGCACTGACGGCTGATTTCTGTAGTGCTTGAGTAACGCGGCCAGGTCTGCCGCATAGCTCTGGATCGAGATAGTGGAGCTGGACTCCGTGGGAGACAAACCGTGACCCTCAATATCGTAGCAGATGCATTTGTGAGTCTGGTCGAGATGTGCGGTCTTGAGCAAAGGTCCATAGAACTCGGTCGAACCCCCCAGTCCATGAACAAAGATTAACTTGGCGACGCCTTTGCCAGAGATCTCCACGTTCACCAGCTTCGAGTCGATCCTAGTGAGACCCGATGCTCCAGGAGTTCGGCTGGTGTTATACGTCTGCAGCACTGAAGGTACCCTAGGGCGTGCGGAGAGAGAATGTTCGGACTTCTGCAAAACAACTTGGTTGCGCAATGTTCCTAGCCCGGTGACCTTGACTTCGATCACATCGCCCGGTTGGAGGAAGGTGGGTAATGTTTGGCCAAATCCTACTCCTGCTGGAGTCCCCGTGGCAATAACATCGCCTACTTGAATAGTTTCACCCAACGAAATGGTAGAGATCAACCGAGCAACCGAGAAGATCAACTCGTCCGTGGTTGCATCTTGTCTCCTCTCACCATTGACAAAAGTCTCAACCCGTAGTTTGTCCGGGAGGCAGGCAGCAGGGACTGCAATTGGGCCCATGGGGCAGTACGTGTCTCCAGATTTTCCCAGGTAGAATTGTTTGTGATCCCTTTGAACCTCGCGCGCTGTAACGTCGTTGATGATGGTGTAGCCCCAAACATAGTTCAACGCATCTTTCTCGCTGATGTGTCGCCCCGGCTTGCCAACGATGACACCAATCTCACCTTCGTAATCGAGCGTAGATGTGAAATGTGGGTCGAGGACGATGTCAGCTCCTGTGGACACGATGCTTGTGCTCCTCTTGGTGAAGATGACGGGATGTGACGGTTGAGCATTCTTGTCACTCGAGTCGTAGCCACTCCTGTGGAACTCTTTGGCGTGTTCCACATAGTTTTTCCCTACGGCCAGAATGTCTCGTCCGCTGAGAGGAGGGAGGAGGGTAGTGGATTCGAGTGGGATTGGTGCATCATCAGCCACCGGATCTTCGGCCAACTCGATCATTTCATAAAGTGTCCTGAGAGGTGCCCCAGATGGCATGCTCAGCGGCGTGATTGAATGACCTTCTAAGTCCAGGTGGCCAACCCGTGATCTACCAGTCGAGTCTGTATAGGCGACAAAGTTGGTCGGTTTTTCGGATGGTCTTATATGACAGTTTAGAGATGTGGTTACTCTAGCCTTTCGTTCGGCAGAAGTCATAAAGTCCTTCTGAGAAGCTTTATGTACCCTTCCATTGATCATGATCAGATCGAGCTTGCTGCGGTCTTGCAAGACGGTGATGTTTTCGAGTGGGTCCCCGTCCACCAGGATGCAATCGGCGAAATATCCAGGCTTGATCTGGCCAAGTTCATCTCCTCTCATGAAGATACTCGCGACACCAGCGGTAGCTGCGAGCAAAGATTCCATAGGAGTGAAGCCCAGCCAGTTGACAAAGTGCTCAAGATCACGGGCATACGTTCCATGGGGCGTCCAAGCAAAGCCATAATCTCCTCCTCTAGATGCTTGGTGTCAGAATACTTGTAAGATCGAATATGGGGTAAGTCTTACGGTAGCACAGTGATTCCTCGCTGATGCATCTCGCTCAAGACTTTCTTTGCATTCTTAAACTCTCTCTCATATCCGTCTCTCTCGTCTTCCGACATCTTATAGCCATACGACTCGGATTCGTACAATGTTGCGTAAAGCCAATTGATCGCTGGCACCACCATGTGCTTGTACTTGTTCTTTTCTAGCATGTCTATGCCATCCTCGTCGGTCCAACTGGCATGGAAAATGATGTCAACGCCGTGCTTGACGCACATCTTGACGCTATCTCGAGCTCTGTAGAGGTGATCTCCGTCAGCAAATCATCGCTTTTGTTTACAAGTCAAAGGCGTACCGCGCATGAGCACAAAGCCGTTTCCCTCGACCGTGTGCCGCTTCCACACAAGCTGCCGTCTCCTCGTCATCGTAGTAGCATTTCTCTGAAGACAACGGCTCACAGATCTCTTCCCCGGACATGGTCAGCTTAACGCTATCGGCGCCCAGGTCGATATGTCGATTGATCACCGCCCGCATCTCCTCAGGCCCATTTGCGACGACTGAAAGGCCGTTCTGACCTACGGCATCCTGGGGATGGGTGATTTCTTTGCAGTTGGCCAAATATCGAGGCCCCGGCAGTTTCCCGGCGTTGATGGCATCTCGGATTACCACATCCAGCCGTTCTTGAGCAGAAGCAGCCCCTAGGCACCTATTTTATTTGCTTGCCATGAGGGCCTGACATGGGCGGGTGTGCAAATTGTTTTGACATCACTTACATTGTATAACCACTATCAATGTAAGTCTGTGCCGACCTTGCCGTTAACAATGTATGTTCTTCAACCCCTAGCCCTGCAAGGGCGGGAATGTCCCCGGAATTCCACGAGAGATGGGCATGTGCATCACCAAGCCCGCTCATCAACGTTCTACCACGTCCCTGGACGACTTTCACCTTGGGGTCTGCAATCAATTCTTCGACTTTTGGAACAGTGCTGACGTGGGTAATTCTACTTCCTTGAATAAGGACATTACCACTGTATGGAGGGGAACCGGTGGAGTCAAAGATGTTGACATCTAAGATCAGAAAGGTTGAATCGTCTGGCGTGCCTATATTGATTGACGCGTTAGTGCCTGCTGCATCTTTCACCTTGTTCAGACCACCATTACCTTTGATCTGATAGTCTTTGGGCTTCAGCGTAGGATCGAAGCACACCTGTTCCCATGGCTTTCTAGGTGCCTCGGGGACGCTGGAAGGGGAATTCTTGACACCATTGACACCGATGACAAGTCTTCCGCTCGACGTATCTTGTTGCACTGCTGAAGGCATCTTGTTGCCTAGCGCGTTTTGCGCAAATATTTCACTCTCCATTGTGTGATACAAACCTTCACCCTGGTAATGGAAATACTTGTATCAACCTAGAACACACCGCATTAGGGTTGGACATTGAAGCCTAGCCCCGCGAAGGATATCTAGAATCCCCGCACTCCCTATTGACACATTTGGGATCTCCCGAGTTACTTTCCACCGCACTGAATGGCTGAGTAGCCTGTACTGTCCACTATCTAGCCCCCGCCTCTCCACTGCGTATATGGAGGAGGTCTGCCACCTGCCGAAGAAGCCCCCACCATTCCCCTTTCGGCAATTTCCAGGGGTCGCGCACGGGGCGCGAGGCTGTCGGCATTGTGCAAATTGGAGCATACCGAAGTGGCACCCCGGCATAAGCATTAAGCTACTATCTTTTGGGCTACATTTGCCGATCTCTAGTTGGTGGCTTAGATCTCATTGTGCGCAAAAATCTCAAAGACCTCCGTCTGGCTTGTCGGTCCATGGTTGTATCTCCGTCGGCTCTACCCAGTAGACTCCTAAGAGTCTAGACATACGAGAACATCGAGCACTTTTCTTGGCTTCATAACTAGTTGACCATCGAAATATGGAACTAGACCTTTGCTACTGTGCTCTTTGTCTTCGTTGCCTGATACTATCCCTCTCATGGCACATGATCCAGCAACCAAGTCCCACTCCTCGGGAGGAGTGAGTGAATTACCCCTCAAAACAGCCAAAGAAGTGGAGCACCACAATGGCAGGGATGACCAGCAACCTTTGTGTTCGACATTTCTATTCCCAACTACACCTTACAATAGGCGCTGACCAAACACAGGGATAGTGATTGACGAACTAGTCTACAACTGTTCTCAATTTATCAAAGAACACCCAGGAGGCGAGGCCGTGATTAGGAGGTATGCCGGCAAAGACTGTTCTCTGCAGTTCTGGAGGTTTCATAGAGAAGATCAACTACTGGAATATGGTGCTGCACTTCGGGTGGCAAGGGTAGCAGGAGGAGTGGAAGCAGACTCTCTTCCTGGCCCCCCTCAACGATATAGATTATATCATAACTGTACATTCGAATATGACAGCGAATGGTAGTGGAGATAAGTTGAGAAATGGCCGGAGTATACTTGAACCCAGCGTGGCGTGGCTTGCGGGAAACATTCAAAACTGACAGGGGCAGACCATCAAGTGCCTTCGGAGCCTTGCCATATATTAACTCATGGTCATCCAACTTGTCATCGAATACTCGGGTTGAATTCAAACCGAAGCATCGTCACAGCAATGGCAGACCGAGCGAGCCTCGTGCCCCGACATGGTGGTCTGAATGACAATATCCTCCCCAATGACCCTCAATTTTTTCGGCTTTTGACTATCGCGCGTGGCAAAAACGCAGCCAGATCACTGGATCGGGGCGTGAGCGCAGGAATTGACGCAACCGCCCATACTCTAATCAGCGATGTTTTGAATCTGAGGCGAGTGATTGCGAAGTCTCTATCAACGAAGACAATTCAAAATCTGCGCCGCGGCAAAAATGTCTTTATCAGTCTCTCAGCTGATGGACTGAGAAGGGTCCTGTCTAGATTGAATCTATTGATTGATTCATTGCAAGAAGGAACAGATCTGTCTAGGCTATCTAGGACCTTTTGACGGAAGTCCGCAGTGCCAAGAGTTTACTTGGCAAACAGGTCCGGCTAACCTTCCCACCAGGGTAAGGCTTTGTCCGACAGCAGCCAGTGGAGGGTTCGAGTTCGCTGTAGGGATTTTAGCAATTCTTGCCTTAGGAACCTGTGAATCTCTCCTGAGCACAGCGATGCCAGCGGGAGAACTGGCCTACTATATCGAGAAGACCCATTCTGTGATGACCCTGGCTTCAGCAAAGGAGCTGGCCGCGGCAAAGAACCTCCATGCCCGCCTCCAGGATAAGGAGAAGACCTTCGTCGTGATCCCTATCAGCCCTATCGGCACGAGTGAGCGTGCTACAGGGTGAATCTCTCATTCTTCCCCTTCCTCCAAGCGGGTTTTTACATCGAGTTCAAGCAGGGCGGGTTCAATTCACAGTGGACATGGGGTCGATGGCGGCGAGGAGACTTGACCTATTTCAAGGGAGTTCCCACTACCTCTATGGGCCTGATGCGCCATTGGAGAGGAGCACATTAGAAATCTACCACCGAATAAGCAGCGAGACTATCGCAACGGAGCGGCTCATATCAAGATCATGTTTTGCGGGACGTCCCCATTACCGCGACCCGTCGACCGTTTCTGGATGGAGTTTCGCAACGGTCAACCAGTCATCCAACGATATAGATCTACCGAGACCCAAATTGCCATCAACGAGTCACTTGACAGCTAGCAAGACGTTCCCGATGGTAGTGTAGGCAAGGAATCAGTGGTAGTAGAATTAAAGATCGCAGGTGTGGCAGACGAAGGGGGAGGGAGAGCTGTTGGTTAAGTCGCTGTACATGTTCGTCTGTTATCCGAACGACGGCGTGAACACCCGCGCGGCCCATGAAGAAAACACGTTATAAGGGCTGGAGAGCATGAAGTGATCGGCCCGGCCGGTATCTTGGTAAAAATCACCCTCCTTGACCTCCATCACTTTTCGAGCACCACAGCTTACAATTTTGGCGTCCCAGATGCATTCACGATAAGTGGTTTCCAGTAATCCGACGGCGTAAAGTCGGGTCTGGTGAACACGACACTTGATGGCAGTACAGTAGAGCGACGGCATCCATCCAATACCGACCACCGACCTCGACATGTCCATGTTATTTCCAGGCAGCGCCCGTGCCTGGGCATGCAGCCTCTTAATCTGCCAAGTGTTGTTTCCTCGAGTCAACAGAGGGACAAAGTTTTGTGTCTGAGCTTCAGACATGGATTCATCATCAAGACAAAGAAAAGTGGATAGCATGATGTTTGCCATTATGTGGAACGAGCTCAGGAGCTGGAAAGCAAATTCTTCGCCCTCGGGACCCCTCTGATGCCGGAAGCCTCTTCTGGATGCTTCATATATGCGGCGCCATCGTTCAAGGTCGACCTGGATCTGGCGTTGATCTAGAATCGAGATAAAGCAAGGTCGACATAGCGAAGCGGAGTCATTGATCAAAGAACTATTGAAGATCTACAATGACCTGCCTGAGCCAGACATAATCGACCGTCTCGGATATATTCGAGGGCTCATCGGTTCTGTACGAATATCTCCCCCTTCTCAAGCAGGTGAACGATGGGAAGCCGCATTGCGTCAAAACGCAATCTATAATCCTCTCGAAGAGGAGGTATTTACCTGTGCAGTGATTCTTCTCTTTATTGCTCTGACCCGGTTTCAAGCCCAGCGTTCCGGCGAGAGCTGGGGCTCATTCGTTCACGCCAAGGAGGTTCTAGCGAGGCGAAAACAACAGTTCTTAATACCAGGTGTCGGAACGTATTTATTTGATTTCGTTCGGGATCAACTATGGTCAATGGCGAGATATGAAATTGTGAAAATTCCATGACCTCTATATCAAGTACCAGTTGAACCAATCGTGACACTGAAAGAGGGTGTACGGAGTAAAAGTGTATTGAGACTAGCTAAATCTATCCTGCCTGGGAGGCTGCTTTTATAGGCATAATTGCTAGCGTCTTGGCATAATACACAACTCTATAGGCTGTAAATTAGGGTGGCACGGCCGGCAGTCACGCTATTTACCAAATCTTGGCGGCAAAAGATGAGTAAAAAAGGCGGGGAGCTCACGTGCGACTCGCCCCAGCCGTGCCGCTTTTATAACCACCTCACCGTCCCTCTCACTTCACCGCGTGCAGCGCCAATAAGGATCCAAAATTAGCGACGTGCCAACCGGTTCCCTCTTTAACGCCTTCCCTTCTGCCACCGCAGTATAAAACCCTCTTGCTACCATTTCGGGCTAAATCAACAATCAACAACCAACAACGCGAGCTCAGCGCAGGGCGCCTGGCGCAGTGGCTGTTCCTAGGTCTTTCAGTAATCGCAAGGTAAAACGCAGTAACGGCAGAACGCTGGAGGCATGCGCCAACAGATAGGCACCAGTGGTAGGCTGATCGGCAATTTTTAGATTATAGATATGAACTTCCTGGGCATATGTACGAACGCTCGATAATCCTTGACTATCGGTCCTACCCATTCCTCTCCTTGAGTCGAACAAGTAAGCCGGTTTGCGGCGTAAACCAACGACATTTGAATGACATGGCCGATCTAGGATTGACTAGCTCAATTTCGTATCGCAACAATAGTGACGGGACCAATTTTGTCATCTCCATCAGACTGAAATTTTTGCCGCTGCATGTATGGGCCCCTGCACTGAAAGCAAACAGAGATCGATTCCGGCGAGCGACAAGCTCGGTGTCTGGGCTCAACCAGCGCCCCGGCTCGAACTTTTCAGGTTGTGGGAATAAGATCGGATCGTAATGCAGTACCCAAGGACTAATGCCGACTTCAGTGTTGGCCGGGATGTAGTAACCACAGATTGTTGCGCCGTCTTCAGGGACAGTTCGGCAGTACATAAGCCCGTTTGGAGGATGAATGCGCAGAGCTTCTTTGATGACCGCATTGAGATAGGGTAGACTGTTAGCGTGGCGAAAAGAAACTGGCAGAGTCAGTTTAGCTTCGTCCCGTATCTCGCGACAGAGAGAATCATATATCTTGGTATTTTTCGTGACATTGAAAAGGATTGTACGGAGGACAATGGCCGTAGTATCGGCTCCCGCAGTAATGTTGCCAAACGCATGAGTATGAAGCTCTCGGTCTGTAATCGAACTCGGTTTGACCTTCTGGTTTTGCAGAAGTCGATGGACAAATGTCAATGGCGGGCAAGGGTCTTCATCCTTAAGATCATTTCGCAGTTTTTCAACCTGAGCTTGCGCTAATTCCAAGGCTGCGCCATCGAGTCCATTGTTTCCGAGTAGTAATTTTGCAACAAATCGATTTCCGAGGAGGAATTTGTGCAACCACGGCATTTGTCCGACCTGACGAGCACGTTAACGTTCGTGGACCAGCGACATCATGTTCAGCTTACAATGCCAGTGTAGTCTCCAATGACGTATTCCAGAATTGGCATCATTCCAATCGGATCTCCATTTTCCATGAAACTAAGATCGGAGCCGAAGGTAACCATAAAGATGACATCGGTAGCATAAAAGCGTACCCATTTGCCCAAATCACAGGCTTCGCGGGGTGCTTCACAGAATTTGTCGAGTAGCCGGAAAAAGCGCTCTGTCACGCCGTCCACGAGCGGTTCGAGCTCAACCATGGCATTCATGGAGTAAGCATTGTATGCATTCCGCTTCATACGTGTATGCAAAGCCTTGTTTGACAAAACCAGAGGGTCCGGCAGCAGCCCCTCCGCATCATAGACCATGAATGGAAGATAAAATGATGACTGCTTCAGATTTAGTGCCGTACATGGCTAACAACGAGTAACTGCCCTCATGGGTTTACCTTTCTAAATTTGGTCGATGTCCCGTAAATCTGATCCATCTCTGCACAGTCGCCGACCGACAGAAGATCGGGTCCTACCCGCACCAGCGGACCATATTTCTGATGCAAGCCCAACTCCCATTCATGCGGCCGCCCAACAAGCACAGCAAAGAAACGGGGAATCCGGGAGCATGATGCCCAAAAAGGCCCTGGCACCTTCCTCAGCGGCGTAAGGTATCTGTTAGAAAGTAACCATCCTATGCAGATTGTAGCAAAGGTAAGGGCCAAGTGCTCAATTTTCAAATATTGAACGAATAACATACTTAGTCAACCGGCTGGCATGAGAAAGAAATGTCAGTGAAACTTTGTATAATTGCTCCACTCAATCTGAAATCCTTGATGATAAAAATACAGAGCCACATATACTATAGATACCACCCGACACAGTCGATGACTTGCGTAGAGCCGGCAAAGATGCTTACAAAGCATGAGTTCACTTGACCAGCCGGATCCGGTATGTCCACACCAGACACCCTACAAGTCGTTGGCAAGCCCATGCAAAACCCACACGGAAAAATAAGTCCTCTTCTAAATAATCCAGGCTGGCCTGACAACCACCTCTAGTTGAGATGTTGATCACTCCTGTTTTCAGTTCCACTTAAGAATCTGATCCAGAGCATACTAGACAAGGTTTCTCAATTTCCTCACGACATTTATTGAAGCTGACAACAACCTTAGGTGTTTCGAATATGAATCCCATTTCCAATAAACCCTTTTTTTTTTTTCTCCAGCGGTGTTCGGAACTTCCATTAGCCTCCCGTTTTGCTCTATAGGGTAGCTCTGGAGGTGGTGCCAATGGAATAAAATTTGATTGGTGGAGACCAGCATCATAGTGCTTCTTTAACCATTAGCGGCTGTTTCGATAAGATCTTTATTTTGATGCTCTACACTACTCTGTAAATAAGAAACGTCGTTTCTGGGGGGCGGTCGAAGTTATCCTGACATTTATCTGTTGAAGGCACGATCGGGAAACGTACACACCTACGAGGGCAATGGCCTATGCAAGTATTCCCTGCTCGAACGGTAGGAACGTAAAAGGTAAGTCGACAAGTCGAGAGCCGAGTTAATGCTAAAGAGGAAATAGTTCCTTGTCACTTATTCATCAACAATGAATTTATTCCCAGCATGAGAGCCTCCACGTTCCAGGTCCTGAATCCATCGACTGAGGCGCATATTGCAACTCTTGCTGCTGCAACAACTGAGGACGTCGACTTGGCTGTCCGAGCTGCCTTAAATGCGTTCAAGAGAATGGCGGTCCTTCCCTCCACAGCTGAGAGCCGGTCTTTTGTCACGTCTGGCTGATCTGATTTTGAGAGATGCTGACGATCTCGCGACCATTGAAGCAATTGATGCAGGCATCTTGTTCCGAGATTCCAAAACCCTGCATATCCCACAAGCAGTGGAGACTTTAAGATTCTTCGCCACTTTGACAGATACTGCAGGACGGTCTTTGGACATTCCTGGTGGGTTTGCATACACCCGACGAGAACCATTCGGAGTGTGCGCAGCTATTGTGGCGTGGAATGCACCCTTGTGAGTCTTGATGCAATATAACTTACGAAGATTACATGTTGCTGACAATAGAAGCCAGGATGATCACAATCTGGAAATTAGCTCCGGCCATTGCCACCGGAAATGTGCTTATAATCAAGACTTCTGAGCTGGCACCACTTTATGGCCAGAAACTGGCACAGCTAGTGCTAGAGGCTGGATTCCCTCCTGGAGTTATCGCGATTCTTCCTGGATTAGGTCAAGTCGCCGGGAAAGCCTTAGCAGAGCACAGTCTTGTACGAAAGATTTCCTTTACGGGAAGCAGGCTAACTGGGCGGAGTATTTTAAAAGCCGCAGCAGCTACGAACTTGAAGAAAGTCACCCTTGAACTAGGGGGGAAAAGTCCTTCGATTGTATTCGATGATGCAGACATCGACAATGCAGTGTTCTGGACCGAACTAGGATCAACAGCCAACAATGGTCAAGTCTGTGCACTTGGTTCGAGAATTTACGTGCAAGACTCGATCTATGACGGTTTCGTGAAAGCATTTCAACAGCGGGCCGCCGTAACGAAACCTACTTACGGCGATCCATTGAGCAGCAAGACTACCAAAGGCCCTATTATCAACAGAACTCAGTATGAGAAAATCTTACACTACATCAAAAAGGGCAAAGAGGAGGGAGGGAAATTACTCTTAGGTGGAAGCGCTCTCGATTCAGGAATCTTCGTTGAGAACACAGTTTTCACTGATGTGACGGAAGACATGACAGTCGTAAGGGAGGAAATATTTGGTCCGGTTGCGGTAAGTATTTATTTACCATCAATAAGGCCAACGATTCAAAGACTAACCTACATGTAAGACAATCACGAAATTCTCCTCAGAAGACGAGGTAGTCAGCAAAGCAAATGCGTCGGAATATGGCCTCAACGCTGCGGTGTTCACCAAGGACATTTCTCGAGCCCGACGAGTCTCTGATGCCCTCGAAGTAGGAACTGTGACGGTGAATTGCTGGGGTATCCTCAATGCAAATACTCCATTTGGGGGTGTCAAACAAAGTGGCTTCGGACGAGACATGGGTCTAGAAGCCCTGAATGAGTGGACAACGGTCAAGACAGTGAAGCATTTGCTGTTGAATCCGGTAAAGATTTAACTGACCAGATGGGAGCTGAGGGCCTCCAGGAGAAGAAAATTAAGCAGGCTGCCTCTGTCGGGTTTGGAAGACCACTTCTGCTGTCAATATTGCATACGATACACTCACAACATGTCGGCTTGCTGAGCCATGTAATATTCTGTGAAGTGAATGTAGAGGACCTCATTTCCACAGGAATTGCCCTGCATGCAATTTACTACGTATGCGCATGAAGCGAGCGCTAAAACCACTCCTTCCCTCCGTTCGCCAGCGTGGATGAGGAACAAACCTCCTTGCAGAAATCTTCATCCAGAGCCAGTTGCTCTCCCTTGTATGGACGGCGAACAGGCCATATCTCCCTTCCAGCTTCCTTCTCCTTGTCCATATGTTCTCTTAGCGCTTGTCGAGTCAAACCCTCGAAGTACGCAACTGCTTGCTCCATGTATGGGTGTAATGGCCCGGAGACATAGGTATCAGTGTTCAAGTTTCTTTGAGTCTCGTTTCCGAGCCATTTGTCTTCCCGCTCCACTTGTTTGAAAAATTCCACCTCCTTGGTGAAGGTTTCCAGTGAGCTATTCTTGTTGCGATAGATCTCATAACGCATGCTGGAGGTGGTCGATGAGAGCGGGACAATGGACATTATGTAGAAGAAGTGCCGGGTAATAGTATGCGAAGCGTTGGGAAACATATATGTTGGGCTGGCAACGATATCGTCCACAGAGTTGTCCTCTCCTAAATGCCGAACATAGCTTCGAACTGTCTCGACATCGAATTTGCTGTCTTTCGTAATCGCGGGGGCGATGCCGGGGTGGGCGACTTGGCAGTGGTAACACTGCATATCCAGTATTAAATTAGAAGAAACGAAGTCATCAGAATGCTGCATCTCACCTCATTATAATTTTCAACCAACGTCTTCCAGTTGAAGTGGCATGCGTCGAGGCTCCAAGACTCGGCAAAGACATAGTCATCCATCTTGATACACTCGAGCCGTGTCTGATGATCGACTTCCAAGAACTGCTCCTCCCAGCTAATCTGTGGCCGCTCTTCCCCATCCAGATTGACCCAAATGAAGCCCATATCATCGATATGAAGATGCACCGCATAGAGAGAGAATTGGGTCTTGTCAAACTCTGGATATGCCTCGAAGCGAGGTGCCTTTGCCAGATTTCCACCGAGGCCGTATGACCAACCTTATCTGTGTCAGCTGCGGATCCTCAGGAGCGAGAGTCTTAACAAACCGTGATACTTGCATGAGAAAATGCTGGCAGTTCCCTGCTGTTCATGAACGATCGGGAAGGCCCTATGGCGACAGACATTCAAGAATGCCTTGATGTTGCCTTTCCTGTCGTTGACAATAAAGAATGGGTATCCTGCCATGTCGTAGCGTACATATTGTCCAGGCTTCTCGAAGCGGGCCTTGTGTGACACAATGATCCATCTCTTTGAAAAGATGGCTCGTCTTTCGAGGTCGTAGATAGCCTTTTCTCTGAACCAAGACGCTGGGAGCGTTGTCGAGAAGGAGCTGTTGGACGCTTCGAGCATGGTTTCTTCTCTTTTGGGGGATTTCTAACTCGTGCCCGGGAGCCTATTTCCACCAGACTTTTTCGGTCGGTAAAGCTCAACATGATATTACTTTTTGTGCTAAAAGATCATTCTCCCACTCTCGCGTTTCAGAGCTGACTATGGGACCCGCGGATGCCGACAAGTCTACTGTATTCTTTCTTGGAGCGACAATACTGGGCCTATGGTCTCGATCTGTTCCCTGGAGTTAGGCAGCTCATCCGATGAGCGTAATCAGGCTACTGGAAGGTTGTTCCTGATCTAATATCCACAGTCGACCGCATTCTTGGATTAATTTTTTATTGGTAGAGTTAGTGCGATGCTTTCCTATTTGCCGCCAACTACCTTCTCCGCACTTAATCGGGGGTTCTAGTTAGGCTCTTCGACTAGTGATCTATCCCGGATTCTTGCACGCTGGCTCACGCCTACGAATGCACCATCCCATAGCCGATATGAATCGAAGCTGAATGTCTTGACGCAAACTTCAGATCCTGAATTCGAAAAGCCGGACTGATATCGAACGGTGCTCGTTGGTTTAATGCTGTTTCAGCGTATGCAATGGCATCGACATTACTTGCGAAGAGACTGTTCGCATCTTTTCTATCCCCTGGCATCGTGCTTCTTATCGTCTTCATCCTCACCATCACAAAGCTCTGCCTGAATCGGTATCAAAAGGGCCTTTGGAAACTTCCGGGACCATGGTTACGATCAATTTCCACCATTCCACGAATGTGGTCCATATATGCAACTCACAGTCACATGTATGATATTGAACTGCATCGAAAGTACGGGAAGATTATCCGGGTTGCTCCAAATACTCTCTGTGTCTCAGATATTTCAGAGATCAACCAGCTTTACGGCATCACAACCAAATTTGTGAAATCTGGGTTCTACAGCCTTGCGGAAGCCTTCGACGAGAATGGCAAGCTTATGCCAGATCCCTTCATTTTGAAGGATAAAGAAATGCATACAAGAATGAAACGGAATGCAGCAAATGCATACTCACTCAACGCCTTAATCCAACAGGAACCTTACGTAGATACAGTCATCAGTGGCCTCCTGGAGCTGCTTGACAAGTATGCACAGAATGGAAGTGTGTGCAATATCGGGGATATAGCTAAGAACTACGCTATGGACGCGGTGACATCCATCACCTTCGGAAGAAACTTTAACTACCTGGAAAAGGGAGATACAATGAAGTTCTTCAGAGGTATTGATATCTTCACAGACTATATGGCTATTGTAGGTGATCTAATTCTGGACCACTGATATTTTCTGATATAAATCAGTTCGGCCAAGTCCCCTGGACACACAAATATCTACTGAGAAATCCGACAATAGCGAAATGGTGGGTCGGCGATGACTCCTCTCAGGCTGAAATGATTGCTATGTCTGCAGTCGAGATTGAGAAGGGCCGTACCAGGACATCCGAGGAAGGACCTATGACATTCCTAGAAAGGCTGCTCCTCAACCAGAAGGCCAACCCTGGGGTAATCACCGACCACGAGCTGCTCACTCACGCTTGGGGGAACCTCGCAGCAGGCTCTGACACCACAGCGACCGCAATCCGCGCAGTAATCTACCATGTACTCAAGGATGGCCGCGTTTACGAGAAGCTTCGTGACGAAGTTCGACAAAACCTGACCATTCCTGTGTCATTCGCTGCTGCCAACGGTTTGCCCTATGTCACAGCCTGCATACGAGAAGCAATGAGAGTGCACCCTTCTGTCGGCATGATTCTGGTACGTACAGTGCCTAAAGGAGGAGCTACGATCTGTGGGTATTACATAGCAGAAGGGGTGGAGGTTGGTATGTCCCCGTACGTTCTTCATTACGACGACGAAGTCTTTCCGGAACCGTACACTTTCCGACCCGAACGATGGCTCGCATCTGAGTCAAGTGAAGAGCAGCTCAAACAAATGAATCGATCATTTTTTGCCTTTGGCCATGGGGCTCACACTTGCAGCGGACGACATATCAGCATCCTCGAGATAACAAAGATGATCCCAACGCTACTCTTAAAATATGATATGGAGCTGGTGAATGGAGCCCGGGACTATACATTCAAGAATCGCTGGTTTACGCCGCAGGAAGGCTTGCTCGTCACTTTGAAGACTAGATAGTCTGTCTCATTGGCGATTCTTTTCGAAATTTGAGCTCTACCTCTAGTTGACAGTAATATGAGGCACTGACTCATTGCAACATTTACTCAATTCAGTGACTAAGCTACAATTCTGATGCCTCATCGCGATCAATGGGAGATCCAATATGAGCTCCCCCATCTAAGGCCCCAACATAACAAACTCTGTTTGGGAATTTCCTGAAGAATGACAAACGGCCCCGGAAGATATCAGAGGCTTCCGTATGCCTGACGACTGGCAAGCACCTTCAGGCCTGTACATCTTTTGACTGGAGATCCACAATCATGGACGACGAATGAAGAGTTTTTGCGGATCACGGAATTTGTTCCGCCACGGTAAAACATACTAAATCTTTGTTAAACATTTGGGGCCAAAGATATAAACAAAGCGGATGGGGACTTTGGCAAATACAAAGCTAACACATGCCACCGCCGCCTCGGTCTTCAATCGCTTACCTTTCGGAATATCGATTTCGGTGGGAACGCGACCTGAGTGCAGAGGAGATTTCCACCACAACTGGGCTGAATGGGTTACAAAGGGTTAAGAGTCGTCGTCGTTGGTGGTGGTTTTTGCGGCCTGACAGCAGCTATAGAATGCAAGCTGAAAGGGATGCACCCAGTTGTTATTGAGTCATGTGAGTGTTGACATTCTACAAAGGCTGCTATCAACTTAATCAAAGGACTTTGGCTTTCGCGTGGCGTTATTTCCAAATCCAGAGGGCACTTTCACATCCACATACTGATTCGGAGTGGTTTGCAGATCCAACATCTCGTCTGCAGGGTGATGCTCTGGATTTTCTGCCCAATGGAGGCCGTATATTCAATTCATGGGATAATGGCCGTGTGGGCCGAAAGTTGTTTTCGATTTGCGTCAATACATGCAAATCGCTCGACTATCTGACACCGAAAGACGAACTGCTCTCCCGCGAACCATGGAACAAACACCCAAGTCACTATGAAGCTCAATTTGCAGGTCACCGCGGCGAAATGCACGAAGTCATTAGTGATTACGCAAAGGAGATCGGGGTTGAGCTTCAATTCGGCAAGACCGTGGTTCAGTATTTGGATAACAAAAGCGAACTAGGAGTCCTGACGAAGGACGGCGAAAAGATCCTAGGAGATGTTGTCCTTGCTTGCGATGGACCTCGGTCGCTTGCTCGATCGCAAGTCCTCGGACTGTCCGACAACAAGGTTAATTCAGGCTACGCAATCTTCAGAGCTTACTATGAACTGACCGACGAGCAACAAAAAAATCTCCTAATTGCCAAATATATCAATGTGGATCAAGATCAAGCTCTCATGCACATTGGTAGAGATATGCACAGCTTCATCTACACTTGGATGAGAGGAACGTAAGTTTAAAACGATCCGTCTGAGGGCGCACCGCATTCTAACATAGTGTCCAGGCATCTTGTTTGGGTCCTGACACACAAAGATGATGAAGATATTGGGGAGTCTTGGTCTTTCCCAGGGAAGATCCCCGACGTGCTGAAATATCTCGACCAAGGTGGATTCAGCGACAACTTCAAAGAGGTCGTCCGGAATACGCCAGATGATAGATTAGTCGATTACAAGGTTAGTCGTCTGGTCGCATTGTGCTCCGCCGTCTTAGTTGCTGACTATTACAAACAAAAAAGTTGGTATGGCGTGATCCCCTACAGAGCTGGCTGGCTCCATCGAATCGCATCATTCTACTAGGGGATGCTGCTCACTGCCATCTCCCGACGTCTGCCCAAGGGGCGTGCCAAGCCCTCGAGGACGCGGTGACTTTTGTAAGCTTCTGAATTGAGAAAAGATCGGACACAAGACTGATTCCCACTCGAAAAGGCAGTTTGTTTGGAGAAGGGGAACGGGGACATCCCGCTCTCATTACAGGTCGTGGAACGCATCAGATTCAACCGCAGTCACGCTATACACATGTCTTCTGTGTCTAATAGAAACAACTACCACAACTGGGATTGGACCCCCGAGCTGGCAGCTAAATACCCTGATGTCTTGACTGTCCCTCGTCCAGATTGGGTTGTCGAATTTGACGCGAGAAAGAACGCGGAAGAACACTTTGATCAGCTTGCCGCCGATGTGAAAGCTGGAAAGAAGGGTACAATCCAAGAACTTTCATTGGCTGCTGGCGGGTCATATGGCATCTTCGAAGGAGATTTTGATGGTAGTAACCTGGAAGTGTAGCGCCTGAGTATGCACTAAGAGTGTAATGTCAGGATTCCGAGAAATGAGAACATAGGCTAATTATTGTCTGCATTGATTTCCAAACTCTTGTGCTAATAGTCATCAATACCTATAATCAACACTCTGAAAAAATATTCTAAATTCCTTCGCCGGTTTCTCGTCGCCCTTTGGGGATAACGAGCCTGCTCATCCCAGTTGAGATTTTCAATAAGCCGAAGAAATTGGACGACGGTGAGACAGACCTCAAACCAACAGCTGCACCCAGAATTGCGAGTCGAGCACACAACTGGTAACTTTGTTAATGTTAGGCCACTATGCTACGTGACTGCCATATCTAACTATCCATGCACTTTGATACATGATGGTGCTCTGCATTTTCCTCGACAAGCACCTCTGCAACTTTCGTAGTTGGAATGTCCACCTCTTGGGCAGCTGCGCGATATGTTCGACTGCCATATGCGAGCCAGGTGACCGTTGCAAGCACAAATGCAAAACCTAGTACCAAGCATGAATAGTTCATATTTGTGGCGCTCACTGGCATGACCGTAGGAAAGCACAAAAAGGTTGTGAGATAGGCCCCCCAAGCCAGTGCAGCAATGTTGATGGGTCTGCTCCATTTACCCAAGCTAAACGGACCTGGCTTCAGTCCATTAGCCTTCAGGCCCCAGATGACGTGAATAAGTATGGGAAAGAGGTAACTGAAGACGAGAACTACTGTACAGCCGGAAGCGAGTCTGTATTCATGTTGTCACTGAAACTGAATTCTCAATTGTGGGCAGGAAAGGAGAGGCTTTACCCATAGAATGCTGTTGAATTCCCAATGTAAATGCACGCGAGGCCGCAAACACTCAACCAAGTGAAGAGCAAAGCATTGACCGGGACCTCTTGCGTGTTGTCAATTTGGGCCAGGAACTTAGGCATCCCTCCTTCCCTGGCGAAAGACCATACAATTCTTGATGTCGCGGTGAGGACACTTGGCCCAGCAACAAAGCTGCTCAGGAGAAGGAAAAAGATCGTCATTCCAAGAGTGCCACTCAGTTCACCGCCAGAAACATTGTACATGAGCTGGGTTAGGGGCGAAATAAGCCCAACCGCTGCCGAAGGCAAAAGTCAGCATTGTTTATCGGGAAGTCGTACGCCGAGTGAGGGCCCCGGGGGAATTGTACGGAGGACTTACGGCCGCTCAAGAGGCCTCCAATATCTGTAACACAGAACATGAGAGCAATCACCCACGGGAAGGTCAAGATTCCTGTTGTGAGCACACAACCATACACTGTAGACGCATTAGCGGGATGAACGCTGAATGCCGGAGACAACTCACTTGTGCGAGGGAGATCACGAGCAGCATACTTCATTTCTTCCGCCATCTAACGAGGAATTCCCCAGTCAGTCACGTCTGAAAAAGGGAAAAACAAAGTACAACAAGGAATCTTGGTCATATGCACATTTCTGGCAGTTAACGGGTGGTGGGAGTTTTACATGAGAGGACGAATCCCATCCGACAAACCCTAAAGCGCTGCTGAGGAGGCCAATCGACCAAGAAATACCGTCACTTTTCCAACCGGTAAGGTTTGTCAAGCTGACGAAAACGAACTTGGCAGAATTTTTGGGGTGAACCTTGGCCAGCAGATAGATCACAGTGGCAAGGTAGCCAGAAATATGAAGAATGATTCCGAAGTATTGCAATTTTGGAAGCCAACGTATTCCAAAAATACTGACGAGTGTGTACACGGTGGCCAGACCGATGAGAATCTAAAGTCGTAAGTTAAGTGGTGGATGGCCCACGTTGAAAATGCTCACCAGACTCGTATGCCACCGCTCATAGTGATAGTCTTCCTTGAAGAGGATAATGTAGGCTTGAATCTGCATGGAATTCGCAAATATGCCCGCCACGCAGGAGAGGATCCAACCTATCGCACATTATCAGAAATCGTCGGTGTACCATTTGCGACTGTCGAGAATCCCAGATTCTCTGGTTTCCAAAAGGATAATTCCGGATGAAACACTCAAAGACACCCACCCCAGATTGTGATCCAGCCCGCGAACCAAGAGAAGATCCGTCTGAATTTCTGCGGAGTCAGCTCTGTGACATAGTCGTATTGACCACCCGCAGTTGGGATGATACTGGCATACTCGCTGATAGACAGAGCGATCAAGAGAGTGCCTAGCACCAGACTCAGTAATGGACTTTATCGCAAACAGGGCACCAACTGACCAATTGCGGAGGCCAGAAATCCCCAGACCATGCTAGAGCTACCTCCAGCAATGAGAGCTTGTGCCATTGTAGATGTCAAGGCCTCCCAGGTGACACTGGTGCAGAAGGACATGAATAATAAGGACCAGATATTGAAGTATCGCTTCATCTGCTGCTTCTTTCCAAAGGCTGCGAGCCGAAGCTCATCATCATTGGAATAAATGGTTCCTAGTTGGGGAGACTCTTGTTCATCCATGGCGCTTGCTGATGAGGAATGGAACCTGGAGAGAGAAATCTGCAGTGAATGAAGGAGGCGATTCTGAAACAATCGCTATTGACGACCGTGGCAGAGCAATGATGATAGAAGTTGTCTTGACTATATTTCAGACGCCAGAGCTAGCTTCCTGGCTCACAGTCCATCAGCAAACGTGTTTCTCCAAGGGGAGTCGTGGCCCTTCCATAGCGCATCGATAAATAGTCCTGTGCCCCAACTACAATGGTGATTTCGCCTTCAGGATGAGCGTTGAACGTGTCAGGTCTAGAGCCTGGAGACTGGACTAATCGTGATGCTGCCACTTCGATGTTAGCATTCCGGAAAAACTTGGCGAATGGGATGCAAAAGGGGCCATCCCAGGAGCGCATGCGGACTAAATTCCGTGAGCTTGTGAAGCCATGAGACATTTCTTTACCAATCAGACAGCCTAAACTACGAAGCAAACCAAATCCAAAAACTCAGATGGGCGAAGAACCAGGTGCTGTAGACCAACGAGGCTCTTTGCTAGTTAAGCGCTGGTCTTGGTGAGGGGCTCAAACACCGAGACTTTGGTGCTCTAGGAGTAAGCGTTTGGCTGCGGAGTCGCCATGCCTATCTGCACCGCACGGTGTAATCTGCCCGCTTTCACGCTCGCTCTGCGTTGGCGCTTCTGACACTCGTTGGAGCGAAGGTGGCAAGGCTGTTTCGTGTTTTGCAACTCCGAACATTGACTCTAGCACCGGTGCCCCGTTGATCTGGGCCCTTAGTACTGGTGGTCTTGGCCAACTTGTTGTCGTTGCTGTCGCCCTCTCAAAGGCACAGAGCCCCGATCCGACGACGAGACATAATGGGAAACCCGACGTTAGTTCTCCTTACATAAACCAATGTGACGCAGACTACGAAGCAGCGGCAAGTTGGTCAACTGTCTCGGTCGCTATGCGACCAGCGACCGATGCTCCAGGAAGACGGAAGTCAACCATGGCTTGCGAAGGTTGCAGAAAACGCCGGGTCTGCCTAAATTTCCACTGTCTTTGCCCTTGAATTAACACTGATGGGAGTAGGCTAAGTGCAGTGGCTCACACCCCTGTGAATACTGTACTATACATTCATTATTGTGCGTCTTCGACACCCAAAGACAGCGTCGAGGACCAAGACCGAAAGCTCAACCGTTCGCTGGCACGGCTAGAGCGCCCTTGGCGCCAGCCCCCGTGCCTATTCAATCCTTGGATAGCAACCAGCTTGAAGACGGTGTTGTCTCTGATGATCTAGGTTCACCGTCCCAAGATTCAGATGAACCAAGTCTACCACCTTTGCATGGGTGGCGTGACGACGTTGAAGTCTCCATCGGATCCGATGGCAACTTAACGAAAGAGTGAGATAGAAATCTTTGCGTCAGTAGAAACGCGACTCACGTTGTTTTAGGCAAAATACAGCAAGGAGCGGACTCATCTGCCATCTTATCGAGCTTTTCTGGACCCATGTTGTTGTTCAGCAGCCTGCGCCTATTCTTCTAGATTCTTTCTTCACTCGACTCAAAACAAGGCAATGTCCAGCTTCGTTATGTTTCGCCATGTCGGCTTCCAGTTTGAAATATTTGCTGCATGATTCTGCGAAATTGGTACCCGAACAGTATGTAGGAGAATTCTTTGCCAAGAAGGCGCGTCAACAGCTCCAGACTTCTGAAGCCAGCGATCAGATTGGTCGGATCCAGACGCTCTGCACACTAGTACTGTATGAGGTTCATCGGGGCAATGGCGTACAGACGTGGTCTGAGATAGGTTTGGATTGTTTCGTCGCGAAGAAACTCCTCCGGCTGATTCTTTTTGAAGCATTCACGAGAAGCCTCATCCAACTTTCTGAGGCAACGCAACAAATCACCTCAGAGGACATGGAAGATCTGGAGATTGCAGAAATGTTCCTCAGATTGATGGAACTACTACATGGAGTCGGGAATTCGCTGCTACGAACGAGCTTGTATGACTACGAAAGGGGATGTTGGACGAAATCACATGCAACGAGACAACTCGCACACCTACTCGAGTTACAGCTTCGCATTCAGAACTTTAACGATGGGCGACTGGGACTGTCGATGCAACCTCACTGGCATTCGAATTCCGCCTTCCGGAGCCTGCAGTCAGAATTGGACGACTATTTACTCCAGCAGCCAGACGACCTCTGTTTAACGCGAGATATGCTACATCGATGGATTGATCAAGGTTTCATCGACCGCGTCCACTGTGCTTTGCTGTGGCATTGTTGCGTAATGGTGCTCAATAGAGTCTTTCTTCCCATAAGAACATCAAGTATCAAGGGATCTAAGTTCCAGGAATATCCGATGGCCCCGAAGCACTTCTTGGTCGAACGAGAAAATGTCTGTACCGCAAGTGCGACAACTGTATCAACAATCTGTACGGAAGTGATGGCAAGAGGGTCCTTCTTGCCGGCAAGTAATACAAAGAAAATGAGCAGAAATCTTGGACTGACTTGTACGAGACGCCCTTAATGGGATACAGCTGTTACCATAGCTCTCTACTCTTGCTTGATCGGTTGCATGACTCTTCAGGTCAAGACTGGACAGATGCTATGCAAAATCTGTCGATCAATTTCGCAATACTGGGTGCCATGAGAAGCTTTTATCCTCCGACAGAACTCTGGGTGAGAACTGAATACAATTATTGTTGACATTTCTAACGCGACTGTTTAGATCGAGACTTTGTTGAAAGTCCAGGGGCACAGGATCCAGTCATCACAGGAAGGATCTTCGGCATTGTTCAGCCACTATTTCCGTCGATTCAGAGAGTTGAAGGAACCCGCCCTGATCCCGATCCAGGCAGCTAATCAGGAAGTTCAAGCTGAATGTGATAATTGGTCTCGACGACTGGGAGAAAATCACAATGACACCATTTCTGCGGGAGAGACTTCGTTGCGATCTGCGATACCACAAAGGACGTGGCTCGATGAGTACCAAACAATACTAGAGGAACAGATGGCCGGCTACGCCACAGTTGATGATGAGTCGCAGAATCTTGCTCCCTTGCAGCGATCTGACACCGACAGGACTCCCAATTCGATACCGAGTCGGCCGCAAGACAGTCTTTCCCATCTGGCTCTGTCTCCATCGGCAAATGGTCAACTTCCAACGACCCAAGACCTCACTCAGTGTTGCGATGCCGGTCTCCAGCCGGAGGGGCATAGTACTAGTACTAGTTTGGTCGCAACCAACGTGTCACTCACAGAGGAAGTTACCCATGCGAATGTGGGATCGACGGGCCAGGCATTTCCAGAACATCGTTTCCGTGGCGCCACCCACGAGTCGGCGCAAGGGGAACTCACATTGCACAACACATGGATACAACCACCATTGCCCGAATTCTCTGATGATTTCGACGTTGAGTCATTACTCTTTGAGCAGTTGGGACAGGGAGAGTCATGGGTTGTGACGCAAAGGCCGGCATGCATGGGACAATGGAGCCTAGGAGCTCATTTTGGAATGATGTCGTAAATAGAAACTCTGGAGTTGGTCCTGGAGTCGAGGTGGGCAGTGGAAGTCCCCAGATTTTTGGGGCGTCTGGACTTGCCCAGCTGATGGATCCTCTCGGTCAGCGAATCGCCAGGGTGGCAACCCCGCGTCGACCACTACTCAGTAACAACGGCTTAGAATTTGATGACCCCCCCCCGCTCTCTGGGTGCGAGTGGTGGGTCCTAGGTCATTCTCTTATCTCGCCAAAAGATAAATAACACGATCCCAGTCCATGTGATGTACTCGCAGCCGTCGAGGAGTGCGGGACTCCGTCCGCTCTCCCTTCGGTTGACCTTTTTTTCTGCAAACAATTTTACATATCGAGTAAATCCACTCAAGCTCGGTGAGACGATCGGGGGTCTTAGATGCGAACGACAAAGCCCACTACCTCAGGGGTCTCGCAACATTCTGAATACTCCAACCACCCAACCGTCCCGTTATAGCAATGACTGCAGCAATGGTACTCATCTCCGTGCATACGATTTGTAAATCCCAATTACGCTTGGGGCTGACTGGTTCAAATAGACAGTCCCGTCTGACTTGGACAGGATGATGCCAACAGCGTGGCTAAATCTTCCACAAGACACCCAGTATGTTTCATGTTGCAACACCTGTAAAAGAAGGAAAGCGCGCTGCGATGGACTCCTGCCTCGTAAGAACTACGGACGAGTCTTCGTCGGTATCAGCTGATTCTCAATCAGACTGCGGTAACTGCTCCAAGGCTGGCATCAGATGCGCAGGATATGGCGTACGGATTCAATGGCCGACTTCGCTCGCAAAGCAGCCCACCGGAAGATCATCGAAAACGTCAACCATATATCCGAAATCGAATGAAGGAAAGGTTTTGTCTCTTGCAAATCGACTCTACTCTCCATTCTCCACACTAGGTCTTCCCGAATGCCAAAATTTCCTGGTACAACACTACTTGAGTTGGCGAATCGAATCCGATAGGAAATGCGACGTAACTGACTCTTCTCAGAAAACCTGTCCCGCATCGCCATCGCGATTGATTACGACGAGAACGGTTATCGGTCTCTTCTGCACTCGGGGATCAATGACCCTTGTCTGTTGTACTCCATACTGGCCGTCGCCTCTTCTCACTACAGCAAATGGCAGAAGATCCAGGATCGAGAATCTCTGCGGTACTTGAAGAAGGCGCTCTCGTCTCTTCAATCGCGATTAAAGGACCCTGCCCTAGTGTATCAAGAGAGCACTATCGTTGCCATGTTGTCTCTAATGTCATACGAGGTTTGTTGCGATTCTCAAATGCAGAGTTCCCTGAACGGCTTACCGTCTCTGCAGATATTCAACGGGGCGGCCGGCTGGGCGCCACACTACCAAGGTGTGCTGGGGTGGTTAGCTGCTCGGGGGAACTGTTCGGATCTCAATTCATTCCTCAAGACTTGGATCTCTATGATCGACACCCAAAAGGCGCTTAACCTTGGGGGCAGTACAACGGCCGAAGTACAAAGATGGCTAGAGTCAGGCAACTCATGGACAAGCAACTGCAATACTATTGATCCCTTCTTTGGATGCTCGGTGCGATTACCAAGACTCATGGTGTGTTGCTGGCGAAGGAATATTTCCGTCGTGATCCATCCTAACTCAATACTAGGCTGCTGCTGCTAAATTGTTCGACATTGCCCGCATGCCGCCAGGGACCGGGCCATTTACGTTCGAGGAGATCAACATCCGCGCCGAGGAACTTCAACGACAGGTCAGAGATACAAAAATTGAGTGTGTGTCGGAACCCTCACTCGCTATGTCGTGCCACAGTGAGAGAATCGACCTCTGTGCCATTGAAGACTTAAACCACCGCGAGTATTTCCGGAGGATGATAGCTGCTGCCGAAACGTTCAGACATGCGGCGCACATCTACATCTACCGGATTACGCACGAACCTGAGCAGGTGCCGTCCCCAGAAATTCAAAAATCGATAGACCAAATGTTCGAGCTACTCGCGACCGTGCCTGATGCCCTCGGGCCAGGATCGAATTTGGGATGGTGTCTCACAGTCTTGGGAGCAGAGCTAGATTCACTGGATCAGCGCGAGTACATAACATGCCGTCTCCAAGGCATTCAGACTCTCGGCATGAATAACCCCGTTTCAGGCAAGAGAGTCCTTAAGAGAGTATGGACGCAGCGAGACCTATATCGTCAAGGGTTCTGCAGAATACAGAGATGGCAAGACATCATGCGAGACATGGGAGAAGGCCAGATTCTTGTCTAACATTTACGAATTGATTCTATCCAATCACTGCAGCCTCCAGTATCGCTCCAGAAACGTTTCGATGTCCAGGGGGGGTTTTATTTTGCCATCCAGCAGTACCACCAAGTCAACTCCCTCCTTCGCTCGAGCGACGTCATACGCACCTAGTGCTATTGCCCCTCCCAAGTCACACAGCAGAGCGTTGAGCTGGTTAGGGCCCCCCTCGAAATGGTTGCCGATCGCTTGGTTGCTTGTCAGTAGCTTTGCAGAACGTTGCCGCAACAACTCTAAGGAGTCATATCGAATATCGAGTTTCTCGCCCTTGATTCTCTCGGCTATGCGGGCAAGGTCTTCCAATTTGGGCTGCGACCCGATAATAAGAGAAACCTTCGGCCATCTGTCCAGATCCAACGAGGCGGCAATGTACCTTGCAGCATCTTTCGTGTACGTCATGGCCATCATGGCTGATCCATCACCGGGAATTGCTACTTCATTATTTTCCAGGTCCAGAACGGTGTAAATCGGCCGCAAATGCGTCTGAATCCTCGGCAATGCGAAATAATCCATAAACATTCCAGGATAAAAGTATGTGTACTCCAAATGGGTCTTCTCGACTGCCCGTCGAGCAGCCACATGGAATCTCTTCTCAGGATACGGCAGTATGTCGTCACCCAAGTCATAATCCACGTTGAACTCTGAAGGTGCGAATCGCTTGACGCAGCTCGACGCAGCGGCGGCCTCGATCAGTCGCACCTGAGCATCCGAAACTGGTTGAAAGTCCACGTTCAGGGCGGATATTATAGTGTTCACTTTCTTCGATTCCAGCAACCTTGTCATCTTGGCTACGTCGTTGTAGTCGGTTTGTAGCACAGGTATATACTCTTTTCCATCCGGATTCTTGAGGGCTCTGATGTTGACGGGCACCTGGAATAATGAGCCAATTGGTACGAAAGGAGACGACGAGGAAACTTGCCTTACGAGTTAACGTGTAGACTTCATGTTTGCCCGTGTCCAAGAGTGCATCGACGATCAATCGGCCGAAATCACCCAGCCCTCCGGGGACCGCAATGACGACCATGTTTGCATGGACTCCGGTGCGAAGCGCTCAGGACCAAAAGTACTGGAATTCAAATAATTGCAGGACGAGATCTAATGCCAAAACAGTGACGTCTCAGGTCATCTTCGTTTCTCAGACGTTGTTCTCTGGTTTTTGGTCGCCCAATGCGAAGTGATCCTCATAAATGTTCAAGGACTAATTTCGACAATACTCCATCAGCCTCCCAGTTTGAAACGAGTAAAATCAAAACCCCAAAGCCGGGATTTTTCGTCCAATTATTCGACGATTATCAGGCCTAGGTCCTCAGCAGGTCCCCAACTTTTACCCTCATCCCTCAACCACACCTCCTAATGGCCTCCGGGGCGATTGGTATTAATCCGGGTTGAAAGTTTCTAGGTTAGGGCCATACCACCCTGGTCCACAGAGGCAGGGAAACTCCCCCTCCATCCTCCACTCCCAGGGCAACGGGTGGCCCATCCAGTATAGCAAGAGGCTAATAGGAATGGGAAACATGTGGAAGTCTGATCGTCGACCGCAGGAACAATGCAAGGTTTGCAGCACGGTGTGACGCCCGATGGACTCGGATATAATCAGAAAGGCAAAGTTACAACAATCACCTCTTGTCGAACGCTGCCTAGATGCAAAGACCGATTCAATTTGAAGGCAGGGTTGCATCATCTACAACTTGGATTAGATAGCTCCCTGTTACAGACACTGTATGTCATTTCCTCAGTCTCTTTTCAATTTCTACACTCTCTGAACCTTTCTCTGTACCTTTCAAATGCCCCTTGTCATTTCTTCCCAAATTTGGGGTCTTAAGCCAGCTTTGTTTGCAGTTGCACTTTTGAAGCTTCCTCTCCAATCTCGACGGTGTGGACCGGCACATCTGTAGAGACTCTGACTGCGTCGAGGATGATTGTAGGTCCATTGTATCTTCCACGGGCATACACAAAGTAGAGAACTGTGGCAAATAGTAGGATACAGCCAATAATTGCGACAGTATAGTTCCTAATTGATGCAGTTAGCACTGTATTAGACAAGGTAACAAAGGGGATTTACATGGTCGCAGCTGTCACAGGCTGGTAAGTTGGGAGGGACATGAAGATGATCATGAAAATACCGAAGCAAAACGACACCATATCGACAGCCCATCCGTAACGACCTAGGGACCAAGGGCCCTTGGTCAATGCTAACCTTCGTCGCGCGTAGAAGAGATGCAGGCCGATTGGTATGACATAACTTAGTTGGAAAGTGACGACAACACCCGCCATAATGCCCTGTGCAGCACCAGTCAGACATGAGATCCATGGTGTATGGGCCAGGGGATTCCCTACGTAGAAGGCTGTCGTGTTGAAAATGTAAATCATGACAATGATCAGCGCGGGAGGGGCCATCGCCAGTAAACATTCGATGGGTACATCGAACTTAGGATGGATACGAGCGAAGGAGGGCGGGAGGCCTCCATCCCTTGCCAATGACCACATAGCCCGGGCGGCAGCGCCCCAGAGATCGAGGCCTGCCGCGAATGCAACGTAGCTGCTGATCGTATTAAGGACAATTGCAGCCACTGGACTTCCAGTGCTGTTGAACAGGATCTGCGTGAAAGGGCTGGTGAAACCTATTTGAGAGTTGTAAAGAACGCCCAACGGGTCACCAATGCAGAACAAGACCGTAATGATGAAAGGTATCTGGAGCTTCTGTCAGGTCTGCGCAGGGCTTGAGCGGGAGTTGATAGCTCCAAGGAAGGCCAGAACTTACCGTCATAAGTCCATTCAAGACTGCTTGGAGGAACACTGGTGGGTGATGTCAGTATTGAAAGGTTGGGGGATATTCTCAGACTCACTCGCTCTTGGAACTGCAATGTTCGCATCTTTGATCTCCTCGCTGTAGTGTGAAGCAGTATCAAGAGAGAAAAAGGCAAATAACGCTGGAAGCAGGCTGATACACCACGCAATGCCATCCTGGCTCCAGCCAGTGGAGTTCTCAAAGTTTGTGAAGACGTACTTGGCATCGTGTTTAGTGTCAGTGCACACCGCCAACGTGATGATGACAGCAAAATATCCAAGAACATGGATGCATAGCACTTGCAAGACATGATTAGGAGTAAAGCTGTACCACATAGAAGCCGACTTACCACTTTGGTTCATCCAGTGAATACCTTTTACATAGACAAGGTTGAAAATCACCCAAATAACAAGTACAGCCACGTTGATCTGCGTGAGTTAGACTTATGATCAGATGTGTAGAGTGTAGGTGCCCACCAAGAATGCGTGCCATCTCGCCATTCTGTAGGGACGGGCAATAGCCACGTAAGATTGAGTTTGCACTGCAACTCCCATGCCGCACGAAATCGCTCCCAGCCAGAGGCCTGCAATACTGATCCAAGCGACATACCAGCTCTTTTGTGTGTCAGCCAGTGTATCAGCTTTGTGAACGACGCCGTACTATGATTGCCTTGTGCTTCTTTGGAGACACTTCAGCCGCCCAAACGTATTGACCACCGGCAGAAGGCCACATGCTGAGCTAGTGAGCACCTGTTTGTTCAATAACTTGTTCAGCACTCACCTGACCAGCTCGGCAAGCGAACTTGCCATAAAGGTGATTCCGACGGAGACAAAGATCCAGCCCCAGAACAGGCCGACTGAGCCACCACCGACAATTCCTTGCGCCATTGATGCAATCCACCCCTCCCACTGCAACGCGATTAGGTCTCATTCATTCTGGTCCAGCAGCAAGTATTCTTACAGCTCCACTGCAGCATAAAGCTATCCCGAGTGCGGTCCAGAAATTGAACTTCTTTTGCATTGTGTGGTCGGCCTCCTCATGTGCTATCGTTTCGCCTTCTGGATCAAGCATCTTTTCAGGGTCACAAGTCGCCACTGGGATACGGTGGTGGGGTTTCAAGAGATGCCTTGCATATGTGACACGACTGTGTGGCAAGAGACTTGGATCTTGACTGTGTCCAGGACAGACAAGCTGGGACTTAATACGGAGATGATAATTAATACAAGAACCGATGTTGATTTATCGCAAAACCACTCAATGAGCTGATAGACCTAGATCCGTCGCGATGTAGAACACACTCTCAGCACCACGCGGTCGAGGCTTTACCTTAATGATGTGGAGCGTTCAATCAACGAGGGGATAACGTATCGTAGTGATGGCAAATGTTTAAGTCGTACTTACTCGACTGCAATTGCCGAACAATTGCACAGAGGATAAATCATTGACAAACTCTCTCTTGGTAGGATTAATTTTTCCCTTGCCGGCATGGTGGTCCTGTCCAAGAATGCTGTCGGAAAAAAGGTGGAGACTGGCATTAGTCTTGGTGAGACTAAGGAAAAATCGAACCAGTAAAATCAAAATACGAAGGGGCCAAAGTGAAATTAACAAAGGTTAGAGCAATTGGATGCTAGCCTGCTCCTCGCTCAGTCCCAGCCCTGGAGACGGCTGCTGGGGCCACCTGCCCTCCTCACAGACATAACGACGCGTTTCCTCAACATGTTTCCAGCCATGTTACAACTTAGAAACCGGCCGGTTGGAAGTCTTATATGCCAAGGCGAATTTGGGGGTTGAGAAAGTGATCTCAGAGCCGTTGTGAACAAAAAAAGTATCCCCTGGCTGCAGATTGATCTTCTTGCCAGTCTCATCCTTGATGCTAAGCTCCCCTTCTATAAGAATTCCCGACTCGTCGTAAGGATATTTGGGCGGTGTCGAATCAGAGGGCCCCTCAAGCAAGAACCATCTAAAGAAGTCAGCGACGTTTCATCAGGAGTGTATTAGGGCGGTGCTTCAACGCAAAATATGGTGCAACAAAGGCATAGAGATTCTCATTTGAAATCGCATAGGTGGAAGCAGGTCCTTACGACCCTGTCAATGACTTATTCCCGAGAACATCGCCTGGATGCAGAGTCAGGGTGATTCTCTTTGACAGACATTTGTTGACTGACCAAAGAACACGTTGGCTCCGGCTTCAGGGAGATTGGGAACCTTATATTGCTGGATCTTCGAGGCGTAATCGACAGGCATCTTGACGGAATCCTTTCAGTATTCCCCACAGATAGCCCAGACTTGAGTTTGATCGGTTGTCTTACTTTGTTAAATTTGCAGTCTCGAAGTTCTTATACCGTAGGCACAGAATGGTGCCACATATCTACTCTGAATGACTTGCTCCGCTGACCTCGACCTGTCCCACAGGCCTTCCGGACCCTGTGTGCTCTGCAAAATCCATGGGATTATCATAGAGAAGAGGCCCACTCATTCGGCAAACCCCTGCGAGATACTGTACCACTAGCAGTCGGAGGAGCAGAATTGTCCGAGTCCTTCTGAATTAATCCGTATTTGGCCTATGCTCAATGAAGTCTAATCTTAAGCTTTCAGCATCCAAAGATCTCGTCTTACAAGCCTACAAGCTTGCTTGCAAAGACTTCTCCATAATCGCATGGTCCACCCGACCCGCAATACTGAAGTCTCCCTCAGCGGGCACCGACAGCTCCTCGATCGTTCCCTGACGATTGTTCCTAACGTCTTGAGCCAAATGGTCAAAATGCTTTTCCGCATTGGCTTCAGCGTCATGCTCAATCACCCATGTCCATCTGGGCAAGTTGATCGTCTCGGGATGCTTCTTGATTGTCTCTTCATCAAGGGTATGATATCCGTCCCTTATTTGGATAGACGACATGTGAATAACGTGACTCCGGTTGAATCTTATCCTCTCAAACACCTTCAGCCCGAGAGTGACATCGCCTTTCGCCCGTTGGAGCGCTACTGCCAACGCCACGCCATCTTCGAGCGCCTGGGAACCTCCCTGGGCGGATGTTGGTAGGTGACAGTGAGCTGCATCTCCAATCAAAGCGATCTTCGAGCTTTTGCTCAGCCACGTTGTGAGCGGCTGTCTCCAGACCAACTTTGTATTTCTCAAAGAGTTAGCAAGGGATGTCATTGACTACCTAAGAAAGGCATCGACATACCTTATAGTCCACGAGTCGTGATTCTGGTGTTGCCAAAACGACCTCCCGCAGCTTCTGCTCAAATCCTCCCTCGTCAATGCATTTCAACACGTCTTCAATTCGGCCAGAGAATGACCAGGACTCTCCGATATCCGCACTATCCTGTCGAGGAATCAGCAGGTGAGCTGAGCACCAACTCTGAATGGACTCACCTTGTGAGTCAGGACCCAACCAAGGTCTCTACCCTTGTTCCACGTATAGATGATCGCGTGCAGGTCTTTTGCAACCCACATCATTGTAAGATCGCGATCTGGATTACAGAACTCCTTCAAATATGGGTTCCTCTTGTGTTCCTCGCTCAGACTGTAGTATGCCCGGTAAATAGCATAGCCGCTATTGACCTTTGCGTCTGGCAATCCCAGAACTTGCTGGCGGGCTTTTGATCTCGGGCCATCAGCTGCAATGACGACGTCGCCGAAGTACTTGGTCCCCTTTTTGGTAATGACTCCAGGTCTTTCGCCGTCAATGTACTCAGCGACACTATCGCCGAACCGGAGCTCGACTCCCAGGCGTTTTGCGTAGTCAACGAAGACTTGATGCATTTGACCACGGTGACCTGCATATTGTCGCCAAAAATGCTCTTTTCTCAGCAACCATGGTTCTGACCACACGAGAGTCCCATCTGCCATATAGTACTCAAAGCGGTCTCCTTGATTGATGCACATTGACATCAGTTCACGGCTAACCCGGCCGTTGTCCCATTTTTCGATGATCCTCCCCCCGTTTGGGAAGAAGTCGATTATGTCCCCATAAGCCGTTGAGGTCGGATAAGCTTCGACGACAACAGGATTCATTCCTCGGATTCGGCACTCAATCGCAGCACAGAGGCCGCCGAAGCCTCCTCCAACAATCACCACCCTCAAACCGTCACTCGTCATTCTCATGGAAGGTGTCGTAAACGCTGACAAGGTGGGACGTAGGCTGTTTCTGAAACGGCGGTGACGAATTTGCGATATGAATTTCACAACCTCGATCTACCAGCCTCGCTCGGTGAGATGATGATTACGAAACCGAATCTCGCAAAATTCACAGTTCATACTTTATCCATGAGAGCCAGCGGGCGGAAACTTGCGACTCAAGAAGATCGTGGAGAAATTTGGAGTCGGGACCCTCAAGTTGGATTAACTTGTTATTGGCAGTCCCAGTCTGTAGGCCCACTCAAGGAAGACACCCTCTTGGCCACTTCTACAACCAGTCGAGAATACCTGCTTCATGGCACGAGTTCTGAAGTGGCGCCATGGTCAATCGGGCTGCCAGAGGGCAAGTTAGTGCATGTTCTCACCTAGCTTTCCTCCGGCTATTTTCCTAAATGTTTTTCTTTGATTTGTTTTTGTATATGTCAGGGCTAATTCATCTGATATTCCCAGAAAAAAGACCTTCTGAACATTCGCTGTCTTCTGGCCGAAGGCGATTTGCATACATCTACTGTTCAGTATGACATCGAGGGAAGGCTTTGTGTGGACCAAGAAGGACGGCAGCAAATATGGCATCCCTTCGATCGGTGTGATCAACCCTCAGCAACATGGCGTCCAAGATTCCCCAAACTCCAAGTTCGATGTCATCGTGATCGGCGCTGGCTACACTGGACTTGTTGCTGCCCGCGACTTGGTTACGCAAGGTACGGTGCTCCTATTCGGAATCCCGTTGAACGACGCGCTAACATTGCGATTTAGGGATGAAAACCCTTCTCATAGAAGGCAGAGATCGGATTGGTGGCCGAACTTGGCACAGTACGATAGATGGATTCAATTACGAAATGGGCGGTACTTGGATCCACTGGCAAATGCCTCACATCTATCGTGAAGTCTCCCTCTACGGTTTGTGGCCTGGTTTTTAACGGCCCAGCGACTTTACTGACCACCCTTAGGTCTCCACGATGATTGGATCGTTACTCAGACTGAGGGTGGGCCTTTGGACTTCTGTACTTTGACAACCAGGTTCAGTAAACGGAATCTATCGCATGAGCAGGAGGTAAGGCAGGTGCACGGATAGAAATCTCAATGAGGAATAGCTGATTATGAATAGAGTGAGATGTTCAGTAGAGTGTGGAGGGCTTTCTGCAACGTGGACGGCACATATATGAAGGAGGGAATGCCCTACCCTTTTGACTCAATGCGAAATAGAGCTGAGTTGAACAAGTACGACAAACTGTCTTGCAAAGACCGAATGGACCAAATTCGACCACACTTCTCAGATGAGGAGATCGGTATGTTGGAAGCGATTTTGCTCCAGATGGGCGGAGGCCCCCTCGAGGAGATGGGTCTCCTTGACGCTCTCCGCTGGTGGTCTCTGGGGAACTGGACCGGCACTGGCCTTAATGACATCGCCCTGCGAACAAGGCTCAAGAGTGGACAGAGCACCCTCGCACGGAAAATTTTCGATCATGCTGTCTCCACGGGTAACCTATCTTACCTTTTCTCAACACCCGTTGCGAAAATCGAAGATCACGATACCCACTCCAAAATCACGACAAGCACCGGTTCTACTTACAAGGCAAATCGAGTCGTCTGTACTATTCCCCTCAACGTGCTCCGAGACATTGAATTTTTGCCAAGGTTACCCCCTCTTGTCCAGCAAGCAATTGACGCAGGCCAGACAAATAAGTGCAACAAAATCCACGTGGACATTAAGGGGCCCGAACTCGTCTCATGGTCTTCGTTTGGGTCACCTGGTAAGGGCTTGATTTGTGCACTTTCAGACAACTTGACTCCTGCGAATGATACGCATCTCGTGGCATTCGGACCTTCAGCCGATTCACCGGCGGGCATCAAACTGGAGAACAACATCGATGGCATCAAGGAGGCTATTGAATACCTGTTACCAGACAGGAGAGAGATCACCCGCGTTGTAAGCTCCCATTCCTCAGAACTCGGCGAGTGGAATATCCTGACAATGTATAGGTATATCACGATTGGTACCACGATAAATTCTCGAAGGGTACCTGGTGTTACTTGCCGCCGAGTTGGGCGTCCAAGTACTTGGACGTGATGCAGAAGCCCCAGGGAAACATCGTCCTTGCTAGTGCAGATTGGTCTGATGGATGGCGAGGCTGGATCGATGGTGGTGCTCAGCAGGGTATGCAGGCCGCCAAGTACGTTATTGACAGCCTGACTTCACGCTTCAAAAGCCGGATTTGATATTACGTTCATCAGCCGCTTGACACTGGGAATCGGTGATAGATCAATATAAGACTTATGTGGATGCAGACCGGCATAGCCAAATTTAAATGTTCAAATTCAAAAATGATCGTCTTTCGACATTCGAAATGGATCAGAGCTGGATGAGCAGATAAAGCCTCTCTGTGTGATGTGGTATTTTAAGATGCATCCGCATAGATCTAGAAATTCTTTCTCGGGCTCAACCCAACCTATAGGATCCTCACAGTGACAAAACACATCAGACTTGCAGCATACGTGGCGCCGCCTAAGGTAATCAAGCCCAATATCTACCGCAGGCACTGCTCAGCAACGCTCCTCCAACTGGTACTCCAGTTAGAGCTCCAAAGCTCGACATAGTGTAAACCGTCGCGTAAAAGCGGCCGAACCTTTCAACTTCACATAGTTGTCTCAGGCAGACAGGCGTGAGACTCGTATTGCCTCCACTCGCAAATCTAAAAATTACAGATGTTGCGATTAGAACGCTAACATCTCTGCTCGCCAACATCCACATCAGAAGTACCGATACGATACACAGCAGGACAGCCAGGATCTGCGTGTTGAATCTTCCAATCTTGTCGCCCACGTACCCCGGAAGCCAACGCCCCAGTAGTGACCCGACATTTAGGAAGGTGAGCATATTGTACGCTGGCTTTCGTTCAATGCCCTCGCTCAAAGCATACGAAGAAATATAAGCGATCGGGATGAAGAGTCCCCATTCCGTCCAAAAAATGCCCACCGTCATAATCTTAATCTTTGGGGTAAGAAGCATGCCCAAATCCGGGAGCACGAATCTCTTGGTCATTGGTGAAGAGAACCTTGGCTTCAAAAGTAAAAAAGCCGTGGTTGTGAAGGGAAGGAGGATGAGCGCTCCCTGAGCGCTCCGGGATCGCTCAGGAAGCAGCAGATGAGCCGAGGGTGAGCAAAGCGGCGAGCGGCTAATAAAAAGGAGAAGATGGAGGACAGGTTTTTCGTTCGATCCTCCCTCTTTAGTATAAGTCTATTAATACACTGAAACCAAAGTCGTCTTGCTTTTGACGATCTCGCTGACGAATGCACCACATAAGTGATGGGGCGATGCTGAATTCCATTCCTTCCACTAGCCAGGACCCTAAATTATGTGGATATAAAGGTAAGGCATGTTGCACTTCGAACATAATACTCAATTCGGACGATACCCGTGAGATTGGCTATACCAAGGTGTACCCAATAAATCTCGGTGCCTAACTTAGAGACGATGCCGAAATGTCTCATATCTATCGATGCCAGAACAGGCGTCCACCGTGAATTGCACCTTACGCCAAACCACTTGTAGGGGTATAAAACCTCCTTGACAGGTCTTGAGCACTGCATCTTTTGTTTTACTTCCTGCAAACACTTCAACATGGCCGGGATAACTTCAGCTCTGCTGCTCCTTGTCCTTAGCACCATTGTCTGGCAACAGACTGTTAGGGGTGGTTGCGTGCCCGAATATGCCTTCTATCCACCATCCTACTCCAACAATGCGCTTCATGATACTTTCCTCGATATCCAACAATCTCTGAATGTGTTGATTGAACAACAAGAAGCATTCAACGACACCTCATTCGCCCTGGAAGTCTCCTCCTCGAAAGAAACCCTTTTCAAGTTCTATCACACAATGCTCCGGGCAACCAAGGACAGCCCAACAGAAACAATAAACGGCTCGACCATGTTTCGTATCGAGAGCAACACAAAACTTTTCACTGCGTTGGGAATATTGAAGCAAGAGGCATTAGGACATCTAGATCTGGATGATTCCATATTACGCTATGTGCAAGATCTCGAGGCCGACAAAACATCCTTCGATTGGGAGAGAATCACAATCAGATCTCTGCTCGCACATATGACCGGCCTCCCAGACACCCGTAAGCTCTCCAGAAGATTGACCACAGGAACGCCGCCAGGCTAACATGCGCTAGTTGCGGATGATGATTTGCTCTTATTGCTTGCGAATCCCACTGAGTACGGGCTACCTCCTGTGTCCGATAAAACACTGAGCACTCTGCCACCATGTGGAGTCTTCAGCAACTACACAGAACCTTGTACTGAGCAAGGTGAGGATTGCACGCCCTGGCTGTCGCGTAAGATACTGACGGAACATCAAAGATCTTCTGCAGTCCTTGCCACAATATGGACCTGTCCTTCCGCCGCAGGTAGAGCCATCCTACAGCAACATCGGTTATGATCTCCTTGGTTTGGTGATTTCCAATGTCACAGGGATGAACTACCGGGACTATATATCGTCGTCAATTCTACAACCTCTCGGCTTGAACAACACTTCTTTCACGCCGCCGGCGCAAAGTGCAGCGAAGCTTCCCTATCCAAGTGCCTGGAGCCAAGAAACAGGTGTCGACGCAGCGTGAGTGTCTAAGCCAGACTACATACTCTTTCCTTTATGCTGACATTTGTCAATCACTAGGGCTGGGGGGCCTGTACAGTTCCTCTTCGGACATGATTCTGTTCCTGCGTTACTGCCTCCTGAACCACGACAACATCACGCCTTCTCTTGACTGGTTCTCACCCAAAGCATACTCGGCCGGCCAACACTCCTTCCTTGGGTACACGTGGGAGATCTTCCGCACCTCAAGTATCCTGCCCGACAGCGAGCGCGTGGTGACCTTCGTCACCAAGGGCGGAGGCGGCACAGAATACTACAGCTACAGCATCATTCTGCCGGCCTACGACCTCGTCGTGTTTACGGCCGCAGCCGGAGAGCTCCCCGCGTTGAACGATGTCTTTGCTGCCGTCCGTGACAAACTCGTCCTCGGGGCTGAGCGAGTTGCACAGCAAGATCTCAAAACGACCTACGCGGGAACATACTCGGCATTAGGGTGCAGAAATTCTAGCTCCTTATGCAGCCAGAACCCCCCCGGCCTCAACTCTTCAATTACACTCGCGCAATCCTCGTCTCGATCCCTATCCATCTCGGCATGGATCTCAAACTCCACAGACGCACTCCAAGCCCTCCTCTCCGTCTCCAGCTCCCAAAGCGGCCAAACCGGCAACGTGTATTTCCAATTCACGCCCATGTTCCGAGCCATCTCGGGTCCTTCTTCGGACGGAAGTAATCGCACGGGCGAGATATGGCGCTTCATCAACGTGATTGATGATACAGAGGTGCCCACCAACGCCACTAACGTCTGGGACGATTACTGTGCCTCGAACTTGGATCCGTTGAGGTACGGCGGTGTGAGTGTGAATGAAGTCGTGTTTTGGCGCGACACCGAGACGGGGCTGATCGAGGAGATTCAAATCCCGGCGTTTCAGGTCGCGATGGGGAGAGAAAAGGCTTGAGTATACTGCCCTTGTATTGGCTTTTGGGAAAGAAGCAAGAACGGGCCGTTTTTGTGATTTTTGTAGCCTGATTGCCTATTTATGGCTTTGGGCTTTATGAAATTTTGAGCCGCTGCGCGTTCTATATGATCTATAATTCTCACTCTCTTTCCGAATGCCTACGAATACCATCAACGAACATAGTATCTGATATGCACACCATATGTCACCAGCCGAGCAGCTGGCATCTCGAGCGAAACAGGAACGACGACAAAATCCCGGACGAAGGCATTGAGAAGCCGAGATATCCTTCAAGGTATTTATTTTTCCTGTCGTTCTTGATTTCTGAGTCGCTAAATCTCAGCCCACTGAGCGAAACCTATGCATATCACACAGCTGTCGACAGCAGCAGCCATGGCCACCGGGTATCGACGGCTTTGCTCGATCTGCACCAAGTTCACATCTTGGGACACCAGCCCGCGTTGCTATATATCATATGCTTTGAGTGCCTTTGTTGACCGTTTTCGGTCCCCCATCTTAGCTCATCCTCACCGTCGAATCTTTTTCGTGGTCTGATAGAGCTGAGGGTATTTCTCTTCCAGGAAAAAAAGCATAACTCCGAGTCAGACAAATAACACAATCGGTGGACACCTGATCAGGTTGGGAAACTCACCGTCAGCAATATCTGGGGCTTTGCTCCAGCAAGAGGAGGAGGATGGGTATTTGTCTTCAGCAAAAGTATCACCAGTACTACTTCCAACTGAGTCTGCAGCTGGACGACGGTGGGCGTACGCTGGCTGGATAAGTTCGGTAAAGTTTAGGCATAAGCTGAGCAAGAGCATATTGAACAAGAGTCTCCTTGCAAGATGAGGCGTGAGTGGGCGTTGAATGTGATGACGAGAGAGCGTTCCTTCCCGACGAGATATATATGTCAGGGATGGAACAGCGTCGGCTTGCCTGCAATGCTGGCATTGCCATGTAGGGCCACCAATGAGTAGTAATATAGCACATCCCATTTGGGTAATATGTTCGAAATACTGTAACGTCATTTGGGGGCTTAGAAGAGGGCCCCTTCCTGCAGGTCCTGATCCGGTCCAGACCGTTCCTGAGTCACTTTAACAATTTTTCCGTCCAGCTAGCAGAGATACAGCGCGTGAAATCTGCAACAGCGTCAGTCCACCCAGAGTCGAGCCCTAAGGTCGGGAGCAATACATACTGAACCAGCGCACAGTCGCCCTGCGCTTGCTGAAGGATCGCCCTGGAGAGCTGATGATTGTTGCAGATCTCTGCGAAGTGTTCTAGTTGGCGTCGAATCCGATCCCCTAATTCCACTGACAGAGTGCCCGACAACGCGGCTACTTTCGAAAGAGGCCAGAGAAAGCTGCATATCCACATGTCCCTATTTGTTCTTGGATTCGCCCCCGTCCGGTGATATTGACCCTTTTTCAGGAAAGGTGGTATGCTCTCGTATAGTTCTCCGATGACTTCCTGAAGTACCAGAGTAGCACGATTTGCCTGCATTTCCAACCATTCTTGATCCGAGGCGCTGTGACAATCATGAATCGACACCATACACCGCTGTGCGTGGCTCAAGAGAAGCTGGTTCAAATCAACACGAATTATGCGCATTGTGTTGCATGCCTGCGTTCGACGGTGACTCTGATAGTCACATGAGATGCAGATGCCTCCTTCCAAATGAGCTATGACGTCGTGAGTCGATGCCAATTTTCCGTGCAAGGCCTGTGCTTGCTCGTCCAGAGCGAGTGCTTGTTTAATCACATCAAGATGGCCAACCCGATCCTCGGCAGTCGCCAGCCTCAAATTTGTCGACGCATCGATCAAGTCCCAAAAGCGAAGTTGGAAGTCGTCGGCGGAGAGCAGAGACTGGTGGCGGAGAAGAGTTAGCAGAGGTGGTAAGGTTTTGCCTTGTGCGTGACAGTCGAGGTGGATCGAACCGATAATATGGCTTAACAGGTTCTGAACCACGTGTCCGTCAGGTCCTTGAGGTGACCTCAAGAGCATCAACTTCATCGCCGCATTGACATGTTTTGACCAGATGCGCGAAGCTTCGGCTGTATCGTCGCATGACAAGGCTGTGAAAAGAGCTAGAAGCATGACAGAGGCAATGGTGTCATCCTGGGCAGCCATTGCTGGTGTGGATACGGCATTGTTGGTCTTCCGCAACGCCACCGAATACCTCTCCATTGTTTTTCGCCTCAGTTCGGTGCTGCGCTGGCGAGAGCCAAGGTAGGACATGGCCACTGCTTCAAAGCTTGCATTGAGCAATGGTGACCAGTTAGCGGTCCCGTACAACTTAAGCAGATAATCAAGGTATACTCTTTGGTCGAAGTTGGCAACGAAAAAGGGAATGGCCACCTCGCTGTTTGACTGAGCCAAGGGCGGAGTGATGTTGCCAGCCTGCCATTCAAGTTTCTTTCCACAATTGATGTCCAGTCTATCGACGGAAGGCAGCGAGGTCTCGGCGCGATCGGAACTCGACTGATCGGATTGAGGTAAAAGAGAATAGGAGGAACTCCGTCCGTGATGAATGGTATCTCGCTTCGATGTGGCATGATATTTTCGCTCAAGTTTGTCATTCTCATGCCGCATAACCAGATCCAGCTTATCCCGGTAGCCTGAACAGGTTCTCAAGCTCCTGAGGCATTGCGAACACTCTGGTCGACGTCGGTCACACTAGTCCATTGGTTCGTCTTCAATCTATGAAAATGGGAATTCATCATTTACCTTTGCTCTTCGCTTGCGGCAGGGCTCACATGCCGTTGATGGTTTGGTGCGATCGACTAGGGCGGATCCGACCTTCAAAGCCGAAAACTGGTTGGATTGCATAAGTGGTTTGTCGGCGACTATGGCCGAGAAAAGGTGGCGCTCTCGGGAAGGGTCCGAAGCACCGGAACCCTCAGTGGGAACAGGCGTTTCGCAGCTCCTGTGCGAAAGCACTTTCAAAAATTCTCCAACATACGAGATAGTCTGCAGACTTTCTCCTGGGAGACGCTTGTACTTGAAAATAAAACGGTGTCATTGTAAGTAGTAACGCTGCGCCCCTGGCACCCTGGTGGCCTTAGGTTGACGCGTACTCCATACTCGGTATACTAGCTACCTCTATTACTGGCGAACGAAAACTGATTGCCATATACGGTTTGATCTTACAGGGCGAGCGAAGGCCGCTTTAACATGAGGTTTTAGCTGAGCATCACTGAGCAAACACACCTGGGGGCCTGACCTGGCCCCTAATTACTACCGGCTACAGCTGTCTCGAGGCTATGCATCTCTTTTAGACAGGCGTCAAGATGACGACGTCTCCTCCACGTACTCCCGAAGCTGCCACCGGCATTTTCTTCTTCCAGGCCTTTGGGGGTTACTGAGGAGGCCATTGGTGAGTTCGGTCCAGGCTTGTGGCGAGATTTTTTTCGCTCTAACCTCGCCTATGAACAAGCCCACCAGCCTCTTCGGTCTCCCTTACCTATCACCGATGCCTATGTACCTACTGGTAGTATTTAGCGGTGAACTGTGGATCCGATCGTTGGCCGGCGCCCTGTGTCAATGTTTTTACCGGCTTTTCATCCATCCCATGAATTTCGGAACATCGTCGCTTTAGGCCGACTCTCACAACTGGGGCGCCTCTATTTTCTTTGCTGGCTGATGCTCCGCCTCTCTGTTCCCCGTTTTCCTGGCCGTCCCCGAGGTCGCAAGTTCCAGTATCTGAACAGATCGACGACTCCTTCAAGGAACGGTTTCAGCCTCCCCAGCGCAGTTTAAAGGGCATCTCCAGCAGCATCTCCGTGCATACTGTCGATCCTAGCCACTGCAAGAGTGGGTGATGAACGTCCACTAACAGAAGCGTCCGCCATTGATTTTCATCACTTCGGCTGGACTTCTTCAGGCATCGATCTGGAACCCTCTTAGCGAGAACCGGCTTACAGCCACGAGAATACAACAATGATACGTCTAAGTTCGCCGTAATGGCCAGCAGTCACTTCAGATACTTTTCGGACCAGGTATGGGGGGTGCAAGACATAGCCGCAAGAGGGCGCAGCTTGCTGGGGCAAAGGTGCATCCAACAACCCACCGAGCCACCAATTTCCCCCAAATCACTGTCTCTCAGACGAGTGCGCCCTCCAAAGCAGAGGAGCGCTCTTGGCGAGCACCTACCGACCAAGCTCAGCGTTGACAGGGGTAGCCACTAGCCGTTGCTTGGCGCTGGAAAGTCGACAACCTCAGGAACTCAGCGTAAGGACACCCTTGGACCTGGTCAGGGCGATTCAGAGACTTATGGGTGCATGGCCTGTTGCTAGACCGTAAGCCATCCCCGAGAACTTCAATTGCCCGGATGCTTGCTTTGGTTGCTCGTATCTGAGACCACCCATCGAAAACCGAACAGGAGGCCCGCGATGGAGGCCATTGGAGTGGGCGCGAGCCTGGTCCAGATCATCAACGCTGCTGTGGCCTCTATCGACTACCTACGCCAAGTTCGGGTCAGCTCCAACGAACGTAGGAAGCTATCGGACGAGGCAACTGCGTTGAGAGGGCTTCTGCTCCAGCTTGGGGAAAAGCTCAATCAGGCTGAGCAACGCAGTAATGGCGGCTCGGTCGGCACGCGCCTCCTGAGCGGACCGTCGGGTCAGCTGGCAGTCTTGGGGAATTCTCTCTCAGAGTTGACGGCAAGGCTGGGTCAATCCGTGCCGCAAGCGAATTCGGTCCGCTACAAGTTTCAGGTCATACAGCAGAAGTTTGCCTGGCCTTCGGAGAGGAAAAGGTGTATGGAAACCCTTGAATGTATCGAAAGAACAAAGACTTTCGTTCTTTTAGCGTTGCAGCAAGATATGGTGTAAGCTTGCCATCTGTCTTTTCGTCGATGCTGGTGTTGACTGCGCCCTTAAGTTCTGCGACATGGGACATCACTAGACAAACGGATGCAATACCTTTGATTCACCATGAATCCATCGCAACCGGCGAGAGAGTTCTCGGATTGACCAGCAAGCTCAATGGTTTGTCAGAGTCTCTGTGTGGTGTTGATCGCTTCGTGCTGCTGATTGTTCTCCGTCCTTTTAGCCACCGAGCGCCTAGCGATTGTTGCCTGGCTGTCTCCTCTCAATTTCTACGTCACTCAAAAAGACATCTTGAGCCGGTGGGAAAAGGAGACTTGTCGTGACGTCTTACAAGCCGCCGAATTCGAAGCCTGGGCGTCCGGCATAGGAACACATCTGTGGTGTTGGGGCATCCCGGGCTCCGGCAAGACAATGCAGGCTGCTGTCATCGTTCAGCATCTCCGGCAGTTATTTCCCGACGAATCCAAAACCAAGGTTGCCGGCGTCTTCTTTGATTACAAGAACAAAGCTTTGCAGACCCCGGCTAATGTTCTGGCCAGTATTTGGATGCAGATCGCCAACCACGAAGAAATTGATCAGCATGTTGCTCAGTTGTATCACCGGAATATTTTGAAGGGTACAAATCCCAGCATAGAAGAGGTGTCAGAGGTGCTGCGAATGGAATTAAGCAAGCATGAAAAGATTCTCCTCGTTATAGACGCTGTGGACGAGGGTGACCATGAGTCCACCCTGAAAGTGTTTGACGAGTTGACTCGTTGCATGGCTGTGATGAATATCCTTGCAACATCTCGTCATAGGAAACCGTCTCTGTTTCACTTTCAGGGCTGTCCACTGTATCAAATTCTATGTTCGGAACCGGACTTGAGGGTGTATGTTGAGAGTCGGCTTCAGCAGGAGCCGATGCTTCAACGACACTTGGCCAATTCACCCACGTTGCATGAGGACATTAAGCGATCAGTTCTAGAAAAGTCGAGTGGCATGTAAGTCAAAACTAAACCCAAGCCAACTTACATTTCTAATCGGCGTGACAGGTTCTTGTTGGGATTATTGCACATGAACCAGATCGCTCGTGAAGACAGCGTTCGGGGAGTTCTAAGGTCCTTGACCACTCTCCCGCAAGACGTCAACTCGGCCTATTCAAATCTGCTCTCTCGTGTGTACTCTCAGCCCGATCGTCAAACACAAAGAGCGAAACAAGTCTTCACGTGGATATCACAAGCAACAAGGCCCCTGAGTCTGGTCGAGCTCCAATGTGCCCTCTCTGTCGAACCTGGCGATACCCAATTAGAATCTCAAGCACTGTGTGATGTCGACTCGCTTATCACCTCTTGCGGCGGGATCGTCACTGTTGACCAAGAAAGCAAAACGGTCAGATTTGTTCACTACACTTTTCAGGTGTATATTGCGCAAAACGCGCCGTTTTCTCCTTCAACCATGCAAGCAGAGATATCACGGAAGTGTCTTGTCTATCTGCTCTTTGAAGAATTCAACTCTGGAAAGTGTCTGAGTGACTCCAAACTTGACGAACGACTCAGCCAGAATCCATTCCTCATGTATGCAGCCAAGAATTGGAGCCACCACGCCAGAAATGTTCTTGAAGACCTTCAAGACGTACAGTCTCTGGCCATAACGCTACTTGAGAGATCTGGCTCACTGGATAGCTGCTGCCAGATCTTGTTTTTATCTCCGCGAAGATATGATGGCTATAGTCTAACATATCCAAGAAGCACCTCGAGTTTATGGTTTGCGGCATTCTGTGGGCTGAAATTCCTTTGCAAATACTTGCTTGAGCACGGTCACCCCGTAGATGAGGAGAGCAGTGGATCTAATGCCCTGTGTGCAGCAGCAAGAGCCGGCCACAAGGACGTTGTCTTGCTTTTACTCGACTCCGGTGCTTCGGTCGATGGCATTGAAACTTCCATTCCCCTCTTCGAGGCAATCAAGACTGGAAATAAGACGATCATCGACATACTCCTGAGCAGAGGAGCCCAAGTCACCTTGACATCTCAAGACGGCCGAAGCGCGCTGCATGAAGCAGTGGTGAGCAATCGCCCCGAAATTGCCAGTCTTCTTATCAATCGCGGCGCCAATGTGAACTCCAAGACTAAAGCGGACCATTGGACACCCCTGCATAGCGCAATTGCAAATCGAAATACGAAGCTTGCGTCACTGCTTTTACAACACGGCGCTGAAGTCGATACAAAGACAGTGGATGGAGAGACAGCGTTACACATTTCGGCAGACTACGATTTTGGTGACGGGGCATTGCTTCTACTAAACGCAAATGCGGACCCAGACAAGACGAATCGGTTTGGTCGAACAGCCTTGCACACATCTGCTCATAACGGCTTTGAGTCGATCTCGCAAATTCTGCTACGACGGGGGGCGAAACCCAGTCTCAAAGACCACTCCGGGCAGTCCCCACTTCATAAAGCGGCCGAAAATGGCCACATCGATACTTGCAAACTGCTGTTGGGGTACAAGTCTGATATAACTGCGCAGGATTGCAAAGGGAGTCTTCCAATTCACCTAGCAGCCGCTGCTGGCCATACGGCAGTTGTCAAACTGCTCTCGGATCAAATTCAAGATATAGCCTCTGAGACATACGATGAAAAGATGGACTTCGACCTGACAACAGACCGTGATCTTGATGGTGTTGGAGGTCTTGCCCTCCCGCAACAGACAAATGCAGCCAGGGATTCAACAACAAAAGACATTACTTCACCAGTGTCAGGTGACGTGGATTATACTCTTCTGGGCCAGTTCAATTCTCGACATACAGAGCTCAATTCCTGGATAGAGACTACGGCTGCTGACCAAGAGGCTGATATGGACATTCCAGAATCGCGACAGCCCCCACGCCCAGCAGCACAAATCAACATTACCTCTGAATGGGGCCGTCTCCACACACCGATATCTGGACTGGGAGATTCGATGCCGATCAGCGACCGCTCTGAATTTTTCAATAAATTTGAACTTGCAACAGAAGTAAGATCTGCAAAACCGACAACCCCTGACGAGGCGTCGATGCCCAAGGAGCGAACAACCGCTGAAAAAAGGATAATGTCGGAACTTACTGACATTGGACGAGATCCCCCTTACAGGGTGAGTTGTGGACCGATAGGTGACGATATATTCCACTGGCAAGCCACCTTTTTGGGCCCTTCGGATTCAGACTATGCGGGCGGAGTCTTTTTCCTCGATATTCGATTTCCACAGGATTACCCCTGGAAGCCCCCGAGACTTAGTTTCACGACCAAGATATTCCACACCAATGTCAACGAGTTCGGCGGCATCTCACTCGATATTCTGCACGACGCCTGGAGCCCAGGCCTTTCCGTAGCAAAATGTAATAAGTGTGGTCCCCAGAATGACGTTTCGATCCAAAGCTGACACGACTCATCAGGTTTACTGGCCATCTGTTCCATGATGCAGGATCCCTATGCACCTCCAGGCTCCTGGTTTCCAAGCGCCCAGCTCTATTTACGTAACCGGGCCAAATATCATCAGACTGCTCGAGAATGGACGACGAAGTACGCGATTTAGCGTCAGAGAGGGCTATCGCCAGACCAGAGCACGCCAACAACAGGACATCAGCGTAGACCCAGATTCAGATAGATACGAGCTAGAAGTTGATATTCTGGCCATTGGAGCGTGGGTATTAACCCGCTTGTACTTGGTAAGTACTTTTTGCTGAGTGGATTGGTCGGGTTGTTGCTCTGATGTGACTCAATGGAGGACATGATAGATTACAATAGACCTAGAGGGCCTGTCTGACTATATACTGTCGAGTAATTTACACTGTGGGTATCGAGGCTAGTCCTCGGCCGAAGTCCTCGGACTGGTCTCGACAGTCTTTATAAGTACATCTCTTGGCAGTTCTGCCAGTCACACAGACACTAGATAGTCACGTGGTATTAATTATACCAGCTGTGGCCTGTCACGTGCCATCACCCCTTCGCCCCAGCCCTTGTCCCATTCCTCCTTCACATTGACCATTCTTCACCGGTCGACTGTCTCATTCATGATCCAACAGTGTCCCTGAAATCCCTCTCGCTGTCGAAACATACACAGTCCGATACTGGCAATCCATCCATGTCATCTTTGGCCCTCTCATGTGTAGGCGGACCGCTCAAAAGAAGATCGAATCTTCTCTACTCGGTACTGAATTGAGGTTTCGCCAACGGCCCCGTCTTTGATTGGGTTGGCCAAACTTGTACTCATCCACAAATGGCAACCACGCCTCTACCATCTGCAGATCTCGTGGCTAAGGTTCCTTTGCCAGTTCCAAATCATACCCGGTCAAATCTTCGATGATATGGTTTTCGGCCTCGAGAAACTGGGCCTTCTCATCCTCCGACAAATCCCCAAAAATCTGCCTTGTGCGGGATATCAAGAGGCTCGGCCAACAACTTGGGCCCGGTACCAATCACGAAGGTACTCAAGCTCACGGATTCCCGGCCATCTTGGTGGCAATCCACCATCTGCAATAGCTCAATTCTGACTCGGTCTGCTGCCGGCCGATGCTGAGCTCCCTGTTGTGATGTTGGAGCGCTTCGATGTTGGCCTGAAGTTGTTCAACTTCCACATGGTTTTGGTGTCGAACAACTTCTGCTGTTTCTCCAAAAGCCAGCTCCCCTCGCATTGGGCTCTCCAGTTCTTCGGCATGGAGTTTGGTTTGTCCCAGTTCCGCTCTCGGTGCTTCCAATTGATCCTTCGCATCCTTCGGCTGCAACCGCACAGTGTAGTTCGTCTCATCGAGACGGATCTTGCTCTGTTGAAAGTTGGCCATGCGCTCGTACAGGCTGGCTACTTCCCTCTGATGCTTTCGCTCTAGAGCCACGAGTTTCGAGTTGATCTCAGATCCTTAAAGTGCAGCTGACTGCAAGGCCTCCCTTGTCTCGTCTATGTGGGATGTGCACTCGAAAGTCTCCTCTTCAAGGCCAGGAATCATTTCCATTAGCACCCCTGCCTTCACCCTGACAAGATCCGGGAGCATCTTCATGAGATTGTCGACTTTGCCTCTTAAGATCTCAAAGATTGCAGAAAATGCTGCATTTTTCTTCTTGAACACATCCTTGTCCTTTCGAAGTTGAGACACCCGTTAATTCCGGTCGTCGACCGCTTTGAGAAATATTTCGTTCGCTGCGACGAGTTCGGCGCATTTGAGTTGAGACATCTGAAAAGCCTGGTAAAGGTTTCTCACTTCGTTTGGCTTGCAGATGTGGGGCTCTTCAACTTCACGAGGCTCCTGAGCATGCATGTTCTTAAAGTCGAGCAACAGAGTTCTGTTGTACTCCTCGACTTCGGCAACACGAGCGTCTGCCTCGTCCTCTTGCTGAATCGCCTGGCTGCTTTGTCTCTCGAGCGCATGGATTGTATCGTGCAGGTGCTCTAGCCTAGTCGCCGTCTTAGTCGACCTTTCCTCGAGCAGCTGGTTTTCTTGCTTGGAGGAATCGGGAGTCATGCCATCTGGCTGCTTCTGGAACAAATTGCCTCGTGGAATCGCTGGATGTCATTAGGTTTCATTTCGAAAGGTTTGTGGCAGGACCTACCAATGCTCAGAGCTTCTGTTGGTGTCACAAATTTTTGCTACTTGGATATCCGATGCGGTGACGTGCTCGTTATTCTACGAGGTGGCGTGACGGGCTTTTTAGAACTACATATTCTGTTGAGTGTCTTCTCAAGGGATGAATGTTCTTTGTCGAGAGACCTGGAAAGGGGTGAAGCCTTGCGAAACTTGTTCCATAACACCGCTGCCATGACCGTAAGTGGCGAAGAGAGAGCGCTTTGGGTGAGCACATCTTGGCCTCTGAAGAGACAGGAGATTCGACACCGGGGAGAGAGGTGCGGTCTAAGTGGTAGCTTAGGGTCTTCATCGGAAGATGTGACTTTCTAAGGCTTGACTCCAATGTTTTTGATCTGAAAACCTGCTAGCCCAGACTACGAAAATGCTCTCTTGTAGCTTACCTGGTCGGTAGCCCTGCCCAACATGCACAAGAAAGGTTTGAACACCATTGCGTCGTCGTCTACTTGTGTGGCTTTGTTGTTGACGGTGCGGGAAGTCGAAGACGGGGATCTTGATGATTTGCGACAGATATGCTAGCCAGGGGGATGTTGTTGACGGATGGATAAGAAGAGCGAAACGTGGAAGTTGTGTCCTTCGTGGAACAGAGATATTGAGTCCGAGACTCGGTAGTGGAAAGGCTGTTGAGAATCAGGGGCTGAGTGATGGGGCGGAAGGATAGAAACAATCAACGCGTCCCAACTGCTTGGGATTGCAGCTATATTTGCTATTGCTGGGGAATACCGTCCTGAACATTCACTATTAAGTGCGCGGAATGGTTGCCATGAGGACCCGTCAACTGTGAAGACAAAATCTACCACCGAGATATTCTCAACAAGGCATGGTGAATGCGCCATTCATGGTGCGTTCCATGTGAACTTGGAAGAGGTGAAAATACAGCTTCTACTACGCGGAAACGTCTCATATCATCTAGTTCGAAGAACGTTCAAAGAGCGAAAGCCGCTAAAATGGCTAGATGTGTATCAATGAATATTGACAGGTAGCGAGTGCGATGGTCGGAGTTCCAGACCGCAAATCTGATGGAGGTTGGGTCCTGGGAGGTTCGCAGTCTCTGGACTTCTAGGTATCATAGACAATTTGTATAATATAGCTACTGCTCCTCCCAAACGATTTGGCTCACAGATCCATTTGAAGTGCTCGCAGCAGCCAGTGTTTGCAGCAAACAAATCATGACTGCTTCATCAGGGAGCCCGGTATCTCGAAGAAAGAACTCATTGTCCCCATCAACCAACTCGTGCCGCCACGCTCTGGTATGTATTTTGTGTCTCAACTGTGAAGAATGGGACAACCAAAGTGGTTTGGCCGAAGCAAATGAGCGCCGTAGTCGGGAAAAGGAAGCATTCATCCAGAGACATTGCGTAGGATGAAGCAAATACAAAGAGCCAACTTCCGCTACGTACCGAGTAACCTTTTTTGCGCCGTGAGACCCCTTTTCCAGCTAGCCTTGTCGCCTGTTAGAGCCTCGTGTGAGGCCTGTACCTCCATGCGGTAGCTTCGAATACATCCAACATGGCTCCAACACAGGAGTCCTACGGGGTTATCAGAACAAATCCGACAAACAAGTCTCGATCAAACCCCATCGTCGTTGGTCATATAGCCGTTGGAGCGGACAAAGGGCAAATTGACGCGCATTGTTGACTACCTGTGCTCGACTTATCTCTTTCACATTACTGAAATGGTGCGACATACTACCTCAACATCTTTCGTGAGCGCAAATAGAGTTAGCACCCTCAGGCTAAATCTAAGGGAAAAAAAATAAAATCCAAATCAAATCTAATCCAAAACCTTTAAACACCGAGGCTTCCACAGCTTACTCTCCAAGTCTCCCCAAGGGTTTCCCTCCCGAGGTGGTCCTCTCCCGGGTGGAGGTTGTTGCCCTCCTCCTCGTCCGGGCGGTCGGTGAGGCGGCCTTCTACCGCCAAGCCGCCCACCTCTCGGCTCAAGGTACAAGAGCGGCCAGATGGGGACGAAGCAGAACTCGTCGACACCGCAGACTCGGTCGCACTGCATCTCGTCAGGGAACCAGCCGAGCCACGCGCGGAGGAGGGAGATGGAAGCGCTGTGGTGCGCGACGAGGGTGTGCAGGACCGAGTAGGGCACGGTGGGAAACATCGAGGTTGAGCCGTTGCTGTTGTTGTGCTGGTAGTAATTTTGCCAGGTCTGTTCGACGGAGAAGGCTAGTGAGAGGGTTGTGTTGCAAATAGCTGAGAGGACGGTTTCGAAGGTGTCGAGGAGGGACTGTTCCGTTGGGAGAAGACTGGGGCGGAGCTCGTGCAGGACAGCTGTTTGGCTTGTTGTACAGTGGGCGTGGATTGCTGGGAGAGAGGAGGCGATCAGCGGGTAGGTCATGTAGGGCATGAGCATGGCGTGAAATTTGGAGCGGAGCGAGGCGATGTAGTCCCTTGTGAGTGTGGTGTTGGTTGTGTCGGTTGGTGGAGATGTAAGGAGATGGAGGACTTGGGTTAAGGGATGGGAGAAGCGGGAGGTTATGTCCGTTGCCTTTTGAGTCCAGTCGATGCCCGTGCAAGAAGAGGACGAGTGATTGAGAGAGCGGAGCGTGTGCAGGACGGCATCGCTCATGATGCTGGCTTCGTAGTTCGTGATCTGGGAGAGATTGTGAGAGCGGCGGCGCGTTGAGAGTTCCTTCAAAGCAAGACTTTGGTTGCCATCTCTGCCTGGGCCCTTCCAGCCTCCGTCTGCCGTGAGATTCAGACGGGCCTTTTCTTCGTCTGCGAAGGCGGAAGAGAATTCTTTGAGCATTGAATCATAGTAGCTGAGAAATCCACAGGACTTTGGCCTGACTCGGCCTTCGGGTCGGCCCACAGATGAGCCTGAGCTGCCCATATGCCAGGTCGCGCTCCGGTACCATTCAAAGCTCTGAGATTGCAGGAATGGTTCCAGCTCGGCTTTGCTTCGCCAATTAGGAGGAAGAGGCATGTCAGGCTCCCCCGTTGGAGCTTCTGAGGCTGGGCCGCTGGTGGAATTTGATGTGAGTCTTGTTCGCGAGGCCAGCATTTCAGCAAACGTCAAACTACTCGTGGGAGGTCCTTCCATCGGTGCCATTTCATCTACCGGTCCGTCGTCTCGGAACTCTTCTGGTAGTAATGGCACAGAAACGTTGACATGGCTGATCAGTCTCAAGGTCGGGCTCGTGAAGTTGCACCAAATCATCTCGAAACCCGCATTCATCCTGACGATTCCCTCAATCCCCCAGCCCAAACCGCCCAGTTCGTTCTTTTGGACCCAATCACACAGTGCGGTGGCCCGAGAATACTCGTCAAAGAGGCTGCGCCACGGATCACCACTCCCCAGAGAGCATGTCGTATTCCCACACAGGAACACCATCTGGGAATCGAGCGGGCCCGTCCCCATCAGCGCAGCGGACATGCCGTCGAAATAAAGACAACGTGCCGGCCGCACGTTCTGATACGTCAGCAAATGTGAATTTCGGCTGGAACCCATAATGCCGTAAGACATTTCCGCATCAAACGCAACCCACTCTGGGCTCGAGGGGAGCTTCTCATCGCGTCTCCCATGATAGAGATTCGTAAAGGCGGGAACTTCGCAGGGCACGATCGAGTGGCCGTTGGGAATGTATGTGTTGGGCCACTGCTCTAACAGATATCGCACAGAGGAAAAGATGTGGGGGGCAGTGGACGAGAAGTCGAGGTTCTGCTGGTCGTGTATCGGAGACGTAAGAGGGATCTGGCGGGCAGACACCCTCGGGGGCAGAAGCGCCATAGCGAAGCAGATACTGAGGCACGTCCGCACATTGGTTCGCCATCGAGACACAATCATGTTAACGCTCTAGAGAAGGCCACTTCCTCTCGTGTGTAGCTCATAGATTGGGTATCATTCCGTGTACACCGCGCAAGCCGCTCAGCGATATGTACACCAGGTTGAACCTACAGTACAGTACAATATCGTATCTTCATCTCTTATCAGCTTCGATAAGGCTGACGTGGCGGCGGCATTTCAAGCGAGTCACGTGATAAAGTCACACGAAATACCTAGTACATTTCTTGCTTATCGTGCAATTGCATCTACCGGAACGATTGAAATATTCAGTGATTCAAATTAGGAAGAGATGGGAGACAGATATTGAGGAGTTCGTCATTATCTTAAGTTGTTGCCGTGAAATCCGCGTTGGACCAATCTAGGGGGCCATAACTTGATTGATTGATTGATTGATTGATCGATTGAGGAAGAGAAGTTCTATCTGTAACAGGAAAGGCTTAAATGCTACTCACTACTGTGATCTGGCGCTAGCTTAATTAGGCTAGTCCACCACTCTATCTTTGTTAAAGCGGCCTCGTTGTGAGGTAATTAGCTGAGATGGATGCAATAGGGGCGGTATAGTATTGATGTGCTAAGAAATTGGCGCCAAGGCGCTAATGGTTCAACATCGAGGGTGTGAAATACGCCAAGACGCTAGTAATTATGGCTATAAAAGCAGCCTCCCCGACCACATAGATCTAGAAGAGTCCAATACACTTTTACGCTTCATTTCACAAGGGCAGGGCACCGCTGCTGGGCTATTTATATGGAATTTACCGAGTATTGTGACCCAACCTCCTGATACCCGGGTACCCCAAAACCTGAAGAATTTATTCGTTCATTCTTTCACTTATTGAAAATAAAAGGAATGTTATCTCGTACGGGAATCGACAACTGCAGGAATGACGGTACCTTCAGTGAGTGGCGCACTCGCTTTGGAAGGTTGAGTGATTTAGTATTTCACTCGATCCATGCTCCAAGATTTCAAGAGGATGAAAAGGGGCGCCGGGTCTGTCGCCTTAAGAGCTGGTCGAAACTGTATGGTGGAAGCCGCAACCTTCATCTTCTTACTGGTGCTCTCAGAAATTTATCATTCAGCAATAACTTAGTGAAGGACCTTCCGTCAACTCAGTCGCAGCGCAGTGGGGGGGGGACGTCGAGGCGATGAAAAAGGTGAGAGATGCTGGCCCCAGGAATTTGGAGGTAGCAAATTTATGCAGGCAAATTGGATGCCCGGATGAAGCAATAGGGCCAGGTAAGTGAAATATAACTTCAGCCTGATAGTGCTCTTTCAGTGTCATCCCATTCTATGCTCAACTTCTTCTCCCTCTTCGCGCCAGATCGCTGGCTGTTTTTCAAGGCCTACGGTGTCAGGGGAACCATCTGGGCGAGACTGTCGACGGCAAAAGCACAACCTCGGTATGAGGCCGTAGGCTTGTCTCCCATGGAGTCCTGCCGCGATCAGACGAACTGATGACAAACACTCAACGAAACTCTTCACTAGGGCTGCAGTCGGTCAAGAAACAGCTTTCCGGGAGGGACTTTCCAGCCCTTCTCATCCAGCTCGCTTGCCTGGTTGCTAGCACTATCATCGTCGCCGCCAGGGCTGTCGCACGAGATGTTGGTCAAATCAATCGTTTGGTTGCGTTACGCTTTTCCTTAACGGTGAAGGAAAAGGCTTTCCGAGTCGTCGGCCAGGACTGTTGCTTTGCAGGGAAGTCAACCCAAGTGTCCAATTTCAAAATCCAGACGTAATCCTCAGAAACGATGCCCCTCTCGACAGCATATCTCTGTGGACCCGGCACATCCTACTAACGGTCTACGTCGTCCCGCTCGCCCTAAATGCGGCTTAAAAGTAATTCGTCGGACGGACGATCTCTTCCGCCCTGGATAGCTACGAGCCACTTCCGTTCGGCCGCACTGGCGACCCGGACTCTCAAGGAATGGAAAATGGCCAAGGTCTAATGTTCTTCATGAAGCCGGAGATCGACACGGCTTACGGTTTCAATATGTACAGCTTCGCGAATACCTCGATCAGTACCTAACATTCAGCAAGGCCTAAAAAGAGTCAGCATTTTCCAATTCGACACTCGTGTGGCCGGAATGGGGTCCTACGCTGCCTCCGTCCCGCCGCGGATTCGATTATACAACGCTTCGTCAGACTTCAGGACGGATCTCAGCGCCCACGGATCTTTTGGCCTTCTAATCTACTCAGGTGAATTCTCGTTCTTGACTCGATCGTCAAACTTTTCAGATCTCTTCGTTTCCGTTTGAGGCACAACTCCATCGAATCCGCGAAGCGATGGGCAAGGTGAAGGTTCAATGGAGGATCACCCAGGTCGACGGAACACTGCCAGATCAGCGTGTTTCCTGGCCTCTGATGCTTGCCGAAGCTCGACCCACTGGCGTAGACCTTTCCATCGGTACCGCAGGCAAAGTGGCCGACTTGGTCCTTGTGCCTGGATACAGCTGCATCAAAGCCCCCAGACACCGGCCGGAAATTTCCCAGCTCAGTCCATCTCTCGTTTCAGCCAGACTCTTTTGTCCAGTTCTTTTAGCAGATCTGGCCATCGTCGTCGCAAAAGAAAATCTAGAGTGCTTCCGGCGCTCTGGGTAGAGCAGCAATATTTACGGACGCGGATTTCCGACGTGATAGGCTCATTTGGTCAAATTTCAATCCATCTGTTACAGCTGAGACAAAGTGCGGCTTAGAAAACAATCATAGCTCCCACCAATTCTGCAATATCTACCTATTCTTTAGAAATAAGGTAGAAAGTTCAACCAAGAAACTGTAGCTTAAACACCAATAGGCACTTTACGCAAACTAATCAATGATTCCACAACCAAGAATATTCGTGCCAATACATATCCCCCAATCAGTGCGTTGAAAACGTAAATGTGACCCAAGATCAATGGAGCCAGAATAGCCTTCACGATCACTCTCAAAAACCTAATTTTGATTTTTGCGGTCCAGTCACCGTCAGAGCCAATGGGAATCAGTGAAAATCTTTCATGAGACTTCAGCAAGAGAATAGTATACAAGGGAACCATACCGGCAATTATCATGCACGAGGCTCTCCAATACCATTTCCCTTTGCTGGTCGGAAAGTGCGAGTTCCATGCAGCCATTTGCACACCACCGTACGCTGTATGGATAAGGATCGCCCCAGCAAGGAGCCCTGGGTTCTTCTTGAAGTCGGCCTCCACCTCACGGAGCAGCTCCTTGGAAACGCTGAGCCGTCCTTTTCCTGTGACTCCAGAGAACCGGCCGAAAAGGTTCGCAGAGCGTAAGCCAATCCTATTCTGCTTCCGAGCACGATGAATGGAGGCGTCATCAAACTTCCTTGCAGCGCTCTGGGCCTTAATGCACATCTTTTGTTCCCTTTCGCTGAGGGGAAGATGTACACGATAGCGCTGGGGAGGCGCGAGTCCTTGTACTGAAAGAGAGCTAGGCTGAAGAATAACGGAGCTGGGTGGTGAAAATATTGCTTCATCCGCGAAATCACCATTCCGCCTAAGCTCAGTTTCAGGAACACGCGAAGCAGTCACTTCCGGTAATAGCAAGGTGGAGGGTGACGATTCGGCGGGAAGGTTCAGAGACAAACTGCGGAGAGTACAGTAAAGATATTTTCCAGATGCAACCGGACTCTCGTATCGGAAGCAGCCCTTAGCGAGTACAACTAGGGCACATGAGATAAGGTCTTTGTCCCCTTCTTGCAGATTAATCGTGGTAGCTTCGTTGACATTTAGCGGTTTCTTGTCGTTGGCATAAATTAGAACCATTTCCCGTTTTCAAGCGAAATTACCAACCTTGAACCAGATCGCATACATGATGCCTGCACAAATGACGTGGATGAAGGTATGAATGTCTAAAATAGTTAGAGGATAGCCCGACGCTTTGCGTGCTATACACTGAACGAGCATCCACAGGCCCTGGAGAGATACCAGTGATTTAGCGAGGACATCGGTTTTGCTTTTCTCTTTGATTGTGGCCGAGTCTATTCGAAATGTACCATGGCGTGTTAGAATTCTAGTCGTACTGGGAAAGAGCGCGATCGATTGCATATCATCGGATATGTGTGACATCCACTCTAAAGCCACCCATAACCGCATAAAATCCCTAGGTAGTGTCGAAGTCAGTTTGGTTCTCAGTTACGACACAGGTTTGGCTGTTCAATGTGCTAGTGAGTGAGGATGTGTCAGAAGGACAACTGCCAGGTTGATTACCTAGGTGCCTACTCGGTAAATAGGTCCATTGATCGCCACTGATCAATTGTGCCTGTCGTGTCTTGTTCTGAGGGAGACTCTTCCTGTTGATATACAGTTTACGCTGTGACATCAAGGTCTCTCCTGATAGATCGGTCAATGCTCGGTCCTACTACATCTCGGGTTACAACATTGAGACCGTTGCGAGACTGTGACTATAGACGAGTTCTCGCATAAGGATTATGACAGTAAATGTAATATCGTAATAGACTAAATCTTGTACCCGGTAGAGTGTGTATGCTGAAATAAGCGAGTTCTGCAAAGTGGAGTCGCCAAGAACATGCAGAATTATTGCGTTGGGGAGATACTGCTTACCACACATGCGAAGAAAATCTCTCAAAACTGACCACTTGGACGCACGATGCCGCTTTCTCCCGAAGACATTGTCAGGAACTACGTTGACGATGGAAGTTCCACAGAGCGGGTGAACAAGCGCAAGTCTAGACTAAAGATAGCCATTGTCGAGCCCAATGCGGCGTGGCCACAACGATTCTTAGACACCAAAGCCCGGATCGAAGCTGTGCTGGGCTCGACTGCGGTCGCTATTCTTCATGCAGGATCCACCAGTGTTCCAGGTCTGCCGGCAAAGGATATTATTGACGTCGATCTGGTAGTAAAGGACATCAAGGACGAGGACTCTTACGTGGGGGCTCTCGAGGGCTTGGGCTTCCTATTCCTCTTACGCGAGCCGGACTGGCATCAACATCGCTATTTTGTTGACGAAGGAGACCGCACTGGAGCATATCCTATCAATCTACACGTCTTTGGGCCGGATTGCCCTGAGGTTGAGAGGCACCGGATTTTCCGCGAATGGCTCTCAAAGTCACCAAAGGACCTGCAGCTATATGCGACAGTCAAACGTGAGTGTGCTGCCGCTTCCGAGGCAGCAGGCGAGTCGATGCAAGAATACACCCTACGAAAGGACAAAACAGTACGAGAGATCTTGGACAGGGCATTTCACGATCTGGGCTACATCAAGTGATACGACAACGCCTGTTTCCGTCACAAATGTTTCAAGATGTTGTACATATTAACCAACCACATCAAGAGCACACAGGTATTCGCGAAACTGAGGAAAAAACAAGTAGAGGGAGTCTGAGAAGCATCAATACCAGCACCAGGTGTATACGCCTCTGTTATGTTACTTACACTGGTCGCGCCTGGGGAGCAGGACAGAAACCTGTACGTATTGAACAGATCAAAAAGTATCGCAATGAAGCACTTGCTCCTCTTCCGGATTCAATGACCAGCCGTCTCTGTTGAGGGGTGGATCGAAAACTCTGCCAATGCACGGTATTCACTATCTAGGTGCGAATACTCTCCCATATCTATCAGCCACCAGAGTGCCAGCCACCAGGACTAGCCTGGCCTTGCCAGGAGGGAAGTGCCGGGTAGGAACGCACCACATACCCGGTGCAGACCCCAGTCGGCCTCGCCAGACATCACGCGGCAAATGCAAAGGGGAAAATATCAGATCAGACCGTGTGGCTCGAAGTCACTGATATCCCCATTCCCTATACCCCCGGGACCCAAGCACCGTCAGCGCTTGCAATCATAAAATTCTGCGACACCGAGGCTATGGTGGAGGACTTTCGCCTTAGAATCCTACTCATTCTACGACGTACTACTTGAATCTACGACTACTTGGTACAGACCTACTTGGAGAGGGGCAAAAGGCCGCTACATGCCATACTCTTTAGAAATCGAACCAAGGTTTCAGAATCATCTGAACACTGTTACAGGTCGCGAAATTCAGACATCGAACGGACGGAATGCGGACAAAAGATCTCCAGCCGTTGACCCATAGACATATATCCTTCGGGATCGATGGACTGAGGCTGCAATTGAACCAAGGACGATCGAGACCTGTACATTCAACTACTTTCACAAAAATATGGGGCAGTTCTTTCCGATCAAGGGAGATAGCTTACTCCGTGAACATTTCCCGATATTCGATCCCATGTTCCTTAAACTAATTCAAGTCTACAGTACTAACATCTTCACGAGCTCGCGCCAGATTTCACTGGTCATATAGCCCTGACAGTCTCGGACCCAAATGTTACAACGGGATCTCATGCCTCGGCTGCACCAAAACACTAAGGCCGAATTAACCAAGGTGGCTATTCTAGGATGCATACGCCAAAGGATGTTTCTGACGAATCGAGTTTGGGTCCGATTGGCTGAAAGGGAATGTAAATTAGCAAGGATTCGACCTTGATTACGAGGGGGCATGATCTGCGTCTAAGGTAATGACGGGTAGACAGCTTTCCCTTCCTTTGGAAGCCAGTTTGGAGGAGCTGGCGAGAACTATGGACTACGTGATGAATAGCCTGGAGGTTGAAGAGGATTGGCAAGCAACGTCAGCCTTGCGACAAGAGCTTCTCGATCTCAGAAATCAGGGGCTTAGGATTACGCTGCTGGACCCATCTTTATTGTAATCGGCCCATGAGGAGGTCTTACTCTCGTGCTCTGTCATCTCAACATTCAGTTGGATCCAATCTGCGTGGAATAAGGAGTTTGCGCCAGTGCTAGCCTCTGACTTGAGCTCGTCGATGCCTCCGGATGTGCAACAGATAAAAGGCCATCGGGCTGCGCCCGGAGTCGAAACCACACTGAACTGTATATGGTGATGGGACGGGACTTTCGAGATCCTCAGTCAGCCAGACTCTGACAGTCTCGTATGGATTAGATCTGTTTGTGGCAAGGATGCCCAACCATGGAAGGGACCCTCACTGATTTTTAATACTGTTGCTCGTGGTACTCCAAACGTGGCGGTCAGGACCAATTCGACGCCAGTAAAGTTTCAAGCTGAAAAAATCGTGGGCTATCCCTTGCGTTCCTGAATCACAACCCCAGGTTATGAAGTGGTTAGTCTCAACACGAATACACACTCACTCTCGAAAGAAATCTCAGCGGAGTTTTCTCTGAGTGAAAAATGATTAGCCCGCGACCGCAAGCTCTTCAGTCGTCCCCAGCGTGGTGAAATTCCGCAGTATATCGCGATGCTAAAGGTGGTAGGATGGAATGCCTAGACAACGATCACCTGTTGGAAAATACTGGAGGATAACGCCAATCGTTTACGGCGGCAAATACACCCATTTTCGCGGGGATTATGACCTGCTGACATTCCTAGACGCATCTTGTATTCACCTAGAAATATTGTCAATCGCCCCTCCGAGCTTGTTCCCTACAGAATTAAATCGTAGCCCCTTTCATTGTCCAAAGCGAGATAGTTCATTTTGATAGAGCTCCAGTTACATTTTGTACGAAATGAGCTATTATTTCAGTGCTGTTACCTCAGTGCCACCAAGTAACATACCACGATAGCGGTTCCACGCAAAGGCATCACATGGGGAATGGACAAACATAAAAGTGTCACTCATCACAACCCCTTCAGTTCATATTAGTCCGGTTACTTCACAGTCTAGGTCTTCTTAGTATGGGTGTGCCGGCATCTCCAAAGGCCGGTTCAGCGTTGCTGAAGTCCCAGTTTGGTCCTAGTTCAAAGCGTCAGAATCAGCCGGATTGAGCGATTCCCCAAGGCGAACGCCCTTACGAACATCAGGGCCGAAGGACACACTGACCTCATAATTCCCTGACTGCGTGTACAACCAATGCTCCATGTTGTTATTAGCGCCCATCTCGGAAACCTCGGTGGGAGACGTTCCTGTAAACTTCGCGAGAGTAAGTATTATTTGGCAACGGGGACGGTAACAGCTCACTTGAGAAAGTCTTTCATTTTTCGCGCCACTTTCATGGACCTCTGCAATCGCTGCGGCACGATCAGTACGCGCCGCTTTCTCCCTCTGCCTGCTGCGAACCAAGAAGAAAAGGAGAATGGCGATGACGAGAAGGCCGCCGACACCGCCGACAACACCACCCACAATGGCGCCTACATTGGTGCTAGAGTGGCGAATTGGAAGAGGCGAAGGCGTCACTGTAACGGTAGGTTGCGCAGTTGTTATCGTGGAGGCTGTAGGGCTTGCAGCCGCAGTGGTAGACGTTGGTGCAAGACCAGAGCATGGAGGTTGCACCAGTGCACCATTGGAGACACCATAAGGTCCTCGCAAAGCCGGAGCCAAGCTGAATTTCTTCTGTTCGTAGTCCACAATTAGGTAGTTCATGGTTAAGAATGGGATTCCCCAGTCGAACACGTAGCCCGGCTTCACGGTGGCGTTGGCCAGGCCGGCAAGGAGGTAGGTGTCATTGGTAATTGCATATTGACCCTGCGAATTGAAGTTTCGTGGCGGAAGGAACAGTTCTTGTGCAGGGGTAGTCGTTTGATATCCATCTTGTCCATTCTTTAGCGTGATAGTGAGATTCCCGAATTGTGCATCAGGTGGGTAGGTAAGGAGAGCCTGTGTGCCTGGATCTGTACCCACAGTACCATTGGAGACGCGGGCAAAGTTGAGGAAGATATCCTCCGGGACATTTAGCGCACGCTGGAAGGGTTCCAGGCTGATAGAGAGGGTTTCGGAAGAATTCGAAAAGAGCGAGGCAGAACCTCCGGGATACTCGTAGGTGATGTTTGTAATCTCGACGCAGGTTGGGCAGCGGTCGTATGTTGTGAAGTCGAGGAAATCGCCGCCGATGCGGTTTGTATCGTAACCTCCAATCCAGAGAGCACCATCAACTGGCTGTACCACGGACCGACTACCAACCCACAGGCCCCATGCCTTTGAGGGAGCAGACCCTGACTCAACGGCGGCGGTTTGGAATGTAGAGCCAGGTCCCATACCGAGACCGCTTTGAGTGCCTGTTCAAGTTAGCCGGAGCCCACGTTGAGAAGAAGCAACCAGAAGCGCACCCTGTCCTGGTTGATCCATGTACAGAGGAAAGCCATACGCCGTGCCATTGATGCCAAAACGGATCTGGTCATTGAAGAAAATATAGGAACCATCTGTGATAGAGGCGTCGTGGGATCCATTCCACGAAGCTTCAAGTGTTGGAGAGTAAGTGTGAGATGCTTTAAAGTCGAACACGCCTCCCTTCAAACCAATGCAGCTGTCATTGCTCGAAGAAACGCAATCTGCATTATTGAACACCCAGGTATTGTCATCTCCTACGCTGAGACGTAGTGAGACAATTTGCTGTGGGTTGCCGATTGCAAGAGCAATGCCTCGAGAGATAGCTTGTCCATCGTTAGAGACTGTGACATTTTCCCAACCCAGTCCCAACGGGGGCGAAGTGTTTGCGCACGTCATGTTTCAGATTGTTGGCAAGGACCGAAGGCGGGTAGCCACAGAAAGGATATGCAGGCCAGAGGGAAAAGACTGACTGAGTCGAGTGAGGCTACTTCAATCAGCTGAGCATCCCGCGATTATAGAGGCTGTTTGCTCGGTTGTACAACTCGAGCTGTCCAGTTCGACGAACAGGAATACGAGTGGCGCACCCAAAACCGGTATGCATGTGTGAGAGTAATCCAAACACTGTGGGTCTCCATGTCACAGGGTGCTGCAGAAAGCAGAAAGGGTTTCGAACACGAGGTCCCCTTCGAGAGGCCACATGTCAACGTACGCAAACGAGCAGCAAGTGTGCGAACGCATCAAGTTCCAGCTGGCGAGGGAGAATGAGACGTCCACAGATTTGGATCGTGTTGCCTCGACCAAAACATCCAAGAGGCAAGAAAGAGCGAGGCCTAGCCCCTCCACAGCCATCCTTTGTCGTGCAGGTCCTAGTCCGAATGAGGCCTGAAAATATTGGTCCCCGAGCCGAATGGAAACCAAGAGAAAGGCGGCTGAGCCTGATGCCTGAATTACGAAGTATAGCATCTCAATACTGCCACTTCTTGAGTCTGCTTAATTCTCAGATTCCCGACTGCAGAATGAAGACTTTGAACAGCATAATGTGTGGAGACTCTCTATGCTTGCTCTTCAATTTCCTGCAGAATCCGGGGGACATTGATACTGTCGCTTCTATGAGGGTGCAAAGTGGCTTGCTGAGCCGTATGTACGGGGCCAAAAGGAGGTGTGAAAGAGAAAAAAGAGCAAGCAATCAGAAGCATCTTCAAGCTCAATGCCAAGCTCTCCATACAAAACGCACTATTCCCCTTTCAGTTAGATCTACTCAGTCCACTATTGCATCTCCCGATGTGGGTTGCTACCCCTCCTCCGATATCTCGACTCGAGCAACTTTTCGCTTCTAACTGAGCAACTATCTCTTTCTAGACTTGGCTTCTCTCACTTCAGTTGTTGCATATACTCTTTCTGCTGATTATGGTTGAGATACAGCCCCACAGCGGATTCCTCTCAAGGATTTATAAGCGACATCTCATGGCTTCGTGTTGGTTGGATTCATGGCCCTCTCTCTTTGGCTGGGGATGCTTAATGAAAATTGAAAATCAGGTAGATGAAGGGGCTCTGTAATTTTCTTTACGTAACGCTATGCTGAGAGTACGATATTTGGCGCTGTTATGGCAGTCTAGAAGTTGCTCTTCATGAATACGAGGTAAATGCAGATAGATTGAGCTTTCTTTTCGATTTTCACAGCGGCTCAGCGGCTCAGCAGCTCAGCAGCTCAGCCGCGTCTATCAAGGATTAAAGCTCATGCCTACTGAACGGAGGGTAAGTTTATAAAGGTAAGGGCCTCTCTAGTCGAACTCTTTCTAGCTGCTCAGAGTCTCAGACTCGAACCAAACATGGTGTCTCTAAAATTGTTGCTGTTCATTTGTCTGCTGGGCCCAAGCTCAGCCTTGCCAACTTACGAAGAACGCGATGGCCCAAATTCCTACATCGCCCTGCCTTTCACGAGAAAATTATCAGCCAGCCCGGCAGGACGCAAGAGACAAGCCTTTAGTTCTCCACTAACCCCGCTGAGCTCAAGTTACTATATCGATGTCACCATCGGAACTCCTCCCCAGCCTCTGAGCCTGGTCCTAGACACGGGGAGCAGTGATGTCTGGGCATACAGCCCCGCCGCGGCCTCGTCATGCCCCGGCTGTACTGAATCTTACTGTACGATCCGCGGTTTTTGTCAAAAGCAGAAGCTAACACAGATTCAGATGATCCCGCTCAGTCCTCAACAGCGAAAGAGCGCCCAGATATTGGTGTCTTCAACATCAGCTACGGTACACCAAACTCGGGTGTGTTGGGCACATACTACAGTGACACCCTCTCAACGTCCGGAGTGTCTGCAAATATCATCCTCGGTGTAGCCACTACTGCCCATTCCGGTGATCCAGCCGGTGGCATCATGGGCATCTCCCTATCCGCAAACGAAGCAAGCTTCTACCAAAGTGATGTCATATACGACGGCTACATCGACAGCCTGTACAAGCAAGGTCTTATCGCTGTACGTGCATATAGTATCTATTTTAATGAACCTGGTAGGCAGTTCTCCATATCGTCCTTAACCTTATTGATCTCTTCACTAAGCGTGGTCACAGCCTCAACCGACGAAACTCCCGGCACAATAATCTTCGGCGGCTACGACCGCACCAAATGGACTGGTACACTCACGCCCTTCCCGCTGGTTGAACCCTCCCCCGAAGGCGCCTATGAACTGGACATCGAAGGCCCCGTTATCGCCTTCGAACTTGGTGGCCAAGCTTATGAGCTCCCCAACACACAGCATTACACTGTGCTTCTCGACACAGGGACATTCCTCACTCGCTTACCCGCAACGCAATTCGCCACTCTCGCCACCGCGCTTGAAGCCGAACTTATCGACTCGGACACAAACCTGTACGCCGTGTCCTGTAAGCTCGCAGACTTAGACGGGGGTCTCGCATTCGCATTCTCTGGGCCAAACGGCGACGTTACGATCGCTGTGCCTTGGAAGGAAGTCGTCATCTTCGAATCGGATCTACCTGATGGCGTGTGTCTACTGGGATTCATCCCAGAGCAAGATGATCTCGGGTTTTACATCATTGGTGACTCGACCCTGAGGTCAGCGTATTTGTTGTATAACTATGATGCTGGGACGGTTAGTTTGGCGCAGGCGAGTTACGATACTAGTTGTAGTGATTGCGTTCAACCGTTGACGCCAGGCGGCAAGTGACCGGTGAGGAAACGTCAGCTTGTTTTTGAGTAGCATAATAGTAATCAACAGCCTCCGTACAATCTGCACAGAGCGATCCTTTCCTTGTTTGTGTTTACTTTGTGTTTGTCCCTTGTTTAGTAGCACTGTATCTTACCCGTCTCAACGATTGATCTGCGAATGATAAACATTTGACCCAATCAACGAGGCTCTCCACTAGAGCACTGTAATAAAGGAAGAGGCATCCTGTGGTTTCTGCAGTGTGGGAGTATCACCGGGGCCCGAGTGTTGCTACATACACAATCGCGACCAAGCAAGGGGACGCTTTAGTGTGCAAAGGAAAATGGTGCTAGTTAGGGATAGGAGATTCTCTGGTGTGTTCACTTGATCTCGATCCAATAATTATCATCTAGCTTCATTGTTCAAAGTCAGGTTCTGCCAACGCAAAGACGCCTAATTCTCTCTTGTATAAAATGTTCAATTTCCTGCGCGGGATTTGTCAAGTAGACCTTGGGTAAAGATGATGTAGACAAGTTCACGATGTACGAGGGAGTGTGCTACCAGCTGGCGGTATCCATTCTCTCGAAAAGATGACAACGTCCTAGCTATGTGGTCGATGTACAGAGTTGGCATCCGGCTGAAAACGCCTCGAAAGTGGCGGAAGTTGACTTTCAATTGGACGAAAATGTCGGAGAAATCATTTTCCGCTCCCGCTCTTCTAACCGTTAAATACATGTTGGATTGAGACGAGGCTGACAAGGCTGAAACAACGCAATCCCCTTGGGTTACCCCTTTTTCTGTTTCTAGCCCCCTGAACAGTCAATTTGATCATAGCCTAATTCCAGCGTACTCCGCGTGGTCAAACTGCGCAGCCCACCTTTGATCGTCTTCAAACTTGTGAATCATGAGCTCTCACTCCAGCAGCGACCCGCTTCAGAGCTATGACTTGGTCATGCAGCCTGACTTGCATCCCTCACTATATTCTATGAGAGGCGACTGGATGCCTCCTTGACTTTCCCAAGCGAGAGGCTCCCCGACAAACTATCCTCTAGAGACGAATTCGTGGCTTAGAGCAGGGCACACCATGGCCAACGCAACGGACATCATAACATACATCGGCGTGCCGCTCGCCGTGCTAGGTGTCCTTCCCATCCTGTATACCTTTATGCTCGCTGTCCTTACGCAGCGCCGAATCCGCGCCGCCCTCGTCCACCACGGCCATAGACCAGTCAGCACGACACGTCCGCACGATGGCTTCACCATCCGCAGCTCCCCAATGACCAGTCTCATTGAAGTCGAACTGCCTCGCTACACCATTGCTCCTCTCGAGCGCAGCGATGAAGATTATTGGAAAACCACGACCGAGGGGAAAGAGGCATCAGAAGAACATCACCATCTCCTAACACTGGATCGCGCAGAGAGTACTCTGTCTATGATTGAAGAAGGGCGAGTACGCGGCTTTTTGCGGGGTGGCAGCTGGCGTGGCTTCCATTGGAAAAAACTTATTGTGGGGAAGAAATTGTATAGGATACAATACGAGGATGAATTGAGGGAGCCGCCTGCCGAGGTGGGCTTTGAGGAACTGGTGGTGTTTTTGCTAGATTGGGGTGCTGTGCCAGAAGGAATGGGCTGGGAGAAATTGAGGAGCGGGGGATTGTGGACGCCGAGCGGGACGGTGTTATTGAAGAAGCCTGAGGACGATGGCTTGGATGCTGACGAAAGCAGTAAGAGAAGAGGAAGGGGCGCAGACTGGGTGCTGAGAACGAGCATGCCTGACGAGAGTGATGGGGTACTAAGTCTAACGATTCGATGGACACGAGACGAGACGACATCTGTTAGAGAGTCGAGAGGAGCAGAAAGCCTTCCCCCAGGTTGGGGACGATTGACCCAACCCGCTCTGCTCGAAGCTAATGAGAAACGCAAAGAAAATGAGAAAGATTTACCGGCGAGGATCGAGGGGTTGAAGTCGGCAAACAAATACAGTATGGACAGCACCAGCTTCCGGTTTCACACCGAAGATAACCGCGTACGAAGACTCCTCTGGGAACACAAGAACGTCGAAACGGGCTTCGTATGTGCACCGTTCCGAAACTACGAGCAATCCTCGGCGGGATTATGGTTTGCCTGCGCGGCGTCCGCTCTCCTCGCCCACAAGACTTCCACAAGCGGTGGTCTCTGGGCATTCGAGACTCCCACAGAGATCAAAACCTTCGTGCGGAAAGACTCAATCCCATGCGGCGTCATGGTTCTCCTCGGTCTCCTTTCCGAAAACGATGCACCACAGTGGTCATATCAAAAGGACGATCACAATGACGCCATGAATCGGGCGCGACAACATCACTCATGGCTTCAAGCTCGTCTGGCTGCAGAGAGACTGGAGGCCACGATGCCACCTGAACAAGCTCGAATCCACAAGATGAACAGGGAGACGAATGAGAGACAGCAACAGCACAATGAGATGATAGCATCTCTCACAGCGAGACGCGAGCGGGAAGAAAAGCGGATCAAGGACGCGATTGCGAGTCCGAGGATGGATGTCAAGCGGGTCAGTGAAGCATGTCTGGTTTGGCTGATCGAGAGGGGAGAAGTGGGCAAGGAATGGACTGTGCACGACTTGGCGGAGGCGGTTTGTTATTTAATGGTGGTGGATTCGCAGGATCGGAGCAGTAATCAGAACGAGGATGGGAAAGCGGAAGAGGAAACGGGAGAAGCGATGAGGATCATTGGAATCCTGGACGAATGGATGGCCTGGGCCACAGCAGGGGGCATGAAGAAACAGCAGTTCCATCTGCTGGAGAAAGAGAAGGACAAAGCAGCGTTTTGCTTCGCCGTTGTCCTTGTCGCTGTCGTGGCAGACGCGACGAGCTCGAACAATGCGGTCATGGGGAAGGTGGGAGCGGATATGCTGGAGTGCTTGAGGCTGTGGAGGAAGGTTCGCCTAGGTTGAGAGAACAGAGAGCGCGTACCCACCACGACCACGGACAGCAGGTTTGAGCCAGTCGAGCCATCTTTTAGCGCTATTGTACATCCTCGTATGTTGTTTGCTGATCGGATCCCGTCCAAAGACCGGCGTACAGAGTGTATCTGGCGGACAGGGGAAGATGCCGTCTCGCCGCTCCCATATTCCGCACACTATCCCTAGAGAGGCTAGTGTGCGGAAATACCCCCCTCTGTGGAGATTTTCTTGGCTTTTCCCGGCCATGTCAACCTCGGCTGTTGCCAAGTGCTGCTTTTAAACATGATGGAGAAGCAGTCCTTTCACTTGATCGCTCGTTCGGAGGTATTTGCAGCTTCGTAAGATAAAGAAGACGTCTTCTTTTGCCCTCGCCTCAATCACCTGGTGGAGAAAGGGAAGCGGCGGTCGTATGTAGTCGCTGCCACGGCATTGTGTGGATCCTCGTTACGTGGAATTGCGGAAAAAGAATTTTTTCTTTGTTTGCCGCTTGCCTCAGCTCCAGAAATCCCGCTCTGCTAATCCACACTGATACGACAGTCTACGCAGATGAGTTCTAGGATGGCGGCAATACAATGCAAGGTCCAGAGTGTCGTCCTCTAACGACAGACCCGGTTGCCTCCCTAGGTCAAATTTCCATGCGCCGTCAGACACACTAAATCCTTATGCACGCACAAGAAATACCCACAGCCAGAGTTGCCAGAACTCCCTCACAAAAATATTCCACAATTTTGTTAAAAGGAACAAAAAGAATAGGTTGTGCAAGATCCGTGAATCGAACACGGGTCTCATCGATGGCAACGATGAATTCTACCATTGAACCAATCTTGCTATCTTATTGCCACACCCTCATCTCAAATGTGGACTCAAGATGGGGATTGCGGCTGGGTTTATGTTGGGATTTTCTGTGCGTGAATTCTTGACTGTTGTTTGGAGGGTTAGTTAGATATATTGCGGTGTTGGGCTGGTGGGTCTGTATGAGAAGGTGGATACTATGGGCAGGCACAAATGAAACCAGTTGTATGTACGGGGTAGGCACGCACCAAGTCACCATAGATGCCTACGTGATTGTAGCTATGCATTGTGTACTGGGTAGTCTCCACTCCGTAATATGGTTCTACGGAGTCTGTGTACTTCGCAGGGTTGAGTTGATCAAATGTTCCCTTCGAGGAGAACCAGTCCAATTTGATAATTTCTACAAGTCGTGTCGATGCAGACCGCGCGCTTCAAAAGTATAGCCTCGATTCATTACCTCCCTAAGGTCGCTCCAGACGCCTATCTGAGAGCGAAACTGCCAAACGCAAGAGTTCATAGCGATGACCGTCCAAGAACTTTCTTCAAGACCTCGCTCAGCTTCTCAACACAGTCACCCTGCAGACCCATTGATCGCCAGGCAACAAACCGATCAGGTCTGACAAGTACACATCCGTCTTCCTCGACTTCTCTTTTCCGTTCCCTATTCACAATGGCAATCAGCACGGAAATCATAATTACTTGAAATCTTCAGAGCACTTACCAGTCACGATAGACATCGATCCATTCCTGTCCCCATCCGATCGTGTGGACATTGATCTCCACTCCGAGCGCCTGACCAACCATCTCTGCAGCCTCAATCCACTTCTCGCCCCCAATACCAGTAAGCAGGCAGAACCGCCCATGTCCCGCTAAATCAATCGTTGAGGTATGATCCTTGGCGGGCATGGTCCGATTCAACCACGCATGAGGAAGCCTGTGGCCCGGGTAAGTGCTGGCTTTATGATGCAAGATTGGGTCTTCAGGCCATTCTGGCTTTGGGGTATTCGCCTTGATTTCGTCGTCGAGGTAGACGGCCGTTGAGTCATATCGGTGATTCATCTCTACGCCGATACCGTGGAATTCGTGACTTGTCCCTTCGATCGCTGCGTTGACTCGTTTTCTCCGATCTCGGGCCTCGGGTGTTGCTGTTTTCAGGCTGTTGAAAATCTTCATTCTCTTCTCGATTGTCTCCTCCATGAGACCCATTTCTTTCCAGACAGGAACGTGATCCCGGATACCCTGGTTCGCACGGGTTATCACGCCCAGGCCCACGGGCTGCCGTTCGTGACTGAATGTTTCTAGAATTGAGGGAGATGCTAGGCCCTGAGCGACGTATTTGATTTTCCATGCCAGGTTGAACGCATCTTGAATGCAGGTGTTGGAACCAAGCCCATTGAATGGAGGATGTCTGTGCACAGCATCGCCTAGGCAGAAGATATTGCCCTCGGAATAATACTCTGCCACAATTTCGTTGATGTACCATTTCGAGATATCGAGGATTTCCAAGGGAAGATCGTCTCGGCCAACGATTTCCTTGCATCTTTGGACGTACTGTTCGCGGGTAGGCTCTTTCCACTCTGTTCCAGGCTTGGGAAAGAGAATGAACATCCATCTGGAAACTTGGGTTAGTGGCTATCGGCTGAAAGAATTGAGGGTCTCGCTTACTCGTGCCATGGTTTGACCATTCTAATCAGCCCGCTCCAGGCAAAATCTGGATATTCTTTTTCAGGTTGGAACACCCAGTGCAGGTTTCCCTTCCTGGCCTCGACATAATCACTCAGATCCACTTTGACCAAGACATTCAAGGCCAACCCTTGGCCCGGCTTCTTGATCAAAGGAATCTTGAGCTCTCGCAGGACTTGGCTCCTTGCTCCATCACATCCAAACAGGTATTGGGAGCGGATGTAGTATTCGGTCGCGGTCAATTCGTCCCGGACTCGACTGAGGATTTTCCCGTCATCTTCTGTCTTAAAGTCGACGAAGCTTGTTCGAAATCTGACATCCCATCCTTGAGCTGCCGCTCTCTGAACCACAATGGGTTCAAAAATCGTTTGAGGCAAATCCACATGATGACAAGGAGTGGCTGCTTCATATTCTCCGTGTCTTTTTGGGTCATTGCCCCAGGAATAGATTCGGGCATATTCTTCGCCGGTCATATCGTGACACCAGCGGGTGTGAACCATGCAGTCGCCCTCAACTGCCTGAGCAAGACAAGTCTGTTCCAAATCGATATCTCGGAGACATTCAAAGGCGGCTGGATTTGTAATGTGTGCTCTCGGTGTCTGTGACGTTGTAGTTGCAGCAGATATCATGATCCCTGTCATTGAATAGGGCGGATAGGAGAGGAAGCATGCCAACGAGCCACCAGCCGGCCCCGCACCGACAATGAGGAGAGGCGTTTCCACCACTTGCGACTTGATCTCCGGCACGCCATTGACAACTACTGAGCCTGACATATTCGCGTTGGTCGTTGAGAATAGGCTGCAAGTACAGTGGTGAATTGATAAGACTTGGTCTGGTGAATGATGCGTTGGGTCGTCGGAGGTCGTCTTCCTATGGTCGATATATAGAACCCGGGATCCGGAAATACCCCCTTTCCCCAGACTCCACTGATCTCACATTGCGGGATGGATAAGGACATTGATGGCCTGGACAGCCAATAGTCGGGCCCCCCACCAAGACGCCGGCAGGGGGTTCGCATTCGTGCGTCGGGAAGACGTCGTGGGGACTGGGATCCGGTAGGACGCATGTTTCTGAGCGCCGGCAGCCGGGTACGGGGACCTGCCAGTGGCTCGGGAAAAGGGAACGCTGTCATGGCTGGAAGACCCTTGGCCACCTCGTGGGCCTAGAGGAATAACTGCAGTTGGTGCTTGCAAAGGATCTCGTAAGCCGTGGTGGGACGTAATTTGTTAGCCAGTACGGGTGGTATGAGGGTGACCTGGTCTGCGTGGTGGTGATGCTCTCTCTACAAGTAGTGTCTCTGCCTGCGGCGGCTGCGGGCAATGACATCACCTACCCCCCCATTGGACTTCGATCTCATCCCAACCTCACTCTTTCTCCCATTCCTTGCATCCCTGTTGCCATCCAGCTGCTTTTCACGTCCTAGCAATCCCAAGCAGCCACTCTTCCTGCCGGTGCCTCGATTAATCTTCCTCTCCTGCCGAGTCCCAGAGTCTTGGTCGTCGTTCCATTTGTCGGTACCTAGTGTTCTCCTCAGCAGTCAAGCACTATGCTACTGCGAACCGTAATACGACCATCCCTCTCCTTTCCTTCGGCATTCAGATCTATATCCGCTCCTCTACCACGGGCAGCTTTCAAGCGCCCCGTCCTCATCGCATTTGGCCTCACGGCTTCCCTTCCGTTCATACAGCCTTCGTCCATCATCCGGCTCGACTCTTCGCCCTACTCACCGCCCCCCGCTGGAGCCGCAGAGTTTAGCAGCACCCCCTCCTCACAATCCCGCGATCCCAAAGTTCCTCTTACAAAAGACGGCAAGACAATCAATCCTGCCGCAGTTAAGCAAATAAGCCTGGGTTCTATTCTGGGATTGGCTGCGGGACTGGTTGTCTCGGCTTTTTCCACGAGCCTGACATTCCTGATCGGATTGGGAATTGTAATCTGGCAGCTTGCCGCTCGAAAAGGATACAATATTATACCGGTGGATCGTTTGCAACGATACTTCAAGAATATCGATCTGCGCAGTGCAATCAATGACAACTTGGCCTTCAAAATCAGCTTCGGCCTCATGTTTGCCCTTTCCGCTTTCGGTGAGTTTTAAGCAAGGGGTTGCCATGATGCCGTCGAATAATGCCATCGGGGACTATGAAGATGCGGGACAACACGAGCTCGGAGTCTCGTCTGACCAGTAACACATCGCTCCCAGACGGTTGACCTGACCAGATGAAGGGCTCCTTAAGCAAGACAACCTGATTCTTTTAATGATTCAGGCCTTGTGTATGGGGGGAGAAGATGGGCTGGCACGCCCATACGCTTGACCCGGAACAGACCCAGTGTGCGGACGGGTCATTTTGGACGATGCCCCATCCGAAAACAAATTTTACCCAACAGTGGTTGCAGGAGAACATTGGATGTACGGGTTGCAATATGGCGCAATAGAAACTCGCTAATGTCCAAGAGACTCGGGCTCTGATTCCACGATGTGGACCATTACCAGATAATTGCAATGCAGAAAGGATTGCAGAGGTTCTACAGCTCGCAACAATCAACACTGTTTCGCCGAAACGGTTATCCGTGGTTTATTCCTTTGCGGGTTCTTCCCGTCGCGTCTTAGAATCCTACGATCAGCAATCCAAACAGATCGCCCGCTGGAGTTTGGCACATTGTGACCTATTTCGGGGATCCAGTTCCTTTGATGTGCAACGCCTCTCTGACATTCAATGGTCAATTCATAATAGGCAATGTGTTTGCTTTTCCAAGTCGACTTTGCCAGCAGGTCATGGGTGCTAGCTCCCCTCGCCACTCAGTGAAGCTTTATTGCCCAGTAAACTCTCGTGGGATGCGTCAGAAGCTTCACCCAGATCACTCCAACTTGTGTCATCAACACCATGACCGGAGTCGCTACCCTCAGGCTTGGGTACCTGTCCTTCCTCTCCTGCTCTCCTCCTGCCCCATCCCTCGCCGCTTTTTGCACCCCCCATCCTGCCCTCTGGCAACTGATTCATCGCGTCCTCCTCTGCATCCAACCCCCTGTTGAACCACCAAAACATGCACCCCGCGAGAAAGGCTACCGCGCCCATGACGCCGAAATTCCACACCAGATACGGGTCCCTCGCCAGCCACAGAAACCCCTCGCCGATCACGTTCGCCACGGCGCTCATGCAGAGCGAGAATGCTTGCACCATGGAGCGCATGTTGCGCGGCGCCTTGGTGAATGCGTATTCGATCGAGGTGATGCTGGCCAGGATCTCGCTGATCGCGACGAGGAGGTAGATTGGTGCTTGGTAGGCTATTGAGATGGAAGCTGGTGGACAATCTCGGCTACTACTGCTGCCGCCGCTGCCGGGGAGGTCTTGGCCTTCGGAGGGATAATATCCACACTCGTTGTGCATGTATATGTACCTCTGCAGGAATGCCGCATAGACCATGGCAGCGGCCCCCAGCCAGAATCCCAACGTGATCTTCCTGATTGGCGTCAACTTCACGCCCCGTTTCCTAAGACTGGGATAAATAAGCAAATCACATATCGGGATCAAAATTATCAGGGCCAGAGGATCTAAATTCGAGACAATCTCCGGAGGCACACCGGCATGTTTCATTGTGTCGGCCTGTGAGGTGAGATTGTTGTTCATCTGGTTATACGTGAGCCAGTACAGCGGGAACCAGAGGAGGACGGAGCAGGCTTTGACACCGCGGCGGAGTTCGGAGACCCACGCGTCGTCAAATGTCATCCAGGACGGACGCTTGTGGGGTGCGATGTGCGAGGGTTGTACGGCGGTCCAGAACGTGGTAGTCTTGCGGACATTGCCGATTGTGCGAAGAGGGTTCCACGACCAATGGGGCCGGACGGCGTAGAGGAGCATGTTGATAGCCGGGCCCAGGACGGAGCCTTGGGGAGGGGTGAGGCGGTAGGTCTTCTTGTTGAGGATCAGGATGAGAGGGCAGAGGAGGAACATCAGCGTCGGCAGCAGGAAGGCGAGGTAGTATCCGACATACAGCGCGGCGTAGGACATGGAAAGCTGGCCTATCAAGGCGCCGATGTTGATAAAGAGGTAGAACCAGTTGTATATCCTCGCCGACGTCTGGGCTGGGTCGATGATCACGCGCTCTCCGCTTTTAGGGTCGATAGAGACCCGGAGCTTCTCGGAAACAATCTGCTCTGCGATCAGAGGCGAGATGTTCGGTTTGAAGCCTCCTGTCCCGAGGCCGAAGACGACGAGCGCGATAACGAAGGAGACGAGGGCAACGTCGGTGCGCGCTAGGACAGGCGGTAACGCACTGGTGGTAAGAAGGACGTGGCCGAGGACTGCGATGGCAATCGACACCATGATCGTCTTGTATCTGGGCAAGGCCTGCGTTAGCTGTTGCCAAAGAGAATCTAGCTTCAGGGGCAAGCATGTGCTACCTTCCAAGATAGGTATCCGCCAACCATGCCCCTAACAGGGGAGTCACATAGCACCAAAAGGAGAAGAAAGTCCCCAGACCAGTTGCCATCTGCTGGCCCTGGCCCAGCGCGCCAGGGTTGTTGTCTGTGTCTCCGCCAGGATTGGGGGCTCGACCAGTCGGCGTGAGGAGCCTTCGTTGGACGAAATTCTGGAACAGTATTTGCGTGCCGTAGTACGAAAAGCGTTCACACAGTTCCACGAAGGCGACCGTGTAGACGCGCCAGGGGATCTTATCCGCGACGCGGGGAAGAGTCTCCAGCTCCTCCTCGGTGGGATAGACGGTGTCCTCATCGGGCACGTCGGGAGACATCAGAGGTTTATCCTCTATCAAAGCAGTCAGATACAATAAGTCTACTCGATTAGAATGTATGCCTCGACTTACCTGATACATCCAGCATCTCAGACATGCTGGTCCGACGGAGCCTATCACCTGGTTGTAGCCGCGGTGCATCGTCAGATTGATGGGATGCGCGACGTAGCGGGAGGCGCGCTCCCGTGAGCGTGTCAAGTTCGATCTCATGCATCTTTGAATGCTAACTGACCCTCCAAAGTTGTTGATTCTTCAGCAGCAGTTCTCCTTCCAGCAAGTTGAAACGACTCGTATTGGACATCTGATGGCCATGAAGTGATGACGATAACGTGTATTAAAGTCTTCGTTGTGGGAAACACTAAACCGTTTCCAATGCTCCGAGTCTCGTATGAGGGTATTGAAGAAAACAATGTTATATGGGATTGAACAATCAGAAGGCTCTGACATATATATCTGCGAAGCTGACACGGGGTGGACCAAAGCGAGAGTTGATAACGGACTGTCACTAACCGCTTCGCTTGGTCATTGTTTCTGTTACTTCTCATCAGCTCCCATATATATCCTGGAGGCGAGAAGTGATCTTTCCCATAAGTATATTGGTCTGGCACTGGGTGAAATACTGGGATGGACGAGGAGGATCAATGAATGTTCAGGTCAGCAAGTAGGATAAGGGGCAGGCTCAGTGGCAGCGAGGTAGGCACGGATTAAATGTTTATCCGGAATCCGCTTCATATTGCCACGAGGCTGTCAACTGGTCCGCTTTTTTGCGCCACTCCCACTGCCGCAATATGGTACGTCCATTAATACCTCGTCCGAGTCTTCATCTTCAATAACTGGAGGTGACGACAGAGCAACTACAGCCTTAGCGCAGATTGGTATATAGACGTCCCAAGACAACATCTTCACACACGCACTCTCATTGATACATTTGGTCGCCATATACCTGTTGCATCTGAATAGTAAATAATCACCTTCATCCCTCATGCTGTGGTTATCCTCGGATCCTTCCCTGGCGTGACTCGGCGCCATCTTAGGCAAGCACGCCGAATAAAGTCTTTGTCCTCGTCCAGTACTCAGATGCAGACTTCAGCATCTCTTTGTCCCTCGCCGCGGCCGTCTCATCATGCCCCAACGCAATACTGAGATATCCCTCGTCAAACTCATTCTCCATATACCAGCACTTCGACTCTGGTCTGAAGATATGAGAACGAACAGCCTCTTTGATCAGTTCAACCACGGGAAGGGACCATAAATCGGTCCCACCGATCTCTAGCATTATCTTGCAAAGTTGTCGCAAAGTCGAGAATGCACACGGTGAGGGCATGTTTTCAGGTAACATGTCCTTGCCCCATTTCATTGACTTTCGCTTGCCTTCTCTTGATGCCGTCAATTGCAGACTGACTTCCTTAGCCACGACCTGATGCAGTCTGTGGATAATTTCAGGGAGCTTCCCGAATTTTGCCTGTTCTGGAAATGCATGGTGTAAACCCGTCATTGAGAGTCTGATGATGCGCAACAAGGTCACAGCATGAGATACGGTCTTTGGCTCCTCAACCACTTGAGTTGCAATCTCGGTGATACCCATCTCGTATTCCAGTATCGCCTTCTGCAATGCGTCTTGCAAATTGTTGCAGTACATCCTTGACTCGGTTTCGCACAGCTCTGTGATCAATTCAGATGCATCGTCTTCATTCTCCTCCTCGGGCTCTTCAACAATGTCTCTCCATCTGATTTTTGTGATTTCGTTAAATTGGTCGAATGCGCTGTTCGTACTGCCAATCCATTCATTCAATGACCTTGAAGCTTTGGACAATGCCACGTTCCGACCTTCATGTCGTTCTCTGACTCTTGTAATGAGTCTGGTTCCTCCGGCTTCTAGATTTGACAGCGCAAGCTCTGAATCCCATAATGGTTTTGTGGACTTGTTGACGCCAAGTTTGTCGAGCAGCAGCGTCGTGATGTGACCCAGGCGGGCACTTTGATTGCGGCAAATATCGTCCAATTTCTCATTCAGCGCCTGGGCGATCTGTTCCTTGATGTCTGACCCAGCGGGCGTTGAAAAATAAGAAGCTAAGAGAATGGTGTAAAGCTCTGTTCGCAACTCTAGCACTTCGGCTATCTGGTCCATTGCAGGAAGGCAATGGTGCAATGCCTCAGAAAATGTTCGTAGGCTTTCTCGGGACCATGTTTCCAATTTAGCTCGTGTCTCCTCGAATGTCGGCGCACTTCTTTTGAAGTAGGGGACGAATGATCGTATCTCATTTGGAATCAACGAGAAAGTCTGATCAAGCGCCAGGGTCTCTAGGTCTCTGATAGACGGGTCTTCCAGGATCGGTCTCTTCTGCAAGTTATTAATGGCTTCGACCATGGGACGTCCAATCAGAGACTTGAAAGTTTGCAAGGATAAGATTTGATACCGCAAAGCTTGACAAATCGTTGATTGTTTGCGAGAAGCGGCGAGTTGACGCCTGATTTTCTCAAGCCTCAGCTGGCGGAGATGCGCGAGCGCATCCTCAGAAGAGCTGCTGGTGACCAAGCAGTAAGAACATATTGACTCGAGAAGATCCGACAACGCTGAGGTAGGGTCGACCAATCTAGCTTCTACTCGCAGAAGCAGTTGCCGCCGAACTGCACCTAGCTTGTTCCTCAGGGAGTCGAGGCTTCTGGTCAATGTGTCCTGGTCGCCGAGTGACTTCAACAATAGCCTCGAGACAACCATAAGTTGAGCACATCGCAATATATGCCGGTCACGAAGAGACGACGCCGCAGTCGTACAGCATCGTTGCAGGAGGCGAAACTGGGCGAGGGCCACTTTGTCGGCTGGCGGTGCCCGGGGAGAGGCATCTTGCTGAGGTGGTCTGCAATTGTGACTGATTGACAAGAGGTTGTCCTCTGCGGACCTCGTCTGGGCATCTAAGATGACAATTGCCTCAGCAGTTGCCAAAAGCTCGCGATAGCTGCCACTAAAATTCCGAACAGAAGGTCAGTATCGTGAACTGGCACGCCCTGCTTGGTTGATACAGAATTCCTCGACTGGGCCATGACGAGGGAACCCACATCGCACAAATGAGAGGTAACCTACCCAACAAGAGCCCTGAGCTTATCCTTGTTTTGTGCGGCACTCGATCGCAACTGCTTTTCAATCACCCTGGTTTGTGGGATGCGATGGTTTTCAAAGGCGTGCTGCCAATTGATCAGTGCGGTGCCGGGATCCATTCTGGGAGTGACTTCATGCGTAGCGGTTCTTTGACGAGGGCATCTCTACTAACCCGTTTATCCGTGGCACTGCCACTTCAAGTGGTGTCCAGATCAGATGTTCAGGTTGATCGGCTGAGGCCACGCTGGAAGCGAATGCGTCAGTCATCCATATGGTTCGCCGTAGCTGTTCCCGTGACCTACTGTAGAGCAGATGGTCTCTGTCAGGGCTTAAGGGCTCAATTACCATCCACCAAACCACCTACGAGTACAGGCGATATTCTTTTCAGCTGGTCATGATGTGACTTTATTTTTCTATCTTTCATGCAGCTACAGCATTAATATACAGATTCTGAAGACTTGGGTCTTCCTCTAAAGAGTCGAGAATAGTCTGCACCTCTTCCTCCTGTTGTGTGGACAGGCTGACCATCGAATCCTCATTCGGGACATAGATAACCTCTGCCTTGTCCACCTGGAGCCCCAGCTTGCCTTGGAGCTTTTGGGCAATGGCTATCACATCACCAGGTTCAGTCTCGACCACCAGCTTGTTTTCTTCCGACGCAATGTCGAGCGCTCCAGCTTCGATCGCTTCTTCCAAGGCATCCTCAACTCCGATCTTTTCCTGCTCTTCAAAAGACACTCGTCCCTTTTTCGCGAACATGAATGCTGTAGGAGTGACTGTGCCGCCAGCCTTGGTGATGATGTACCGGATATCTGTCAGAGTCCTCGCTTTATTATCGGTCTGGCATTCGATCATGGCTGCAACTCCATGAGGCAGCATGGCCTCGATGGTCACATTCTCAAGAGCTTGGCCGCTCGGAGATTTCCCTTGTCCTTTCGCAATGGCGTTCTCGATGGCCGTCTTCGAGAGCTGACCTTTTTTTGCGACGGCAATCGCATGCGCCAGTCTGGAGTTCATGGTAGGATCAGGGCCGCCCACTGTATCAAGATCAGTTTATAGATGCCTTCTGGCTTCTGTTGCTCACATCTTACATTTCGAGGCCATTATAATATCCGCAGATAAGTGGGTGCGGACCCTGCTCTTCGCTGCATCTGCCTTGCCCTTGTCATGTTTGATTTTGGCCCACTTGCTGTGTCCCGAAGGTCGGGGATGACAGCTTGACCAGTGTCGGCATGGCGCCCGAAAGCTGTCGAAGGAGAGACGTGACCTCCAAAGCTGGCGCGCACCCATGCAAAAAGACAAAATCCTCTCAACGAAACGAATGAGGGCAATGGTGATCAACATCCCGAAAGAGCAGGTTGGATTGGGAAAGTTGGAGAGAAATATCCGTTTGAGCATAGCGCCCCGGGGACAACTGCGCTTTGGCGTTCCGTGGTTCCCCGTATACGGCTGCCCCTGCTTTGCCCTTGCTCCTCTTTGAACTCAGTTCCGAAGAGCATTTGACCTTTGTTGGAATGTCCGCCTCGAGCACTTCCACAGCTCTTAACCCGGATATTATGATTCTCAGTCCCTTATTGACTTGCTCACAGGTGCCCTGTGCGTCGTCTCCGAGTTATAAGACTCAATGCTCTCGATCAGCATTTCGGTTTCTACGGACCTGTTTATTCCCGGTCCAGCTTTTCTTGTCGGAGATCCAGTATCCGACCCGGCGCCTGCGAGAGGCGAGTTGATGTCTTGATGCTTCACCCACAGGCTTATCTGGCTCTTTGACGCTGTGGAGCGCTGGGCACTCAGCCTCTCGAGTATTTGGATCCGCGTGGCTTCTGCGTACAGGAACCTTGGGCAAGAGATGTTGGCGAAGGGTTCTAGAAGTACCATGGTCCTTATCTGAAGATACATTTACGATTGAGCTCTGTGTCTGTGCTATTTACTTCGTTAATGAGGATCGCGTCATGCAGTGTATCGCCTCAGACTTCCTTTCGTATTGGAACTTGAAGTTCCTTTCGCTTACTCAAGTTCCTGGCTGACTCGGGCGCCAACGCAGGTGCACATCGAATGCGGACCGCAACAAGCCTGTTAGTACGTCAAAATCCTTGTTCCTGGCCGTGATGATCCTTCGAGTCACCTATGCACTATTGCCCGACAGAGGTTAGCTGGTCAGTGGATGGAGTCACTAGTTGTACTCGTATAGGCAAGGCTTGGGGACCCTGAGTTAGTAACAACCAGTGGGTACCACTACCCCCTGGAAGCTGAGCCTGGTCGTAGTGTTGAACTGCCTCACCGCTTAGCACCGAGCCAGGAGAAGATCCAAGACCGAGTTCGCCTGAACCGGCTGTTTCGAAAGCCGCGCTGCGAGGGGACACTTGTTTAGTCCAGTTCCTAGTCTGTCGGATGTAACCCTATAGCGCTGTGGCCCTATCTTTTGCGTCTTCTCCCGCTTAACGCTGAGCCTTGAAAGACATCTCGCTTGATTCCATGATCGAGCATAATCATGAGCCACTGGAGCTAGCGCAGTAAAGGGACTAGTCAATGGGGCTCTTGTGTCTCTCAGGGACTAAAAAAAGGCATTTGCAATTGCGATAAAAACTCAGACCAGGTGCGGGCAGTGGGTCGGCTTCAAGTACTCCGTACCTATGTAGGTATGATTTGCATGGCAGCCGAGCGGCCTATGAATGGACAGATATTCTCCGCCTCGACGAATGTTCAATTCGCCCGCGATCCATCCAAAGTCTTGACTAGCAGTGTATCATACTGTATGATACGCGAATACATTTGACGTTGTCATGATTGGCCGATCCAGAAGATTCCTGCCATTTAGTCCTCCCCAAGGAGCCGGAAGCTTCCACACCAGTCATCGTGCTAGCGTAATAAATGTTGTCTGTTGCAGAACTCTCTTTCCACGTCGGGGATACTAAATATGCGGGCCTTGCTCAGTCCTCACTTCTTGTAGACATTGCCACTGGGGCTTTTGTAGGTCGAGCCTCCGCTGCCATTGTTGTGGTAGGTGCTGCCGTTGGCGTTAGAATAGTAGTAGGAGCCATCTGTCGCCACGAGCGTCAGTACGCCTCGAGACAGGGAGTGGTAGAATGGGGGGCTGACCGGTATTGGAGTAGTGGTAGGCAGATCCTCCAGGCTGAGTGCGTGTGTCCCAGCTGTTGCCCTAAACCAGGAGAATAGTCAGGGAGTAGTTTGAGAAGCATCTAAGGTGGATTCTTACTTGAGTATTGGTGCCGGTATTAGTGATCTGGTATGGGTGGTACGAACTGCCGGACGAGCCAGAGCTGGTATTGTCCTTGCTAGGCATCTCGAACAGCAGTTATTCTGTGCTGTGGAAGTGCCGATAGGTTAGGTTGATCAAGGGTAGCTGGAATGCAACACAGTCTTCGTGGCACCTGAGGAGTGGGTGTAGATCGGGTAGTCGTGGTTGGTGGGAAGCGAAGATGGAGGTGGTGGTGGTGGTGGTGGTGAAGAGACAGTTGATGCCTGCTGCCAAGCAAACAGCCTTACCAAGTACTTGTGCTTGGTACTTGCTGCAGCCTCGGCAGTTTCCCCCCTTTCCGGTGCCACTTTCCCCAGCGCCTGTCCATCGGTGGCCCCTTTCCTCCCCTCGCTCCCCTGCTCGCTACCCTGCATCTCACCTTCATATATATGACCTAAGCGCTGTCGTATCGAACTACTCTGTATAGCTATCCTCATTCCTGCTTACTTGTTGGAGACAAGCCGCCGGATATAGAAGCCGAACGGTCAGCCTTCATTAGCCGTAGGCATGCTGGGTGTGTCGCCCTCGCGTTCGTCCCCCTGCAGATGTCAATCTCTCCCAGGGGAACAGCATGCCCGCTTTCTGTGCGAAAGGGTCTTGGGATGCACACAAGCCTTACCCTAAAAGATAAAACCTTCAGCGCGTTCAAGGCAAGGATTGAAAGGTAAGTCAGGCAAGATGTGGAGGCGAGGAGTATGTGTCGCAGCTCAATCCTTCTCTATTCACATCATGCCGTCAGCGGGAGACTATTGAAACTCCTTTGCTGGTCAAGAGCTTCACAGATCTGATGGGAAAGGGAGAAGGAGAAGAACACACCACTGTGAAAGAGTGGCCTGTCGGAGTTTACGTGGTCTGGACCCGATGCGGCCATAGGTGCCGACGAACCTTAGAACTGTTGAACCACTTACTGACAAAGATAGGAGAAGCAGTCACAGCAGGGATGCATGAATCACTTGAAAAAGAGTCAGTAAGGTCTGCATTTATTCGAGAGTCGAAACAGTCTTGCAAGCTGGATGGGCCATGGGAAATTTGCGGCAGGGTGTAGATCCCTAAGCAGCAGGCTTCTGGGTAACCGTCAGGAGGGCTTGATAATAGTCCATCCATGCTGCAGGAGGTTCCCACAAATCCGTCTTCCACGACAGGGCTATTCGACACTCGTGGTGAACCAACCATTCAAGATTGCTGCGTCAGATGGTGAATTATACGTCAGAAATCAAAGACCGGCTGCGGAAATTCACAACCAAGACCAAGCTGTCACAAGAAGGCCTGCGCTTCTATGGTAGTAGCAAAGCTTGGCCTCGGGTCTAGCGTTCGTTGTTCGCCTCTTCTCCGCTCTAGCAGTAGGGGGATACAAGTTCATGTGGACAGGCGCAACTGTTTTGTCCCACCTGCGAAAGATTTTGACCAGAGTCATGACAGAGACCTACACGGCGAAGCAGTCAGACGAGTCTGATCCTCACATGAAGAACGAGTATGACAATTCATGTGCGTGGGTCCTTTCAAAATCGTTCGAAGTGAACACGCCTTTGCGGAGGCTGGTCCCAATTCATAATCCATGGAATGGCTGACGCAGTGGAGAATTGCGGCTCTGGCCCGACAAGCGTTATTGACTAGGGTTCGTGGGCGCTATATGACAGGTTAAAATGATTCCTGTTCCACAACGGTCTACGACTGAGCGCAATAACTTGAGTGGGGGGTATGATCAAACCCAGCCACGCACAATATCGCTGATTTCGATCGAGCCACTATCAAGTTTGGCAATGCATCATCAAGGAGGTTGCTACCGGGGCGCGGAAACTCTAGCTCTCTCCAACAGCCTGGGGTGTCTAATTTCCAACCGCAGGCCACGGGCGTCTTAGTCTTCCTACAGCGAACCAATGGACTCTGCTGAGTGGCACCTCCGCTAGAAGGCAGACTTTGAGTTCTCTCGATTGTTATCGGAAAGCACAACTTTGAAAATACAAGTTTGGGCATTTCTCCTGGGTGGGCCGTTGCGGTGAGTGGTTTGATGGCTATGCTGGACCACAGACCGAATCTACAACAATCGCTCAGGCCCCTCATGGTTGCCTTATACTAGAAGGCACCAAAGTTGCGACAACCCTTGCTCTTCTTGATTTGATGTCGAGATCCATCCTCTTGAGACTGGATTCCGCAGGTGATCAGTCTTTGTGTTAATTTCATGCACGTTCTCTCCAATCGATGCGCAGTGCATATGGCAGCTAGAAAATCTCCACCCTCAGTTCCGACTCTGGGGGTCGACTAGTCCTTCTGGCTTTCCTTTGGTGGAGTCGAAGTTTCATTCTCTTCTACGCCCATCTTGGTGAAAAGACCAATGGGCTTCTCAAACCTTGGGATGAATCATGTACGCTAGGTATTCTATCTCCTTATTTGTTCATTTTCTTCACTTTTTGCCGTTTCAAAATCTGCGCCACACGCTCTCGTCGACTCAACAAACAAGAAGCATTTGATTTGAGTGAGGCCCCAATGTCCAGCTCTGAGTTGAGCCATGTCCATATCTACACCGACACTGGACCCAGCACACAGCCTCAAATTGGGCAAGACTCGAATTCACCAGCACAGTAAATGCCTCAAAACTTGGGGAGACTGTTTGAATCGGCAGTGATAAGGAGAGCGTCGTGACTATTCCGGGTCTTCTTCCTCATTTCCAACATTCCTGCTAAGCGAGAGCAACAAACAACAATAGCTACCCATTTTTATCAGTCACTGTCTACCATGTGGTAAGTTGAGATACAGGGGAAGTCAGGTCGCTACTGATATTGATTTGTAGCCTCAAAACGCCCGACCTTACCCCGTCGTCACCGAAAATCCAGCACCAGATGGGAAAGACGTGGTCACCGTTGCCGCTGGAAGGAGTCAACAAATCTGGACATCTCCCATGGCGCGTTGCCACTTCAACTTGCAACGGTCTTTCCCTGATGCATCCCACTGTATTTGGCGGCTCCGAACCAGTGTGGTTCTGCTGCCATTGCCACAATGGCCCGATGACTGTCAAAAACAATGAATTTTGCTCAAGTTGTCACAGACAGCGCTGCGCCAGTTGTCGGATCGAAACTAGTGCATGAATTCTCAAGAACCTCGTCTCACTGCCTCGACGTTCTCATCGACTGGAGCTGTGCATTGACAGCTCCAAGAGCGACTACTGGGCCTTGGATCCTGCTAGCTTTTGCAAGAGATGGGAAAAAGAAAGAAGAGAGGTGTTGTTTGAAGTTGCTTGTCATTCCCAATTGTTCAGGGTGGTGATGCATGTGGAAGTTGCTTGCTTTATCAATGCTTGCTCTGTGTTGACACATGGTAAAGGGGTCGCACCTTTGGCTGCCTTATAGATGCTCTAGATCTTCTAGACTCCCACGCAGATCTTCTGCAGATGGTCCTGCTTTAGCGAATGCAGAAGTACAATGATATCATGGTGTGCTTCCGTCCAACAAGGGAGCGACAAGTCCACCTACTTGCCTCCCTGTTCACGATCAACGCTCTCTGACGGAAATCTCGGAGGCTTCTTGTCTAGAGCGCTTACATAATTGTTCTCACGCCTCACTGAAGACTGTGGGTACACTCTGCAACATGGTGTACCCATTTGCAAGGATAGCCTCCTCCAGGGCTACTTTCCAAAGTTGCGAGGTACCGATTTAGGTCTGCTGCGCCGCAGCTTAGCCCCGCCCTTTGTATTTGAGGTAAATTGAGCGTGAGGCTGACACAGTGCAAACTGCCTTGGGTTCATGAAACCAGGCGGGAGAGTCATACAAGGCTGAGATTCCTTGGGCCTTTTTCAGGTCGATGAGTGGGGTTGGTGAGAGGGGCGGGAGTTTTCGAAGCAAAAAGTATATTCAGAACGGCGCAAACACTATTAAGCACGCGCACACCGCTTGATGGCACAGTCTCCGAGGGTGCTGGGGACACAGTTGATAACCAAAACGGCGGGCGTGGGGGGGATGTCCTGGATGTCCTGGATGTCCTGTGATGTGGGTGGATCCCACCAGCCCGACATTTATTGGTCAGCCTCATAGACCCACCAAGCCAAGCAGCGGCTTAGCCGATCGCTGCCTAATCGCCACAAAAAGGCTGCTAGGGGCAAGCAAAACCTTCCCGCCTTTTTCAACGTCGCCTATGTCCAGGTTTGGTCAGGTCAGCCACGCTTCTCCTCGATAACCTGCAATAGCCGCCAGGTCTGGTGTACGACTCAAGCTGCCATGAACGATGCTTAGCGAACACGCTGCGAGTGCCAAATCGTCGTCCTGTGACTCAGTCTTGTTGGCAGGATGTCGGCCAAATTCCGATATGCTGTTTACAATCAATCTATCATCCAGACCAATATACGGCGTGTTTTGTCGGACTCGACGCAGTGAAATTATCTGGTCAAGGCACAAAACTACACAGCCGCGTCTTCCGCCTTGATGGGCGGAACACAACAATGTGGCGCTCAGGTTGGGCTACTGGCTGAGATGGACCGATCTATTCACGACTTGAAACTCCTGATCTTGTGTGACTACACTTCTCCCAGACACAAACATGGAGCCTAGTCTCGGGGACTGCGTGCCTTCTGGCATGGGCTTTTTGTCCGTTTGGACCAGTTTTTGCCTGGAGTGGCTTCCACAGGCAGCCAATGAGGCATTCAGTTTGAGCGTGAGTTCGAATCGCCCAGAAAATGACGCTTTACTCACTGACCCTGAAACAAAGCTGAGGGCCCGCCTAGCTCCTCATGTTTGAGCATTTCCCAGGCGGAGGCGGCCACTATGTCGGATCCACTCTTCTCATGAGAACAACTGCGCCGTTTACTACAGAGTGTGAAGGTCTCTCAACGATTGTGCAAACAACTGGTCGAGTCACAGGTTATTGGCTGTTTGGGTCCACTTCCGTCGATCATGCCTTGCGGAGCTGCGAATATGCCTGTCCTATTCCCTTGGCGGAAATTTCTCGACTGTCCTTTTGTACTCGTTTGAGTAACTTTGATCGCTTTGCACTAATGATTTGGTATGTTTGGCTGTCTCTCATGACAATTCTTCAATTGCCGCAGTTCTGACTCCTTT